TCCACCCCGAAGAAACCCACAAAATAATAATAATAATCCTTGCAATTGATATAGCGCCTTATTACGTCTTTGAGACTTCTCAAAGAGCTTCCCAGAATCTAATAAATGGGCGAAACGCCTACAAAATATACCAACAGAAAGAAGGCCAACTCCATGATCGTTACAAATTGTATGCAGACGTGGGAAAACTAAATAGTTCTGGATCACTTCCTGTACATTGACTGCCTGATGCCTTGGAATTTGGCCATTTTGGCTTACGTTTTGTGCTGGCCAAGATTTCAAGCACCAATTGAGGCGGCCACCTGCATTTGAGTAAGCAAATGTTAGTTTTCAATCCCAACCATGCTATAAGTGAACCTGTGTGATAATGACACCCATTATAAAAGTTCTACTGTATTTGGTTTTCCAAGTGTATCTACATAATAGAGATGGGAGTTGTTACTGTCTGGAGAATTAGATTGACTGATCCACTTCATCCCATGGAAGATGGGTCCTCAGCATTTAATGTCCATGCATGCATAGACAGAGTAGGGAGGAGAGTGGCAGGTGACATGTTCTCAGAGGATTTCTTCTTCATTCTCCCTGTGTATAATATAATAACAATAATAATCCTTGCATTTGTATAGTGCCTTATCACCGTGAACATCCCACAGCACTATGGCTGTAATGGAGAACTCAGCACGATGCAAGCCCACGGTCCTTCTCAAAGCGCTTCATAGGTTATACTGTAAAGTGAATTGACTGTATATTTTGTGGGTGAAACGTGGCAGCCAATTGTGCACAGCAGTGTCCCACAAACAGTCGTGGATTGAATGACCACATGTTTTTTTTTGGAGGGATAATTGTCCCCGGAAAAGCGATCCGCCAATCGACTAAAAACCGGGTTCCTACTTACTGCGAGGTAAACAGCGTGTGGAGTAAGGAAACTTACGTGGAGTAAGGTTTCACATTGCCTGGGAATTGAACACAGGTCCTCTCGCTTGCGAGGCGAATGCTTTAACCACCAAGCTACAAGACCCACTATGTATATAATAATATATATATAATGGATACAATATATAATATAATAATTATATAATATATATGGCACACACTCTCTCTGGCCAGCTCTAATCCGATACAGTACTAGTGTTCCACCATTACTGATTCGTAACTGGTTGCTGGTACGTGCATGCAAGAACAGGCCAGGATAAATATCCTTCCCTGTGGGGAACACTCAGCCTGAACCGTGAACATCCCACAGCACTATGGCTGTAATTGAGAACTCAGCACGATGCAAGCCCACGGTCCTATCACTTCATTAACGGCTTTGATTTGTGGTTTTAAAAAAAGTGAGGAATACACCAAAAATGGGACCATAAATATTGAAAGTTGTAATTGTTGTTCAAAGCCTGAAGCCTTTCTAAATGCTGGCTTTCCTCCTTTTGCATTCCTTGTACAACTAACTGCCTTACAATGTTTCATTTGACTGTCGCATGAATGGCCCCTTAATAATATTGCAAATGATCTCTAAATTGTTCGGCCAACTATTGGACCACCCAAGATTTATTAAAGGACTGCATCAGAATTAATTTACACCTGATATATCACTGAAAATACCATTTTAAGTAGTCTTTGCCTGCAGCGTAATTTGCTTTCTAGGTCATTCTGTGGTAATTTACCATGAAAAGAACAGTAGAAACTAGAAATCTATACTGACTAATGGTTTACTGAAGTTTAAAACCTTGGAATTCCAAAGTCTAGTTCGAACTGTCTCAGAAATATGTGTCTGTGTTTGCTCATATGTTTAGCTACAAATACATCTGTCACAGTATTTTTTTTTAAAAATGGACAGATCTTTTCTCTCCAAATATTGCAGTGTTATCCCTGTTCCAAGTTTCTGCTGGTACTTTCTTAAAACACATGATGACCCCGGGAATCCATTTTATCTCCTTTCAGTAGTCTCTGAATTTGAGCCTCGAGTACAATACAGCCCCTCCCTCCTTAAACATTTTTTAAGTTTATTGGAATTTTATTCAGCATTATTTGAGCTGAACTAATCTGGCTTGCACAGTACCATGCTTGTGATTTTTGAGGCCTTTGAGAGTCGTACTTGAAATGTCTAGTTGCTCAGGCTAGAACAGTGGTGTGCTGTGTATGGCCATACAAAAAGGTCTGTCTGAGAACTCGCCTCCTTACTGAATGGAGCTTCTGTCATACAGAATATTCTGCTTTACTACTCGGAAAATGAGTTACAGCAGTTCTTCCGATAGTGATTTTAAATTTCCATCAGGGTGCAGCATCTTAATAATTAGCAGTTTTCACATAGAAGAATGTCTCTTTAAGCACGTTATAATGACTGTGGGAAATTGAGCAACTACAACAATTTAAATCTATATAGAGGATGTCTCCATACTTCACACAGTTGGCTTGGAACTCCAAGTTTGGGGTGGGGAGGGTGCAAAGCTACTTAAAGGGTTGTTGAAAAGATGGGTCTTAAGATGGGTTTTGAAAGTGTGCTGAATTGAGGGACTTGGAAATGGATTTCCAGAGTGGGGCAGAATGGCTGAAAGCTCACCAACAATGGTGGGTCAGATTTGGTAAAAGGACATGAAGCAGGACATTTTTTGCTGAACAAAAGGAGTGGTTGGGGCAGTACGATCGCAGAGATAAGGTAGGGCAAGCCTTGGAGGGATTTGAAAATGAGGCCAAGTATTTTGCATTTGATCTGCTGGTGAATGGGGAGCCATTGGAGCCAAGCGAGGATAGAGATGACAGACATCTAGAGCCTGGGAGTAGACCCAGGCTGTAGAGTTCTGGGTGGTCTGCAGCCAATTGCGCACAGCAATGTCCCACAAAGTCTTGGATTGAGTGACCAAATAATTTTTTTTTATTCATTTATTTCAAGGGATTATTAGCCCCGGGAAAGGTGGTCCGCCAATCGACTAACAAACAGGTTCCTACTTACTGCTAGGTGAACAGAGGCGTGTGCAGTAAGGAAACTTGCCGAAAGTTTGACCCTGCCGGGAATCGAACCCAGGTCCTCTTGCTTGCGAGGCGAGTGCTCTAACCATTAAGCCATAAGGGAGGCACTGGGTAGTCTGGTGAGCAGGATGTTTGAATAACTGATCCAGGTGAAAGTCTGAATGAGGGTCTCGACAACCCAACCAGAGAGGTGGAATCAGGTGATGTTGCATAGGTTAGGGAAAGCCAAATGAGTGAGAACCTGGGTATAGGATTGAGGGAGATTTAGCAAGGTACGTAGGAGGGGTGAGGGGATGGGGAATCTATCCTCTGAAGAAGCTCGTCAGATTGGTTGCCGGCTATCTGTGCATACGCAATTTAGAGGAAATGATGGCAACAACAATCCTGAGGACATGTAGGCAGTTCCTGATAGCCCCTTTTAAAGCTCAACATCTTATAATGCTGGGTCTAAATTAGTGGACCTTGCGTTATAGAGGGTCCAATCTATAATTCTATTTCTAATTGGAATATGTTAAACAAAAATGACTCTTTATCTACTTTCTTTCACTTTTAATGTTTGTAGAAAGGAATATGTTGGTTTAACTGGATACTTGGAGTACACAATTGATCCTCATGACGTTCAGATCTAAAATTAATTTGTAAAGTAGATATGATTACCATCTTTAAGATTCTGAAGGGAATGGATAATGTAGACCATGACAAGCTGTTTTATCTTGCACTGAACAGTAGAACCAGAGGACACGGCCTATGACTGAAGGGGAGTAAATTCAGAACAAATCTGCAGAAACACTACTTCAGTGAGTGAGTAGTAAACTTATGGAACAGGCTCCCTAAGGAGACGGTGGAAGCAGAAAATGTAATTTGTTTCAAGAACAAATGAGATAGATTGCTGCTAGAAAATAATATCTCGGGATACGGTGTATAGTTTGGGACACAACATGTCAAGCGACGGCCAGGATGGTGGAAAGCAAACTAGATGGACCTTGGTCTTCTTTCACCTAGCAAATTCTTATGGTCTTATGTTTTTTACTTCTCATGTGAATCAGTGGGATTTGGTGAAGTGTTATTTTTTTACACAGTTGTTGGGAATATCCTTTAAAATCTCGATAAAATTTGGTCATGTCCCAATGAATTTAATAAAATATAATGTACTTGTGTAATTTTGCACAAGTTGACATTTGGAATCTTCTGTTATAGCTGAGACTGAGTATTTTAGTAAATGGAACAAACAATTAATTTCCATTGCTGCACCACTCCAATATGAGATCTCAGTTGGTAGAAATTTGCATTGTCAGAGGTGCCATCCTTCAGATGTTCAACCCTTTTCAAGTAGACATTAAAAATCCATCCCATGGCACTGTTTGAAAAGATTCGCTTTCTGGCCTTTTGTGGAAAATTGCTGTGCGCAAATTGGCTGCTGCGCTTGCCTACAAATACAGTCACTGCACTTCGAGAAAACTTCACATAATGATTTGAGATTATTCAACTTGATAAGAAACTACATCAAATGAAAAGATTATTATTATAATAATACAAGTTATAGTTATCAATAGATTTTAATCTAATCACAAATAACTATTAAGACTATTTTTGAAAATGGCTTGAATAAGTTGTTTGACAATCCATCAGAGCTGATGTGAAAACAGTTGCCTTACTTCACAGCCTTACGTCACAGATGAGATAAATTGGACAGTTGTTTGATCCTTGTATGTCACTATTTTTCCTCCCATCCGTATGTACTGATTGTTTACCAAATGAAACGTATTCTTCACAAAACCGCATTGCTCCTTCCATTGTTTCCTGCCAGTTCTGGCATACAGATTTAAATAATTTGTCAGTAATATCAAGTTGAACAAGAATAATTTAAAACTTCATGTAAGGAAACTTTATAATTCTTCTGGAAAGAAAGACTGAGCTAAAATTGTTCTTGATGATATTATCAAACTATAACATCTGGTTGTTTGTCTTTGAAAAATGCATTGTTTTGAATGTCTATCCTATTGTATGAGTGACAAAGTTCCACTTTCCCTTTTCAGGATGGCCTCAATGCCCTGGTTCAAGATTTGGACTTCCCAGCCCTTAGGAAGAACAAGAACATTGAAAATTTCTTAAATAGGTGTAAGTTATATTTGTTACATATCTTCTTAACAAAATAATCTGGGTTTGTTGTAAGCAGGAGCTGCTTAAAGTGCAATGTTACCTCACACAGTAATTTGAATTGCTATTAGCTTTTAAAATGTCATTTTTGAAAAATTGTTTACCCAGTTTTTTAAAGTGTGGAAGTAATGTCGAACACTGGAAAACAGTTTTAAACCATTTTAAATAGATATTTTAAGCTTTTTGTACATAAATACTTGAAATAGTTCACTGATGCCCCTGTTTGATCATGTCTTATAAGCAATAGTTTATTCCTGTCAAAGTCTGTGTCTAGCTTTGCAGCAGTAATAAATTATGGAATACGTATAACATCACATAATAAAAGACTCTTGGGGGGGAAATAAATTAGAATCCAATTTGCTGCAACTGAACCTACTTTAATTCTAGTGATAACTGTTTTGGGACATTTACTCATGAGATCCTTTTAGCTTTATCTCTACTTACATTTCAGCAAATTACATTTCAGCAAAGCACCACACAGTTAATTGAATAAGGAACCAGTGAGAGGAGAGATAGTTGCACTAAGGACAAAAAACAAAAATGAAGAATCTCTCTATTGAATCATGTCCTTTTAATCAAACTGTCTTTAGCTTTAAACTAGCTCCTCTACAACCATACATGCATCACTGTCATTTGATCTCTATTTTAATGGATTTGTGAGATTCCGCTTTAAGTCTGAGGTATCTTAATAAAGTTGAAAGCAGCTGTGTGAGCGTTTTACTAAGGCTATTTTTATAAACCTACAATAGAGAAACAATTTTCTGTACTAATTGAGACTGGCCTCATTGTGGATAAGGAAATAGCGTGGATAATTGATGATCGCTCAAAATACAAATTGGCTGTAATGCTAACCATCAGGAGTTATACTGTCAATATACAGTATTATATGTGACATCCCTTTTCCCTCTCTGCCCTTCTCTCTCTTTCCCTCTACTGACTCACCAACTGGGTATTTGAGATTGAGCCAATTTAATTATTGTTTTTGGTTTTGGAGGGTATTATTAGGCTTTTTTGCCCTTTTCTTTTCTTGTCTTCCTACAAACCCACTAAGATGCATATCCTCCTCATCTCCCTCCTTTTCATTTGTGTCTTCCAGTACTGCAAATTTTGAGATTAGAAATTAGCTAAATTATGGAATCACTTACATAAATCCTTGTTTTACTTCTATGCTGTATACCTAGCACTAGAGTTCAAATGCGCATTAGAGCTCCAATGTAGTCTAAGTACCTAGCATCTTTTTGAACAAATGAATATGACTGCTTTGTGTTCTGTGCAGTACATACCTTTTGATGTAATTTGACATTCTCTCTTTTTTCAGTTGAAAAAGTAATGGGAAAAGTTCGAGAAATGCAAATGAAAGCAGAGGACTATGAGGTTGTAAAAGTAATTGGCCGTGGTGCATTTGGGGAAGTGCAGCTGGTAAGAAATCTAGTTCTAAAGTATTTTTGGTGTGTTGTGCACAGAAGCCCATTACCATGCTTACCATCCAAACCAAACTACTGAGAGTTCCATATGTGTGGGGACATTTTCATTTGTCTGGAATGGAGTGCATACTCTCTCTAGAAGGGGACACCCAATTTACTTAATCTGAGCAAAGGTTTACGAACCCCATAGTACACATGAAGGATACTGTTGGATTTCAGATAGCAAAAAAATGCTGTCCTATTAGGGCCACCTTATTTGTTAGTGCTTTGGCTTGCAGGGTTAATGGGAGGTGAGTGGCAAGAAACCCTACGCTCACTAACTACCCTGTTCCTCCAAGTCCTGCTAATGAGCCAGACTAACAAACTAACTGTTTTTTTTAATCAGAAGAGACAAGGAATACTGACGACCTGACTGGCTCAAGAACTGGACTACTGAGATAAAATTAGATTACAGTAGATTAAAGTAGATTCATTCAGTACTTGAAATTTTAAAATAAACAGTGTGAGAAATTAGAGGTTTTGTTGGAATTGATTCACTAGTCACTTGTATTCAAAAATTGTTTACAATCCCTTCACTCAAGATTTTAAATCGCCAAATACAGCATAATTTTATATTTTGGGATTTGACTACAGGATTGAGAAATGTTTGTTTTTTTTGGGCTGCCATCACAATTTTGGTCATTTAAAAGTAAGAAACTATCTCCGTTTGCCATCAGCGGTCATTGACCTGAGTAAAAGTGAGAAATTGTTCAATGAACTTGAAATTGAGAAACGTTTATCTCTCTTATTTCCCTGTCAATGTCTGACAGAACCAGGCCTAGGTCTTATTAATAAAATATCTATTCACAGCAACGTCTTCAGGGCAGGAGCTAATTAGCCATCAAATAAAATATCTGCTCATTTGCTTCCATCAGCGGAGGCTCTATTTTGCCTCATTTCCTCAGCCGTTTGGTGTTGTATGTTGCAGAGAAGATATATGATTGCCAGTAAATAAGCTTATGCTGAATACTTTTTCTTAGGTCCGACACAAAATATCTCAGAAGGTGTATGCAATGAAGCTTCTAAGTAAGTTTGAAATGATCAAGCGATCTGATTCAGCCTTTTTCTGGGAGGAAAGGGATATCATGGCCTTTGCAAACAGTTCCTGGGTTGTCCAGGTAAGAATGATGATGAAATAATTTTACTTTTTGTTTCTCATTAATTCTTTAAAAGTAATTATTAAGTTGCTGCCAATTAATAGAAATTGTATCTTTTTTCCATTTCTTAATCTTACCTTGTAATCTTTTAACTTCCTATTTCAGCTGTTCCAAAACTGAAAAGTCAAATTTCATATAATTACACCTTTTCTTATATACTGAAAAATATATTTTTTAAATTGTGTCAATAATTTTCCTCTCATTTGAATTTTGAATCAAATGTTTTCCTCTCCTGACGACTTATGACTCCTTAATTCCATCTTGTCTGTCATTTTGGCTCAGTTGGAAGCACTGTTTTAGGCATGGGTTTTAAAGGAAAGGAATTTATCACTTGGTGAATAACAATGTTTGCATTTGATATACTGCTTTATCATGTCAAGACGTCTCAAAGCACTTCACATGATGATAATATGAAGTGTAATGACACTGTTTATAGGAGAATAGTAATGAATAGTCAGGACTAGTAAAACATAAACAGATTAAGGATTGATCTGATTGAGGTGATTAAAATAATAAAGAATAAAAATAATAAAGATTAAACTAACACATAACTCTTCTCAAATAGAAGAATCTAAAACAAAGGGAGTGAGCGTGGTTAGAAGTGAAACCAAACAGAGATTATCAAAGTGTGGCACATAGAAGGCTGTAGATGCAGAATCAAGTAGGATTTTTATAGATTGGGGTATATAGATTGGGAAGTAAAGAGTGTTAAGGTGTATGGAGAAAGGGGATTAAACGGTCTGCTACATTCTGTAAAACTGTCAGAACTCAAAAATTGAAAATATCCACTTGGCTACATCATCCTCCCCCCATGTCCCCTTCCACCACAGCCAGACCATCCACTCTGCCTTCTCTGTCTGCCACAGCTCCTGCCACTCCCCCTCCTTACACTCCTTTTCCCCCTTTCTCCCTCTTCCCTCTCAACCACAATCCCCCAGATGAAGTTCACCACCTGCAGCCTCGAGCCCCTCCCCACCCAACTTCTGGTCACTCAACTCCCATTCTCTCCCCCCTGCTGACTGACATGGTCAACCAATCTCTCTCCTCAGGCTCTGTTCCACTCCCCCTGAAAACCGCTGTCATCACACCCCTCCTCAAAAAACCCACCTTCAATCCCTCTAATCTCTCATACCCTCAATTCCTCTAACCTCTCACACTACCATCCCATCTCCAACTTACCCTTCCTTGTCAAAGTCCTGGAATGCATTGTTGCAGGTCAACTTAGGTCACACCTCTTCCTTCCACTCCTCCTTGAGCCCCTACAGTCTGGTTTTTTCCCTGCCCACAGCACAGAGACGGCGCTTATCAAAGTCAGAAACGACATTCTGTGACCAGGGCTCCCTCTGCCTCATCAACCTCCTGGATTTCTCTGCCACATTTGACACAGTTGACCACTCCATCCTCCTCCACCAGCTCTCCTCCCTCATCCACCTTAGTGGGATCACACTCGCATGGTTCGAGTCCTACTTAACCAATTGCCTCCATTTCATCTCAGCAAATGACTTCTCCTCCCGCCCCTGCTCGGTCACCCGCAGGGTACCCCAGGCCCCATCCTTGGCCCTCTTCTTTTTCTTATCTATATGCTCCCTCTGAGCGATGTCATCCATAGACACGGGGTAAACTTCCACATGTATGCGGATGACACACAAATCTACTTTGCCTCCTCCAGTACCAACTTCAGGTCCGCCGATGTTCTATCAGCTTGTCTGGCAAACATCAAGGCCTGGATAAGTGTAAATTTCCTGCAGCTGAATATGGACAAGACGGAAGCCACACTCCTCGACTTCCGTCAATGTCTTCACTCCTGCGGATCTAAACACCTAAACCTCCCTGGGCTCTGATTCAGACTCACCGAACCAATGCACAATCTAGGTATCTAGTTTGACCCCCAGCTGTCCTTCCTCCCCTACATTTGGTCCCTGACCAGGATCACCCTCTTCCACCTCTGCCACATCACCTCTGCTCGACTGGCACCGGCCTCCTGCTCGTTCCTCGTACCCTCCGTCCCTCCAATACTCCCCAAAACTCTGGAACACTTTCCCTCAATCCCTCCGCCTTGCCCCCTCTCCCTTTTCAAATCCCGCCTGAAAATTTTCCTCTTCGACCACACTTACACGGGCACCTCTTCCCCCCCACCGCCCCTCTCCGGCTCAGAGTCAGGCTCCGCCACTGTTAAGCGCTCCGAGATTCTACCCTGTGTGGAGGGAGCTATGTAAGTGCAATTTGTTGTTGTTATGATCTGAAAATCTGGCAGAACTGGCACATTGTGCTGATTTGCCTCCTCCTGATTTTCCTATTCCAGCCCATTGGTTGAGTTTGGAGTCCTGTAGCTCAGTGGTTAGAGCTCTCACCTCGCAAGCAAGAAAGCTGGGTTTGATTGACCGGGGCAGGGTGAAACCATGGGCAAGTTTCCTTACTCCACACACCTGATAATAACCTTAAGAAAAAAAATAAAATTGGTCACTTCAATGCAAGACTGTGGGACAATTGGCTGCCGCATTTCACCCACAAATATACAATCAATTCACTTTACGATATATTCTGTGAAGTGCTTTGAGATGACTAGAACACGCGAAAAGAGCTATATCAAATGCAAGGATATTATTGTTGTTATTGAGTAACGCAGCACAATCAAGGGATATCAAACCTGCAACTTTCCTTGGGTACACAACATTGCACCAAATCAATGGTGTAATTATCTACTAAACCACCAAAGAGCTCAAATTAGATTTCTGAAATCGAAATATAAACGCTATTAAATAAAATTGACTCTCCCGGGATGGGTTGTTTTAGAGTATCTTAGGCTGAACAGCTGAAATAGCTCTTATAATTTCATTTAGTAGTTTTGATAGTTTATTTGTAAACCAGATATACACAAATAGTCAACATTGAATTTCCTATTTATTAAAAATATAGTAACTTTGACTATTTTTCTTGCAGTTATTCTATGCCTTTCAAGATGACCGATACCTCTATATGGTAATGGAGTATATGCCTGGCGGTGACCTTGTAAATCTCATGAGCAATTATGATGTGCCTGAAAAATGGGCCAAATTCTACACAGCTGAAGTGGTGCTTGCCTTGGATGGCATTCACTCAATGGGTTTTATACACCGAGATGTGAAGCCTGATAACATGTTGCTAGACAAACTTGGACATTTAAAGTTGGCAGATTTTGGCACTTGTATGAAAATGGATTCAGTAAGTGAACATATTTTAAGAAATACTTAAAATTATATTTTGCTGTTGAACTAAGTTTTGGTTGACTAAAATAAGTGTACATTAAATGTGTGTCCTTGTGGGTATGGGAATTTTGCTTAAAAATGGGCCTTATACTTGAAAGGTTATTTTTATGGAATATAACATAATCTTGCCTGTCATTGTTGATGTTTTCAAATGTAGCTTCAATTTTCTCATTCTCATCTGCTTATTTTCATTTTTCCTCTATCTTCATTATAAGGCTGGACTATGGGAACTCTCTCCTCGCCGGCCTTCCTGGCACCTCCCTCCACAAGCTGCAGGTCATTCAGACCTCTGCAGCTCGTGTACTGTCCCGCACCAGGCTTCGCGACCACATCACTCCCACCCTCGCTCGCCTCCACTGGCTCCCCATCCCCCAGAGGATCGAATTCAAGATCTTCATCCTCACCTACAAGGCCATTCACGGCCTTGCTCCCTCCTACCTCTCCGACCTACTATCCCCCTACCTACCTGCCCGTACCCTCTGTCTCCGGTCTGCTCCACATCCCCCGCCCCAACCGCCCTACCATCGGTGGCCGGGCCTTCAGCCTCTCAGCCCCTGAGGCTCTGGAACTCTATCCCCCAGTGCCTTCGCCGCCTCCTCCCTTTCCTCCTTCAAGGCCGGTCTCAAGACCTTTCTCTTTGATCGTGCCTTCAGCTCCCTTCTCGACTCTCTACCCCCTCCTCGCTCCCTCCCTTCCCTCCCCTCACCCTGACCATTTCCCCCCTGCTCGGGTCCTGACCCAACTGTACAGCGCCTTGGGACGTCCTCCCGACGTGAAAGGCGCTCTATAAATGGAATCTTGTTGTTGTTGTAATCTGCTAATTTTTTCCTTTATTGTCAAGGCCGCTATTGTTTGTTATCCATTTTTATTTTATGTGTATCATTTTACAACAGTAAATTGCATGTATATAGTGCTTTCACATCAGTAGGATAGCCCAAAAAGCGGGACAGTCAAAGGTTTGCACCCAAGCTGCAGGGTGGAGGGAGCTAGCGTAGTCAAGCCGAAACGTGATGAAAACTTAGATGAGGGTCTCGGTGGCCTGAGGGAAGAGGTATTGGTGGAGATAGCCAATGTTGCGGCGGTGCGGGAAGGCAGAACGGTAATGTCACAGATGTGGGTTTAAAGGACAGTTGAGGGTCGACCAAGACACAGATACTGGCTCGATGAAGTAAAGACGAAGAGAGATGCTATCAGCGCCTGAGGTGAGGAGGCGCTGACAGGAACTAAGCAGAAGGACCTTCGTCTTGTCGATATTCAACTGGAGAAAGTTGGCTCTCATCCAGGACTTGATGTCTGACAGACATTCTGTCAGGACAGCAGTGTTCCTGGAGTCAAGGGTGGAAGCAGAGAGATAGAGTTGAGTGTCATCTGCATAAATGTGTAACATTCAACTGGAATATGACATTTTGCAAGTTTTTTGTTACTTTTTAAAACAATTTGACAGGTAATATTGATGTGTATATTTTACTTTGGGGGGGATTTTTTTTAATTTCTTGTCATCTTTTTGACTACAAAAATGATCTATTACAAGTCATAAGATCATCATGGACAGCACCTCCTAACAAAAACATGTTTAACGTTAGGAATTCATTTTCCTCTATTTGGAAAATATTAGAAATCGGATGAATTCCAGTCCGAAAAGGAAGCCAACAAACCTGAATACGAGGGAAGTTGTCCTATTGGAGTTAAAGTCAAGCCCCAATTGGGTTCAAGTGAAAATAAAAACACGCACAATATCCCACTTAATGTTACAGGAAAACAAATTGGTTTAATGGAGGATTGGTCATACAATTATATATTGTCTTCAATTGTAATCCCTGTTTAAATCTGGAAGACCAGTTGTAATTGTTGTTGCATGCTTCAAATTCAGGCAGAAACACTTATTGGTTTTGAGTATTTCAATTCTTTCAGCGCCCCCTGCCATCAGCAATGCAAATTACAATGGCCTTTGTTGCTACTTTTAGCAGAAGATTGCAACAAAGGTGCAGATGAAGAAGGCGTCTTGGCTAATTTGATCTCAATCCTATCATTATCATGCCCATTTAAATTAATTTGAATTCATCACTCACTCTGAAATTTGTTTCAGAAAAAAATTGTATTAAACAAATGTGAATGAATGATCTAGCAACACAATGCTCATGGTTTATAATTTCATCCACGCTAGTTTAATAAATGAATAACATGGATTAATGTAGTTATTTGTCATGAGGCACTAATATTTTCTCTGACTATTTTTGGAGTGCTTTGTTCTCTACCTACCTCAAAGCAATGTGCATGTATGGTTTTAGAAAATACAAACTTTTTTGGCCCTAAGAATTGCATTATAATTATGATAGTGCATTTGAATATTTTTCAAAGCATTGCATTAATCATTTGCCATGAGTGTTTTTGAACAGTGGCTTATTTCTATTACTTTTCTAAATGCACAGACTGGGATGGTTCGATGTGATACCGCAGTTGGAACTCCTGATTACATCTCTCCTGAGGTATTGAAATCGCAGGGAGGAGATGGCTACTATGGTCGAGAGTGTGATTGGTGGTCTGTAGGAGTTTTTCTATACGAGATGTTAGTTGGTGAGTACAGAATCTTTTAATATCAATATTTATTAAAACTAGAGTAAATGTAAATTAAGTGGCTGATGTTTTCAATTGATTCCTGCTTCCCCTCCCCCAAATTATTGTTGGTGGTTAGTTGGTTGTATGTACTGGTAAAACCAAGTTTGTGCCGTGGTTGAGGATACAATTGACCAGTGTGATTACCACAAAATAATATAATAATCCTTGCATTTAATGCAGCGCCTTTTACGTTGGGACGACAACTCAAAGTGCTTCATAGGATTTACTGCAAAGAGCAGTGATTATATATTTTGCAGGTGTATTCGGCAGCCATTTTGCACACAGTAATGTCCTTTCAAACGGTCATGAAACAAATGACCAATTTTATCCATAGAATTGTTGGCCAGGACAATAGGAGAATTGTCCCTTTTTGATTAGTCCAATGACAGAACAGGCAAATCACTGATAATCACTTGCACAACAGCAGTGTGTACTTGCCTTTGAAATAGATGGAGTTTGAATGTTGTATTTTCACACATACAAAATTCAATCTTCTTCTTCAATAGCAACTTGCATTCTGCTGTCGTGCTACAGGTTTTGTATTTTGACACTGAAATCTTGTTTGCTCCACCTTTGGCATTTCTTCTATGCTAAATGTGTTGTATAACTGGGGTATTAATGTGTACTATGTACTATGTACTGTGCTATGAGAGTGAAAAGATTACTTTATATGTAGTAAAAAATCTGAACTTTCTATACTTTCTCTATTAGGTGATACGCCATTTTATGCAGATTCTCTCGTGGGAACATATAGTAAAATCATGGATCATAAAAATTCCTTAAATTTTCCGGATGATGTTGACATTTCAAAACATGCCAAAGACCTCATCTGTGCCTTCTTGACTGACAGGTATTCTTTCTTTATTAAGTGTATATTTCTATAAAAGGCAGCTTTCATGTCCTCCTATCTATGACCGGTTTAAAACTTAAAACCATTGGATGAAAATTAAACTATACAATTGTAGAAATGTAAACCTGCCTTGTTAAGACTTCTCGATTATAGTCTTTACTCTTAAATATGTTGAACCAACCACAGCTTCCGGCAGTAAGTTTCACATTGTCGCCATCCTCAACAAATCAAAGTTTTTTGATCGTGCTTATGGTCACCTCCCTCCTCCCTCTGTCTTTGTCAAACGCTCTGGGATGATACCCCGCATGAAGGGCGCTATATAGATGCAAGTTGTTGTTGTTTTCTGAAAGTCCCTTTTAGATCTATTTCGGCTTATATTTTTGGATTTGTTTTGGATTCACCAGCAAGTGGAAACAGTTTATTAATATCCACCTTTTCAAATTATTTTTCAATTTCAAACATCACATCTCCAGAGAAAAGCTCTAACCCGTTCAATCTTCTTGATAGCTATATTCATTCATCACTGGTAATAAATCTAAGCTATACTCTCACTAATATATTTTCTCTAGTGTGGCTTTAGATTCTTTTGCAGACTTTCTCCAGCAGCTGATTTTCTATTTGTCTTTGCATTTTCCATATTGCTGTAACTTTGCAGTAAATTTCCCTGAGAGAGAAGTCAAGGTTGCAGACTTTTCTATGACTCCTGTCAGTGGTACCATATGGTCAGGCAAGAGGAAATAAGCTTGCTGCAAAGCTTGATGACTGCATCAATTAACAAAGTTCCCTCACAGGAGGTGGAGCAGGTTCCAAGATTCTTCACCAAGTGATGTGACTAAACAATGAATTCTAATGTCAATTTTTGAGACTTGTCTTATCAGCATGTTAGAATTCTTTGGTTTGTTTTCAATGCCATAACCTCTTACAGTAGATGAGCAACAGTTCCCTCAAGCAAAAACCTTAGTCCCCACAATTGTGGCTTACTAAGCACATACTGAGGGATTAAAAATTGCCACAGTTTCTAATTCTGCCCACATACACCTCTCAGATAGAACTATCAGGATAACCAATTAACAATGGAATGTCTTTATCCTAAATTAATAATATTGTAGAATGGTGTGACTTGCATGAAAGGTTTCAATTTAAAAAATTCATTATGTTTATTTGCAACAAGATCTTTGAACAATTGCTTAAAAGCAGTAGCATCTCCCTTTGTTGTAGTTAACAGGTTTTTAAACCTGTTCAATTTTAGAATACAAGGTAAGAAGCCCATCATGAAACACAAGACTAGTTTCTTGAAGGCTACATTGTATTAAATGGTTTTCTACAGAGTTTGAAACTCGAATTTTAAACCGTTAGATTTAATGTCAACCTAAGCTTTAAAGAATTTGTCAAGCTACAGTGAAATGTAAAAAGAGATTCAAATAATAATAATAATCCTTGCATTTGATATAGCGCTTTTCACGTTGGGAGGACATCCCAAAGCGCTTCACAGAACACACTGTAAAGTGAAATGACTGTATATTTGTGGGCGAATTGCGCACAGCAGTGTCCCACAAACAGTTGTAGATTGAAAATGACTAATTTATTATTGTTTTTGGTTTTGGAGGGATTATTATTAGGCTCTGTGTGGAGTAAGGAAACTTGCCCAAGGTTTCGCCCTGCCTGGAATTGAACTCAGGTCTCTCACTTGCAAAGCGAATGCTCTAACCACTGAGCTGCAGGACTCCACATCCTCACCTTGGTATAATACTGAATTCAGAATATAGTCTGAATACAAGTTACTGAGTATGTTTACATGCAGTGGGATGTTTACTTTAAAGTCAGATCTTTATTATGGGCCTGCTTTAAATCAGCAGACTTATTATAGTTTCACCAGGATAAATCAAAGTGTAATGTTTACATGGTTTCTAAGTGCAAAAAAGAAAGAGCCAATCTAGGAAACCAATCTACATGTCAACTGGATGTAAACATACAGATGGTCAAGTTCTTTATTTTAAAGAAATAATCTTTCAGCAAACAGCTCTGCAGTGCTTTTGGTAACTCACCAAATTTTCTAAACTCGACAGCTAACATTCAGTAAATGTCCCATAGCCCACCCACCACACTGGTAACTGCAGCAGCTATCCCATCCTTCTGATTTCGACTCCCTCAGAAGATTGGTTATCGGCACTTCCAATTGTTGTATCATATCAAACCATTCCAATCTCTGTGTTTAGAATAATACACCATGTATTTAATTTGAGGGAAGTTATTTTCTTCAGCTTTTTCAAATCTTACATTACAGCAAGATTCCTGTTTTGTGTTCAATTGGCAGTAAGTTTTCTATAGCCGAAACACAACTTTGAAATTGTATTCCATTAAATCTTCACAATTTATCTTAACATTTTGGGTCAAATAGCTGTACTGCATTGGATCAACTGTCGTTGAGTCACTTCAAAAAGAAAATTAAGCTTATTAGAAAAATATCACGCATTTATTTGGGAGAGGTGTTTAAGCAACAAAAATTGGCTGCAGGTGTCAGTAATTGATGTGTATGCAAGTTTGTAAATCACAGGAAATGATGACCTGGATTGAGGTGGTTGCCATGGTACAAGGGTTTCATGAAGGATTTTTTTCACAGCTGCTTTTTTTCCATCTTAGTTCAGAGAGTAGTCTCTTTATGATTTTATTTTACAATGAATGGACAATGTGAAACTATCCTACAGATTTGCTTAAACATTCAAAAAAATGTCAATTTCCCTTATAAACTGTCCCAAAAAAATTTCTGGCCCTTTATGAGGATGTTATCATTTATTTCATTCTAACAACAACATTTACAACAACAGCAGTTTACATTTATATAGCGCCCCCCACACCAAGTGGCGTCCCAGAGTGCTTAACAGTGGTGGAGCCAGGAAGAGGAAGAAGATAACCATAGATGATGCGGTGTCTAAGGAGTGTACAGAATAGTGCTGTGCTTTAAATAAATTAGGTGATGTTATTGTTGTAATAAGTGTTCTTTTGACACGCATGTTATAATGATGGATTTTAACAGTATTATATGTCAGATCAGTTGAATGTGATGCCTTCATGATAAAAATAATTGACTCTTCCCTCAAACACACAAAAAATTGTGAAATAAATTTAAGCGAGGGTGATGCCTTTTCTAAACTGTTCCCAAAAATGGAAACTGATTTTGGGGTGAAAACAAGCTTTTTTTTGTCATCAGTGCTATGTTTTTTAATACCGGAGGAATGAGGTGTGCAATTTTCTTTGTTTGACAAAACCTGCTTCAAGATGTAAACTAGAGTGGAAACTGACTAATAATAGTCTGCCTTAGGAGCAGTCTACCTGTAACTATTAATATTTATAGGTCTGCACTATTTTCCCAAAATAGTAAGATCAGGATTTTGTCTCCATAATTTCTTAATGGAAAGCGAGAGACTGAAAGAGAGACCCCAGTATGTGGTGCCAACGATGGTAGTTGCTAATGGGTTACTATCCATGGAAATGTTCCCCAGAAATATTTGTTGCTTTTAAGAGTGAATGAGTAGGTGAGGGACAAATGTTTTTAATTTTTTCAAAAGCCAGTAAAATGTTCATATTGCAGTATTATAAGCCAATACTATATTTAATAAGGACCACTAAAATTTAGATTAATAGTGCAAAGCATGCAGAATACAGTAGCTGCGATGTTGGACAGCATGTTAAAGAGCAAATACTTCATTATTGGGGAATGGAAATGTATTTAAGAGAAATAATATGCAGTTCAGATACTTAAAAAAGGCAGGAATTTTTTTCCACGTGCAGAGGGTTTCCTGTTTATGCTGAATTTAGGACTGTGGAAATATTTGAAACAGCTGCTCGTGTTACATCTACAAGTTAGCAATTCAAGATTCAGATCTCACGGGACTAAATAAGCTCCAGTAGATTTTTTAAAATATAATTTTGCATTCTAAAAAGGAATGTAACTTTTTAGAGGTTTTTGTAGATAATTAACTTACCGTTTGGATAGAGATGTCTGGCAATTTTTGACAAGTTGTTTTGGCATTTGTTTCAAATCTAGACTATAAAATTGCATGTAGAAATCAAAGAGTATTAGAAGTTCAGAATTAAAAACCATAAAGTTTGCATATGATTTTGGTTTGCAATAGAAATTCAATTTGGATATCTGGATGTCTGCTGTTTGATTGTAACCAGAAAGAGTTCAATACTTTGGCTACCTGCTGAGAGTTTTGTTGCTGCTTATGTGCATAGTCCCTCCCCCAGCAAAGTTGTCAGTGTTTAAATGGGTCTGCTCCACACGTGGCAGAATGCAGCACTACGGCCATGTTAATGCTGATAGAAAAGCAGAGGCGTTTATTACAGACCAAAAAGAGCCATAAAGCACACATCAGCATTCCTATTTAAGTGGCAACAACAATTTCCTTTGTTTCGACAAACGTACTAACTAAACATATAACTATGTTCAGGGAGGTGCGGTTGGGGAGGAATGGAGTAGAAGAAATCAAACGTCACCCTTTCTTCAAAAATGATCAGTGGACATGGGACAGCATCCGCGAGAGTGAGTATCGTAATGATGGTCTTTATGATGTAGTTTGTTTAATGTTCAGACTCATCTAAGTTAGAGAAGCATGGTAATGAAATCCAATCTAAATGAACTAGGCATGTGTAAGTAATCCGTTTTTCGCCTGTTACTTCTGGTAAGAATTTATTTCGTATGCTGCAACTTTACACTGCATGAAGTTTCCCATAGCAGAAAAGTGTCCTGTAGGTTTTTGTGAATTTAATTATTTCAAAATAGCAGTAGCAACCCTGACAGTTATGTCTTTAGCTAGGTAATTTGATATTATAATGTTTTTATTTTGTCTAAATTACACAAGATATTCATGTACTTTTTCAATTTTTTCAATTTGATGAAATTTTTTTAAAAATCATTTGGGTTTTTGCTCCATTTTAAAACTGTATATTTTGTGCTTAATAAAACCTTGCATTTCATATAGTGCTTTCTTACATCAGAACATCTCAAAGAAAATCACAGTGAAATTTAGTAACTGCGTACACAAATGAAGTAGCTAATGTATGGCACCGATATTCACAAACAGCACTGAAATGAATGACCAAATTTATACAATGCAATTTACATTTACATAGCCTGGTTCATATTGGGAGGATGTCTCAAAGTGCTTCATGCAGATGATTCACCCTCACATATAAATTTCTTGACACCCTAACATACCCTACCTCTTTGATCTGCTCATATCCCACTCTGTGCCCACTCCTATTCTCAGCTAAAACAGGTCTGCAGTGTGCCTCCACGCCATCCATGCTTTCAATCACCTCAGTTGGCCACCAAGCCTTCAATCGCTGCTCCCCTTACTGCCAGACTCCCTGCCTTTATGCCTTCTCCTCACTTCCTCTTTATTGATCTTCAGATCCCACCTTAAAACCTGCCTCTTCAATTACTCCTTTGGTCACCTTTCCTCCCCTTTTTCCCTTGAGCTGTATATAAATGTATGTTAGGGCCTTTGTTAATTGGAAGTATGTTTGACGTTGGGTTTGCAATCAATCAGCTTGGTTCTGACTATAGCTTCTACTAAATATGATGTGCACTTGTGTAAAAATAATCCTTGCATTTAGTCTTTCACATCAGGAAGTGTCTCAAAGAGCGTCACAGGAATTAATGTGAAGTGTTAGAATTGTGTACCCGTAATGAATGCACTAAGTAATTTGCACACAGCAGGTTCCACAAACGGCATGAAGTGAATAGGTCAATTTTATCTGGGGGTTTGTTGGCCAAGACACCGAGAGAGACATTTCCCTTTTTTAATTTTGCCAATGGATCGTTGACACCTACTGAACAGGCAGATAAGACTTCAGTTTAACATCTCATCTGAAGGATGACACCTCTAACAATGCAATGGAGTGTCAGCCTAACTATCTGAGTCAAAAGTCCCAAAGTAAGGCTTGCACCCACAACCTTCTAACTCGGAGGCAAGAATGCTATGAACTTTGTGTGGGCAGTTTAGTTAAACCTGAATATTTATCAAAAATAATAATGATTAATCCTTAAATTTGTATAGCATCTTTCACATCGGGAATTGAAAATGAGATCCTGTGCCAACACTTTAATTTATTGGCCTTGTGTTAAAAGTTGAAAGAGTCTGTATATATATATATCTTCCATGAATATTTCAGAAATGTGTGTTAGAATGAGTGATAAATTAGATCAAATTATTCCTGTTTTTATTGAGTGGTAGATGTTTTCAAGTTAAAAGTAGGTGGTTGAGATGCTTGTGCTGCAGTACATAAGGTAAAATTTATAACTGGATAGACCCAAGGCTCATAATTTTGGATGATTTTAGCCTTAAGACCATTGTCTAAAAATTTAACATTGATCAGATTCTTTAATTTAGTTTTGAGTTTTAAGACCCAGGAAAAGTCCAGTTTAAAATTAAGAATTTCAGGCCTCTAGATGTAAAAAAAACATCTTTGTCCATTGTGCAGGGTGTTAACCTGTAAAATTCCTCTTCAGCAAAAAAAAAGTTTTAAAATATTACATTGTAGCCATTTCCTAAAAGTAGAAGTAAATCTAAATCAGATAAACCTTGGTTAGCAGGACTAATGGGGGGAGTGGGGAGATCAGTCCAGCAAGCCTGAATTTCCGGCTAAGTGTATTTACAATGCCTGTAATGGTGTTTACCAGCATTTTTCAGCGCTATGTTTTTTTTAATGTGTGAATAAACTATCTTCAACTTACTTGATCACTCATCTAAAGGAGGTCTACACACGGCCATTGTGAAGGCTCGCCAACATAAGGAACATGAGACGGGAAAATAATTATGTGGGCTGCTCAGCAAAGCATTGGCATGTGCCAGGAGAGTTGGGAGGCAGGTGCCAGCGGAATTTTTAAAAAATTGGTTTCAGGCCTGGTCTGGCTAGCTTTAAATTTTAGATACCAGAGTCCAGTAAGATGGGGGGTTACTGTTATTCAATAAACAGTGAGGCCATCAGTAAGGGCTTTTGTAAGTACAGGACACATCTGTATCTGAAAAATAAGTAAAACACTTATGTAGAGAGGATAAACAAGAGCAGTGGAAAGGAAAAATGAAGCCACATTGGAGCTTTACCATGGAGCATTCTGTTAAGTGGATCCAGTTGTTCCCTAATGTGCTTTGAGACGAGATGTATTTTCGGGATACATTTTGTTGGTGTGGCAGTTGCTGTTTGAAGAGCAAACTGATTTCACTCACCATGTTTTATGGAAATGTATTTAAGAATTAAGACTGGGGTATTACATAAAAGGAAAATATTCAGATACCTTGTTAACCTTTTCATTATTCTGGAGGTCCTGGATTCAAATAGCTCTTGAAAACTTCCAAGTTTCCTTCTTGTGTGAGCATTGGAAATGGCTTATAAAAACATTGGAATTAGAAATGGTTGGAATTCATCAGAATAGGCTCATAATTTTATAATAATAATAATCCTTGCATATGATATCCTTGCCTTATCATGTCTTCGAGACGTCTCAAAGCACTTCAGAATATGTTGTAAAGTGAATTGACTATTTTGTGGGAGAAACGCGGCAGACCATTTTGCACACAACTGTATCCCACAAACAGTCATGGATTGAAGTGACCGATTTATTATTTTTTTAAAAGAAATTATTACCCCCGGAAAAGCAATCGGCCAATTGTCTTAACAACCGGGTTCCTACTTACTGCTAGGTAAACAGAGGTGTGTGGAGTAAGAAAACTTGCCCAACATTTCTCCCTGCTGGGAATTGAACCCAGGTCGCTCGTTTGCAAGGCGATTGCGCTAAACCCTGAGCTACAGGACTTATGTGCTTAAACAGCAGCCAGCAGGGATCCATAAATGGCCATGGTGTGAGTGACAACTCTTCTGGAGGATTGTTGGCCAGGACACCTGAGGAAACTACCTTTCCTTTTCAAACTAGCATCAATGTGTGTACTTTAGTGTGTATCTCAACGGTGGACAGTTGCCATTTCACGTCTTCAACAATGTAGGAGTCCCCAATAATGTAGTGGGTGCCTTACCTTGGGAAAAGGTTAAAACACCATTCTCTTAAGCTTCCCTTCAGAAAAATATTCTGCATACTTTCCCTAGTAATTTAACCTACATGTATACTTCAGTCTTAATCCTTAAATTAAAATGTGGAGTCCTGTAGCTCGTGGAGTCCTGTAGCTCAGTGGTTAGAGCACTCGCTTTGTAAGTGAGAGACCTGAGTTCAATTCCAGGCAGGGCGAAACCTTGGGCAAGTTTCCTTACTCCACACGTCTAATAATAATCCCTCCAAAACCAAAAACAATAATAAATTGGTCATTTTCAATCTACGACTGTTTGTGGGACACTGCTGTGCGCAATTGGCTGCCGCGTTCGCCCACAAATATACAGTCAATTCACTTTACAGTGTGTTCTGTGAAGCGCTTTGGGACGTCCTCCCGACGTGAAAAGCGCTATATCAAATGCAAGGATTATTATTATTATTATTACACATCTCCAAAAACATGGCAAATTGAATCAGAGCACCTTATTCAGACCGTAACAGTCACTGTAGTGTCAGTCTAGACTGAGCTCAACTCCCAAAATGTGGTTTTAACCCATAACCTTCTGACCCAGAGAAAAGAGGCTACCAACTGAGCTGTTCCAACACTTAGCACCTGCACATCATAACTGTTTTTTCAAAGCTTAAGCTTACTGCCTCCAGGGAATTCAGTAAACGACTGAAATAAAATTTTATTGGCTTTTGCTACTGAAGTGGAGGATACCTTGAATGAGACAGAACTGAATGACTGCAACTCATTATAGAGTTCTCCAGCACTTCAAAGATTAGCTCAGGAGTCTGTGACCATCCTGATGTGTGTAACAGCTGTTTGAATATTAAATCTCAAATATTTTGTAAGAGCAATGTTTTAAATTACATTAATGAGGAAAGATTTATTAATCCTATTTTTGTGAGCCGAGACATTCCATCAACAATATCGCTAAAAGTTTCTAGTCAATCTCCACTGGTTTCTGATTCCTTTGGAGAGACTTGCAGACAGTGAAGATGTAATGAAATGTATAGGAAATGGATTGTGTTAATGTGTTTCACTATGCTATTTATAAATAATCCCACTCCTAATTATTTAATTCCTCAAACTGTTTTAAAATGAAACTCAGACAATAGTTTTATAGTCATATTGCCTTATCAAACCTTCCATAAAGCTTGGTTTTCTAGTTTGTCTGTATGTATTCCTCATTTGTGGATTACATGAAAAAGCTTACCCATCTGTAGGGTCATCATTCTGTAAATCAGATATATTGCACACATGAAGTTCCTTCACAACTATCTGGATCACACGTAGGAGGGGGAGGTGACAATAAGGAGACTGCTGAGGAGTGTTTAAGAAGTAAAATCAGGAGGTATCAAAGGCAACAGAGGTAAATTTTGTTAGGATTTGGCGTGAGATAGAAGCAGGCAACGTGACGGGCAAACAAGTAATAATAATTCTTGCATTTGATATAGCGCCTTATCACGTCTTCAAGATATCTCAAAGCGCTTCACAGAACATACTGTAAAGTGAATTGACTATATATTTTGTGGGCGAAATGCAGCAGGCCAATTGCGCACAGCAGTGTCCCACAAACAGTCGTGGATCGAGTGACCAAATTATTTTTTAAAATTTATTTTGAAGGAATTATTACCCCAGAAAAAGTGATCCGCCAATCGACTAACAAGCAGGCATTGTGGCAGGGGAGGACAGAGTGGCTGGACAGGCAGGCAATGGGGTGGGGGGGTGGCAAGCAATTTGATGTGGACAGGTGAATTGCACCACAACTGGAAGCAATGTTAAATCACTCCAGCAGTGTTAATGATATAAACCCCAAAGATTTGAACAAAATGCTTGTTCTGATGAAGGGACACACCTGAAACATTAAATTGTCTTTCTTTTTCGGCTTCGAATTGACATGATGTTTTTCTGTGTTTTTCTTTTCATTTTGTAGCATTGTTGCTACATCCTTGGTTGTGAGCTCATCACATCAGGACTTTGAGCTCGGTCTATGCTGACACTCCAGTGGAGTGCTGCAGGGCGCACTACATTTTCGGAGGTGCCGTCCTTCAGATGAGATGTTAAACTGAGGTCCAGTCTGCCTTTTCAGGTGTCACTTCAAAAAGAGAGGGGAGCTTCTCTTGGTGTGCTGAGCAACAATCCTACGGATACAATTAGTCATTCACTTCATAGTTGTTTGTGGAATATTGCTGTCCACAAATTGGTTGCTGTGTTTGCCTACAAATACACAATTGCATTACTCTATAATAAGAATCCTTGCATTTGATACAGCACAATATCACGTCATTTCATTGTTTCAAAGCACTTCACAGGATATACTGTAAAATAGATTTTGTGGTACATTGAATATAGTACCTACAGTAAATCCTGTGAAGTGCATCGATATAGTAAAGCGCAAATGCAGGTATTATTATCCTTAATGTGTCTAACCTTTTGGCTCTTTAGAAGGGATTCAAAAAGTGTACTTTTCTTCCTGGAAAAAGCAAACAAGATTTTCCTCCTATTTCCCAAACTAAGTTCCCTCTAATTATAACAAATGATCTGACCCAAATCCTCTAATGAATGAACTGCCTTTCTTGGGAAGCTAATAGTGTTCATCTCCATGGAATAGCATTCTCATGAGTCGGCATAATTTTCTGCATGGAATTTTTCGAAACGAAATGCACTTTATGTCCCAAGGCACCTTGAGCTTGCGTCATTTTTTTGCTCCAGCCTTCCCGTTTGAGTGCTTTTCCAAATTTAAAGTCACTTTGGATCTTTCTTAACTTTCCTCTGCTGTCCCTTTTCTCCTATCTAAATAAATCCACAACTCTTTACGTGCAATTATTTTGGTCACAAAGCACTTTGCGAGTTAGCAGACTCACCTACTCTAGAAATAAATACCATATTAGGAAATCACACTTTGTTTCATTGTTGGCAGGCCTTTTATGATTGTCAAGGGTTCACATCATATCAATATTAATATATTGTTTCTGACTAGATAAAGTTAGCTGATAACTTCTTCTGGTTTGTAACACAGCTGCAGCCCCTGTTGTACCTGAATTGAGCAGCGACATAGACACAAGTAATTTTGATGATATTGAAGATGACAAGGGAGAAGTGGAAACATTTCCTATTCCAAAAGCCTTTGCAGGGAACCAACTACCTTTCATAGGATTTACTTACTTCAGAGACAGCCAGTAAGTATTTTATTTTGCACTTGCACCTTAATCCCAGGAAAGATTCTAAATAATCATTTAGAACTGATGAATTGTTGAGAACTCCATTTCTTCAGAGGATAATTTTGAATTCATGCTGACGTATCCTGTGTATGGATTTACTTTTAATATGTTTACTTTGAACAGGTTTTCTTGTCATGTGCAACCAAGCCATTCCTGTTTTGTTGCATTGTTGTATATTGACCTGGTTATATCTAAAATGCCACTTTGTCAATATTTAGATTGTATCCTTTTAATTGGTTGAGATCAGGTCTTGGAGTTAACAAGATCAATCAACCTTTTTTAAAAAAATTATTTCCACCTGAAAAATGGACCGTGGAAATCAGAGTTAGAAGACAAGTGGTAACTAAAGGATTTCAAGTTTAAATGAGGATGAAACAGGAAAATTCACTTATTTTCAGGGAAAAGGTCAAATATAAATTAGAAGAGAAAATCACGCAAGAAAAATTTGGGTGAGCAGAAGTAAATATTTTATTTTAAAAAATGTTTTGTTTTAAATGTTTATCTTACAGAGTGGTAGCTTTACTACTCTTAATATTCACCAAAAGCTTTGCGAGAGCTGTAAAATTACCCAAAGGAGATTGGGACTTTCCAGGTATACCAATACAGTACAATTTGTGTGTCAGCCTGGCTCAGTGGAAGCACGCTTGCCTCAAGTCAGAAGATTGCTGGTTCAAGCCTCACGTTGGGACTTGGATTGACAGAGTCTAAGGTGACACTCCAATGCAGTACTGGGAGTATGTTGCATAGTCAGAGGTCCCGTCCTTTGGATGTGACATTAAACCAAGGTCCCGTTTACCAGTTCAGGTGGAAGATAAAGATTCCATGTTACGACTCGAAAAGAGAAAGGAATTACTCCTGGCCAACAATCCTGTCCCGATGTCCCAAAAATAGGCAACACACTCTATGGCTGTTTGTCGGTCATGCTGTGCAAAATACACAGTCAAACCAATTTACAGTATATCCCTGTGCAGCATTTTAAGATGTCCCAACAATATGATAAAGCACTATATCAAATGCAAGGATTATTATTTTATTATGAATTTATATTTATAGCACCTTTCAATCCAGAGGACATCTCAAAACACTACCAACTATTTCATAGGTTTAAAAAAAATTTGATCTCTGATGCTGTGATCGCTGATGGAAATCATATAGAAAAATCCTATGCACAGTGTTTAACTGAGTAACTCTACTTCAATGTGTTTTTCAAGAAGCAGCAGCATAGATTCTTGATAGCACACTTGACAGTGCCTTTGAATAGCTCCAACAACAATGACAAAATTATGTTTACATAGCACCTTTCGCGTCGGGAGGATGTCCCAAGTTGCTAGACAGTCAGTGTTTCGGACTCGAGCTGGGATCGAGATTGGGGATGTTGGAGGGCGGGGGGGGAAGAAGAGTGCTTGAAAGCACGATCAAAGAGGAGGGTCTTGAGATGAGTCTTGAAGGAAGCAAGGAAGGGGGCGAGGCAGAGGGACTGCGGGATGGAGTTCCAGAGGGTGGGGCAGAGTGGCAGAAGGCCTGCCCTCCAATGATGGGGCGGGGGACCTGAAGTAGGCCGGAGCCCGCTGAACAGACATGTTGGTAGGGGGTTTAGGAGATCGCAGAGGTAGTGGGGAGCGAGGCCATGAAGGGCTTTGAAGGTGAGGACGAGGATCTTGAACTGTATCCTCTGTGTGATGGGAAGCTCCAGTCGTAAGACCTAGTGCTTTATAATATATTGAAACAAACCCTAAGGGTTATTAGAACTGAAATTTCTACCTCTGATTTCTACTCACGTTCATAAAACACTCTAGGTTCCATCTTACAAACACATTTGAGTCATGCGCTGTTGCCAAGCATCCATTATTTTGTATATTTATCTTTCTCAGAACATTTTCAGTGAATACAATCATATTTGTCAATTTTAAATAATCATTCATCTATCCGGTCACAGACCGGTTGGACCGAGTGGCCTGTTTCCATACTATGCATTCTTTGTAAATCTGGTTTTAAAGTGCTTGATTGAAAGCTCCAGTTTTACTGCCCACTCATAATGTTGCTGGGGGGAGGGGGCAGAGCTTTGTGCTTGTATAACATGCTGCTTACTAACTTTTGATGCTGTTCAGATCATCAGTGATTAAAAACAGCTGGTGAGTAGCTAGCTTCTTTCAGTTATTTGAAAATTATTGGCAATAAATGGACTAAGTTATCGTGTAAAAAGATCATATAGTGAGGTTGTTCATTTATCATGCCCATCACTTCACAAAGAGTGAGACCAAGTTTTAGCTGATTTTAAGATGAAAGATTGGCAGAGCTGTGATGCACAGCTTGCTTTTTTTAATGATCTGAGAGAACCTGGAATAAAATCTCATGATATGCAGCAAAACTGAAACATAATTCAAGGATTATTATTTAATAATAATCAGATGGATAATGTGAGTATGTCTTGCCATTCTATGCTGGTCAAACATTTTTAGTATTTCTATTAATCCAATGCAGTACACCAACAATGTTTTAAAACACAAGTTTAACTTGCTTAAAATATTAAGCAAACTATTTTACCAATTCTGTGTAGTTACAGTTTGAAAGTCATAAGGAAAGTTTCCAGATGGGAAGGTAATCTTTCGTTGGCATTTTCCCCCCAACAATTCAAAGGTTACTTTAAAATAACTTCATACAATTGTTTCAAAACATTGTAACTAAATAAAAGAGAGATAATCATATCCAAAGAGGTCTGAACTAGTTAGGCAGCTGGGTTGAGGACTAGTGAAATGAATTAAATGTATATACATATAAAACCTACAGAAATCAATGTAAAAATGAATAAAGTATAATAATGGGATTTGGTGTGATTTCTGATCAGTCACTGTATTCCCTCAGCTAATGTAAAGCGGCAATAAAATACTAGTCAGAACAAATTTATTCTGATCTTGCATAGCGCAATGGCAAGGCCATATTGAAAGTGGCAGTTTGAGCACATTAATTTTAAAGTAGAAGGTTCAGAGAGGGGTGGGAAGGATCATTCTGGGCCTTATAAGGCCTGTGTTTCGTAAGAAAAATATTCTGAGGTGAAATGGTTTTATTTATGGTAGGAAATTATTTTCGGAGGTGTGAGGCAAAGATTTGGGATGAAAGGGGCATGCATCATTTGCTGGGCAGTGCCAAGTGATGTCCTCCAGTGTTTAGTGCTGGGCTCTCACTTTTCATTCTACATACACATTACGTGTGTAGAGGAATAGAGGGTGTATTTCTAAATTTGGTGTTGGCGTTAAGCTAGGAAATATGGTGAAGAGGATAGCAGAAAATTGAAAAGTGCCCAGGTACTATTCACTAAATTAATATTTGGGTTGATGAAGGAGTTTGATGAGGATGAAGGCAGGCTGCGGATGTTAACAGGTGATTTGATTGAATTGTTTAAAATAATGAGAATTGACAAGTGTTCCTCTGGTAAAGAAATCCAATGCAAAGCAACATAATAAAGTTAGAGCTAAAACTGAGAATTCAGATAGCAAAACATTTCATCTTGCAATGGATTATGAACATGTGAAATGCACTGCTGCAGAAAACTACTGAAGTTATCAGGCAGAATTGTTTGAGATGCTTAAAAGGGAGAAGGATAGATGCTTAAAAATAAGGGTAAAGATTTGGCACTCTGAAGTAAGTAAATTCATAGAAGTTACAGGTGAACATGTTGAGTTGCTATCTTTTTAGTCAATATTAGTCAATTGGGGGATGGTTTTTCCGGGGGTCTGTTCCCATTCCCCTAAAAACTGCCACCATCACACCCACTTTGAAAAAACCCACCCTTGATGCGTCGCAGCTATCAAGCTACCGGCCCATCTCCAACCTCCTCTTCCTGTCCAAGATCCTTGAAAGAGTTGTCGCCTCCCAACTGCGCTCTTTCCTCTCCACCCATTCATTATTCGAACCCTTTGAGTCGGGTTTCCGTGCTGCCCATAGCACAGAAACTGCCCTGGTCAAGGTCACCAATGACATCTTGACCATCTGTGACCAGGGCTCCCTCTGCCTCCTCGTCCTCCTCGACCTATCGGCCGCATTCAATACGGTCGACCAATCTATCCTCCTCCACCGCTTGTCCTCCCACCTCAACCTTCAAGGCCCTGTCCTTGAATGGTTTAGGTCCCAGCTCTCCCACCGTCTTCATTTGTTTCCACAAGCGGCTTTTCCTCCAACCCCCGCACTGTCTCGTGCAGTGTCCCTCAGGGCTCTGTCCTCGGTCCCTCCTCTTCACCCTCTATATGCTCCCCCTTGGTGACATCATCCGCAAACATGGGGTTAACACCCAACTCTACCGTTTCCTCCTCTACCCTCAACTCCACGACCACCGATGTCCTGACAGCCTGCCTGTCTGACATCAAGTCCTGGACGAGAGACAACTTTCTTCAGCTCAACGTGTGCAAAACTGAGGCCCTCCTGATTGGCTCACGTCAGCGCCTCCGCACCTCAGGCGCTGACAGCATCAGCATCCAAGGCTGCACTCTCCACCTCTCAAAGTCAGTCAGGAACCTCGGTGTTCTGTTCGACCCTGAGCTGTCCTTTCTCCCTCATATCCGCGCCACAACTGGCACCGCCTTCCAACACCTCCGAAACATCGCCAGACTACGGCACTACCTCACCCCTCACGCTGCTGAAACTCTGGTCCACGCCTTTATCACCTCAAGGCTGGACTATGGGAACTCTCTCCTCGCCGGCCTTCCCGGCACCTCCCTCCACAAGCTGCAGGTCATTCAGAACTCTGCAGCTCGTGTACTGTCCCGCACCAGGCTTCGCGACCACATCACTCCCACCCTCGCCCTCGCTCGCCTCCACTGGCTCCCCATCCCCCAGAGGATCGAATTCAAGATCCTCATCCTCACCTACAAGGCCATTCACGGCCTTACTCCCTCCTACCTCTCTGACCTACTATCCCCCTACTTACCTGCCCGTACCCTCCGTTCCTCTGGCTCCGGTCTGCTCCACATCCCCCGCCCCAACCGCCCTACGATCGGTGGCCGGGCCTTCAGCCTCTCAGCCCCGAGGCTCTGGAACTCTATCCCCCAGTGCCTTCGCCGCCTCCTCCCTTTCCTCCTTCAAGGCCGGTCTCAAGACCTTTCTCTTTGATCGTGCCTTCAGCTCCCCTCTCGACTCTCTACCCCCTCCTCGCTCCCTCCCTTCCCTCCCCTCACCCTGACCATTTCCCCCCTGCTCGGGTCCTGACCCAACTGTCCAGTGCCTTGGGACATCCTCCCGATGTGAAAGGCGCTCTATAAATGAAATCTTGTTGTTGTAATAATCCCTTAAAAAAAAAATAATTTGGTCACTCAATCCACTTCTGTTTGTGGGACATTGCTCTGCACAATTTGCTGCCATGTTTCGCCCACAAAATATGCAATCAATTCACTTTACAGTATATTCTGTGAAGTGCTTTGAGATGTCTCGAAGAAGTAATAGGGCGCTATATCAAATGCAAGGATTATTATTTTATATAAAGATGTATGGAGGAAAGGTATGACTATGTGATTAGAAAGACCTGAAAAGATCTATTAAACTGGCACAGCAAGCTTTTAGTAGCAATCACTTATAAACTAGAAAATGATCAGGCTCATTAATGACCTATTAGTGCAGATTTGAGGTGCATCAACTAAATTGGTTCTTGCTATATTAATTTACCCCTATTATTTCTTCGGAAAATACTACAGCAACAAATTGCACTTATATTGCGCCCTCCACACAGGGTAGCGTCTCAGAGCGCTTAACAGTGGGGGAGCCTGACTACTGTTACTAATAAGGAAAGTTCTTAAAATAGAAACACAGTTTTAACATGATTTTCAAATCTGAAGGGTTGCAGCAGTTTTTTTGCACAGCCTAGTTCTGAGGAAGACTTGGCTTCAATCTTGTAAGAATGTTTTAGTGAGAGTTAAGCTCTGAGACATGAGTGGATTGGCATGATGGCTGAAATTGTTGAATCTTGAATAGAAGAGTTGTGTTTTTTTTATAGGTTGCTAAGTGATTTGCCTGAGCCCTACAGTGAAAATGAGCACACGATGTCCAGTAAAATTGAGGTGGGTGTAAATGTGTTTTGTAGCTTGCATGAAAAGCAAGTGCTGAAATAGTTTTAGTTTTTGTACTAATTTTCTATTTCGTAGGTTCTCGTTTTATAGCTATTTTATATTTATGTAGCTATATTTGTAAATAAAATTGCTTGTATTAAAAGTTGATTTTCTTTTTATTAAAATGTTTGGTTTTGTATGGGCCTTCAGCTTGAAAATCAGCATTGGTTACAATGTGGCAGGAGTATTTTACCTTGGCACTGGAGAGCTTTGTGTATGGTCAAATAATAAATTATAAAGAAAAGTACCAGCTAAACTGTAAAGACTAAAATGATTTTTAAAAAAGAGCCTTCTTTACAATACCATTATTATAATGGAGGGGATAACTGCAACTTTACATATTCAGGTCCCACTTTGTATTTGGTGTAGATTACATCTAAGTACTTATGTTGATTATTAACCAGCATGCCTGGCTCATCAATAGGAGTTGCAGGGGTAGGGAAGTCACTGAAAGCCGAGATTCCTCCTATTTGCCTCCAGATAACCGCAATCCAATGGGTTGGATAGGCCGTATAAGCACTTTGGAGTTGCTAATGCCTTGTCTGATGTTCTTCAGGTTTAGACAAGTTTTCACAGGGAGGAAATTGCACATTTCTGCCAAACAGAAATTGCTCATGTGAGTTCTCAAAAGCTGAAACAAGACTACCGCAACGATTTCCATGTGTGTTGGACTCCAATTTTTTTATAGTGATTGATTTTCATATTATACTCCAGGTTCATACCCTTTCACAATAAAAATGTCCTGCAAGCCTTAGTATGTCATTATCAGGACCCTTTCATAAATCAGTCCATAAAAAGGAGTAATCAACTTATGATTTTCTCAGTAATTTTTCTGTCCGTTTAATTAAATAATCGTATATTTAAGCAAACCTGAAAAGCCCAAGGAACCTGTTGGGAGTAAATACTATAATTAATAATTTATTTACCACATCATCATATAGTTGCTAACCCAATCTTCAGCAAATCAATCCCTCGCTATTGAAAAAGAACGTGCATTTTTGTAGCTTCTTACACACCAAGCTATCTCAAAGCAATGAAAAAATAATCTCAATATATTTCTGTCATGGTTGCTAGATTTTAAACTTAGTTTTTTTTAAACTAATGAGAATTTTAAAAAATCTCTGGTTAGACTTGCAAATGTTTTGGGAGGAAAATTAAGTAAATACAATTATTTTGGTGCATTAAAACTTTCATTACATCAATCACATACAATTTTCTTTAATGGAACATCCAATACTAGTATTGGGGAGAATCATTTCAGAGAAGACCTGTGTATTCCGACTCCCTAATGTTTTATAATTCTGTAAAACACTGAGTTCCATTTCCTATCTTGTTTATGTCAGGTGTTAAGTTTTTTTAGCAGTTAAGTTTTGAAAATTAAGAGTATAAATGCTTTATTTTTCCCCGTTCATTCAGCTGCAAGTGACTACAGGATGTAGGCTATATTTCCACTTCTGGAAGAGGAATTACTTGGCTTGCCCCTTTAAGGAAATTGCACCTTGAGATTTGATCCTCCCTGGTAAATTGATTTTCATAAAGGGCTAAGTCATAAGTGTTCTTCCCCTGTGGGAAGGTGGCCTACATCCTTTGGTATGGGGAGATTGAACTTCTAGCAAAGGTAAGTCATTTGTATTATGTGGGACTTATCATTGGGGAAGGCTTCTGTATACTTCTAGTTCCTTACTGTACTGTAGAACAGTCCTTTATTTAGTGAATTCAGTGTTATGCCAGGCTCGCTAGTGTGCACGTAGGGGCAGTAGAATATAGTGGAGAACAATTTTCTCTTGGAATCACAAATTATAATTTGAGGCATTAGTATGACTGGCAAAGCATTAATTTGAAGTGTTTTTACTATCTAGAGTAGTGCACTGTAATTCCATTAAGGGACAATTTCAAATGCTGCAATGGCAGTATGCACATTTATGCATCATGTATGTCATGTGAATTTAGATATCCGTGATAATAATACTTCAAGCATTGATATTCAGTTCTTAGGTATGATGCAAAGGGTCACAAGTCTTTTGTACCTAAATGTAATTGTTTTCCTTCTCTTATTTTACAGGATAGTTTGGAGGTATGTAGCTTTCATCCTTTGTAAAACCTATTTGAAAATGAGTGCACAATGTTCATTATGATATCACGATTCATATTATTGCCAATATTTCCTTCCTTTTTTGTTTCAGTCTAAAAAACTACAAAAGAAGCTTCATCAGATAGAAGAACAATTGAATAACGAAATGCAAGCCAAAGATGAAATGGAACAGAAATATAGGTATGGGTAGATTTAGGGATGAGTGGATGGTGCAGTGGTTAGTGTATTGTCTTTTCAATTTTGAAGTCTTAGTTCAAATCAATAGCAACAAATTACATTTGTATAGTGCCTTTCATGTCAAGGCGCTGGACAGTCAGGGATTTGGACGCGAGCTGGGGGTTGAGATCAGGAAAGGTGGAGGGCAAGGAAGATAGGGGTATGAGGGTGGCCGAATGCATGGTCGAAGAAGAGGGTCTTGAGACAGGCCTTGAAGGAGACGAGAGGAAGCAAAGAGAAGGGACTGTGGGATAGAGTTCAAAAGAGAGGCTGAATTGTTCCGCATGGTGGATGAGGCAAGGGACATGGAGCAGGCCGGAGCCCGCTGAGCTGAGGGAGTGGACAGGTCGAAATAGTTAGTAGGTCATAGAGGTAGGGAGGAGCAAGGCCATGGAGTTCTTTGAAGGCAAGGACAGGGATTTTGAACTCTATCCTCTGAGTGAATTTTGTTGTTGTTGTTGACGGGAGCTGGTGGAGGATGGGGGTGATAGGGTCACCGAGCCTGGTGTGTGAGGGTACATGAGCTGCAGAGTTCTGGATGACCTACAGCTTTTGGAGGGAAGATTTGGGAAGGCTGACAAGCATAGAGTTAACATAGTCGAGCCTGATGTGATAAATGCATAGATGAGGTCTCAGCGGCCTGAGGGGAGAGGCAGTGGCAGAGCGGGTGATGTTACGGAGGTGGAGAAAGGCAGAGCAGGCCATGGCACGGATGTGGAGTAGAAAGCGTCGAATAAAATGCCAAAATTCAGTGGCTGGCTCAGTGAAGTGTAGAGAATGAGTCCATGGATAGTGATGCTGTCATTGCCTGATAGGTACCAATCAGGTCCTCGATCTTGTTGACATTCAACTGGAGAAAGTTAGCTCTCCTCCAGGACTTGATGTGTGACATACAATCAGTCAGCACAGCAGTGGTCCTGGAATCAAAGAAGCAGAGAGATAGAGTTGTGTGTCATCCGCATACATGTGGAAGTTGACCCCATGTCTGCGGATGATGTCACTAAGGGGGAACCTGTAGCCACTGAAGAGGAGAGAACGAAAGCAGAACCCTGATGAATGCTGCACAAGACAGTGTGGGGGCTGGAGGAGAAGCTGTTCATGGAGAACAAATCAGCCCATACTTGGAGTCAAATGTGAAATGAGTCTGAGGAGTTTTAATCCATTTCCTATTGAGCATAGGACCAGAGCACATTTGGTGTAAATTTTATTGAAGTGTAGGAGAAATTTAACATTGAATTTAAAATGTGCTGTGCATGTCTTGGGACTGTTTGTTGTTGACATTGGCTGACCAAATGAGGATGTGTTCCATTTTCTAACACTGACCTCCCTCTCATTGATGTGTGCAGAATTCCAAGAAAACAAATACCATTTCCAATTTCATGTTTGTGCTCAATACTTGAGGAAGGGAGAAACTTGGTAACTGTAACTTCAGTTGTGGGGAAGTCACTGGAATCTCATCAGGCACAGGTTGCATAAACTTGGTCTCTATTCCCTTGAGTTTGCAAGGTTGAGGGATGATCTGATTGAGGTTTTTAAATTAATAATTTGATAGAGTAGATACAGAGAAACTATTTCTCTGATATGGGAATCTTAAAATTAGAGCTAGGCCATTTAGGAGTGAAATTAGGAGGCAGCTTTTCACCCAAAAGGTAGTGGAAATCTGGAACTGACTCCCCCAATCACATTTTCAAGACTGAGGTGAATAGTAGATATTTGTTAGGTCAGGATATTAAGGGATAAGGGGCAAAGGTAGGTAATTGGAGTTGATGTACAGATCAGCCATGATCTTATAGAATGGCAGAGCAGGCTGAATAGCCTACTCCTGTTCCTAGGCTTCTACTTGTGTGTGGGTTAATTGTTCAAGAAATCTTATAATTTTAATAAATAGCAATGTTAGGGTTCACTAGCTAGAATAATAGAATCATTCATGTTTTTAATGTTTATACATGTGAAATTTGTGTTCCGGTAGTCTGTGAAATTGCTAGTTATGGTTGTGAAATGAAAGGTATTCTGCTGCAGTAGATTAAATGGAAAAATGTATGCAATTTTAAAATCACCGACTTTTTAAACTAGGGATGTAGAAATGTTATGCTTTAACTACAGTGTAAATGATAAACTCAGTGTGACTGTATACAAAATAAAATGGCTTGTTTGGGAGAGTGAAGAAATGCCCCAAATGCAAGACGAGATTAGTTTTGGTTTTATTCGCTTGCTTCTTTCAGAATTTTTTATTATTGTGATTTGGTTTCTCCACTGCTTTAGGTATTACAATATAAATTTCCATTTATATTAGCACCTTTCATATTGGGAATCAAAGCAGTTATTGAACAAGATAAACCACCATATTTCAGTGTTATGTTAGGAATACTGTGGAAGTGCACAGAAGTTACGTCGAATGGTTTGATATCTCCCAACCCCCCACTCCCCCCCACCCCCAACTTGCCTCTGCTTCTTTCTACCTCCCTCTTCTCTCTTCTGGGGAAAGAGTATTTGTTTGTGGAAAAACCTCTCAACATAAATGGGTGATTGGAAAAGGATGCAATTAAAATTTAAATTTTACTTTGTTTTGTATGAAATATTTTGCTTTTAGTTTATGTTTACTTATACGTTTCATTTCTAGAGCAACAAACAACCGTCTGGAAAAGATATCCAAAGAATTGGAAGATGAGGTAGAGCATTAATACTATGTGTTCTCCAGATGGTTTTTATTTATTTCAGTATATACTTTAGAATAATAAGGTCCAGATAAGCAAGTTGTATTTGTTTATGTTCAAACATTCTATTTTCTTGATTCTTTCCAACAATAAATCAAAAATGCCATTTTGGGCGAGTGTAACAGGTTAGGAGGAAATATAATTTAAACCTCTATTTCAATCTATAAGTTTTATACCAGTTCTGTCATATTATCAATCTGGTCCCCAAAGCTACACTAGAGATGAGCAACAAAACTGGAAAAAAACCCACAAGAATTAGGTTGTGGTTTGGGAGACTATCAAATTTGGTAAATAGCAAATATTTAATTGTTTCTGATTATAATATTAATGTATTATTTTATAACATTGTAGAATAGATAATTCAACTTACAGCAAATATATATTTTATATATCAATAAAAATGAAACCCACTTGATTCTGGTTATATTATGTAGCCATGATTATTTTATTGGTTTCTAATTTAGCTTATTTTCTATAGGGTCTGTGGTAAATAAAAGAACTAGTCGTTCTTCAGATTTTAAATAGAGGCATCTTACACATTCCAGCTAAACTCTTTGAAAATAAGTCTGCAAAACAAATGAATTGTTTCAAAATTTTCATTCTATTTTGAGAGAGAGAATGAAGCAAGATTCTTGTAGTATACTTCTTTTCTGTATCGTTGATATGTTTCAGAACACCCTGAATTATACATCAAAAAGGCAGTGGAAATGTAAAACTTTGGCTTGGTGATTCCGTTTTCATATGATGATCAATTTTCTCAGTTTTATGTTGCATGTTTTAGGCTCCATATTTTTTCTGCATTTTTGATTATTTTATTATAATAAAATGAAGACAAAAGGGCAGTAACTAAAAGTAGCAGCTCTTTCACTTAAAAAGAGGCAGCAAAACGATAGTTATTTTATCCTTAGCACAAAATAGTATTTTTTAAAAAGTGTTGAAAAATAATACATTTGAGAAAGAATTTCAAACTGTTTGAAAAGGTTACTTTTTACTGGTTACCTTCACTTAAATAGTTTGGCTTTGTCTTTGGTAAAAGATTGTATGTGTGGTCGATCACCCCAACCTGTGAATTTTAGGTAACTTCTAGAAAAGATCTGGAGTCAGCATTAAGGCTGCTGGAGCGAGAAAAGGCATTGCTTCAGCACAAGAATGCGGATCACAACCGAAAAGCAGAAATGGAGGCAGATAAAAAGCGTATTCTGGAGAATGAAGGTAAATGGATTTCATCCATGTATTTGATTGAAGTGCAGTTCACAATCACTAATCTAGTTGCCAGTGACCCATCCTGACCAACAATCAGAATCTTGCCTATGGATTGGCTAAAAGCCTGCTGCTCTTCCGTAATCTTCTCCCGTCGACTTTTTCGCAATTTTCCTTAATCTGGATGATGTTCTATCCCAATCTGTTAAAATCAGTGGCTGTGTGTTATTCATTTTGTGGTTAGGTATTAATTACAGGTGGTGTTATAGAGAGATTGTGTGTGTGTCTGACTAAAATCTAGGTACACTATCAATTACATTTTTTTAGTGAATCTCCTAGTATTCCTGGCTGGATATGTAAATTATTCTGTTCTCATGTGTAACAAATCTGTGTGTTTCACAGTCACGAATTTGAAAGAACAGCTTGATGATTTGAGGAAACGGAATCAGAATTCTCAAATATCTAATGAGAAAATGGCTCAATTGCAGAGGCAGGTAAGTTAGTCAAGTTATTACATTTTTAACTCGTTTAAAAAATTGCTATGAATCAATTGGACTAGAGCGGTCCCACAATACTATGTAAGATATTTGTACATTAAGAAATGGAAGATGCAAATTCAGTTGAGTCCCTGTTCCGACTCAAGATCTTCTCAAAGCTGAGTTCTCACACGTCCAATTTCCTCCACGAGACACACACTGCGCTCCTAGATGCTTTTACAGAGGCTCATGCAATTTACCCTGTGGATTTTCTATTTGAGCACTTTTACAACCTATGTGTGTGAGACAATATCTGAAGTTTGGTGTGGGTGCCAGTGAACTGCAAGGGACACTTTTCTTCTCTCAAAAATGAACGCTAAAGAGTTGAGGATATGATAGTTGCTGGTTATATATGTTCATATATTCTTTGTCATTACACAAAATCTAGCTGGATGAAGCCAATGCCTTACTGAGGACAGAAACTGAGACAACAGCGAGACTACGAAAGAACCAAACTGAGTTATCAAAGCAAATTGGACAGCTGGAGACTAACAATAGGGAAATGCAAGACAAAAATGCTGCGTTGGATAATGCCAAGCTCAAGCTTGAAAAGGAATACATCAGCTTACAGTCAGCACTTGAATCAGAGCGAAGAGATCGTTCACATGGCTCTGAGATCATTAGCGATTTACAAGGTGTGGAAAAATTAAAAGTATCCTGAAGGTCAGCTGTTTTTTTAAAAAACAAAAATGCATCCAGCAGAAATGCATCTAAACTGCAGTTGTACAAGATGACTTCTATTTTTCCCTGATGGGATCGATGAAGCTACAGGAACCCAAATTGATGGGAGAGCGTTATATGAAATTGGATTCAGTATCCAATTATTATTTACACCCATGGAATAAAATTTGCAATGTTATATAATTATCTGATCTTGGCTTGTACATAACTTACTTTGAAATAGGGAACCTGGAGAAAGTGGAAGGGGTGGGAGGATCTTTGAACAAAAAAAGAATGTCTTTTAAATGTTCCCCATAAACATACTTTAAATTAGATGCAGCAGAAATTAATTTTGGAGGGAGTCAGCTTATTTTGCTTGTGTCATTGTTTTATTGAGTCGTTTCTAATGAGGTTTGTTTTCAGGTCGGATTTCTTGTCTGGGAGATGAACTGAGAAGTAATAAGAACAGCCTGGCTAAGACTGAAATGGATAAACGGCAGCTGTATGATAAACTAACTGATTTGGAAAAGGTAAGTTGGTTTACCTTTTGGGATTGAATGTGTTTTTCTCCTTAAATTTCTTTCCTCTCTCCCAAAGATACTATGCTTGACTATAAATTCCCTGAATTGACTGCCTTCTAGTGTAAGTGGTTCTAAGAAGTCATTTTTTGCATAAAACATACACAACTGCGCAAGTGAACTGAAATGAAGATATGTTAGCAAAATACTAGTTTTAAAAAAAAAGGAAAATGTATTTTAATTTTGATATTTTCTTTCCATTGCTTTAGGCGCATATGATTTTTATATCAATAGGTTTACTGCTTTGAGATCTTACCTATGACTCAGATAAGTAAAGAGTTTAAAGGAGTTTTCCAGAGAGACTTTCTTGATTTGGTACCAGAAAAATGGTTCATGCATATTGGTTTGGGCTTAGACCGAACTTGAGGAGGTGAGTAAGGTGTCTATTTGGGAGTGAAAACATAGAATGGAGTTATGCGGCTCCCAACAGGTTAAGTAGGGGTATGAGGGGTGGAACTGGATAACCACTCAAGATACATACCTAAGAAAATTGCGCAGGATGGAGGGCTATTGAAATGTTCTTGCAGTTTCATTATCCACGAGAAAGGTTCCCAAGTCCTGTGAAATCCCTCCTGTTGAATGTGTAGTTGGGCAGCAATTTTCTCTACCTGGAATATTGTCCTTAATTGTTGCTCTCATGTCATCATAGAAGAAGGAGCAACGTGCTTTCCTAGTTCAGGAAAACATCAGCCCACACTTATTTTTTATCGTGCAGACACTTGTACTTTAGTGCCCATTACCATTTGGATTTTCTTCACAAATTTGTATCAGCCGGGTTTTTTTATCTGTTTGTTCCTTACTTGTTCCCTTTTATTCCATTAACAGGAAAAGAACAACATGGAAATAGACATGACTTACAAGCTGAAAGTATTACAACAGAGTCTGGAGCAAGAAGAAGCAGAGCATAAGGCTACTAAAGCACGGCTAGCAGATAAAAACAAGATCTATGAGTCTATAGAGGAGGCAAAATCTGAGGCTATGAAAGGTCAGTTATACAAATTGTAAAATCGAAGGTACTCCATTTGTTACAATGCTACAGCATTCGAAGTTCAATAGAGAATTATAGTTGGCCAATCAAAATATGACGATATATTTTAGGTCTGAGGCAAGAATTAATCTCTTCTCATAAAGAATGATAAGATTTTAGAATTCACTGCGGTGAATCCATCTTGCAGTGCTTAAAAAATCCCCAACATCCAGTTTACCAGGTTGCCGCTCACATTTCTTGCACGATACACACTATTATAATAGTAATAATTCTTGCATTTGATATTTGCCTCATCACATCTTCGAGAAGTCTCTCAAGTGCTTCACAGAATATACTTTAAAGTGAATTGACTGTTAATTTTTGTGGGCGAAACTATATGCTGAGATTACTTCAAGGAAGTGATGTCAGTAGTGCTTCTTATTGTATGTACAACACACAGGAAGTGAACTTAACTTGAACTCAGAAATCAACCAATTTTTCACGATTCACTTGCAATACTGCTTTCAGAACTGTTTAACTCATTATTAATGCATTATCATAAGGTCGCCCTATATGATGCATATCTGAACTTTCAGAAGGCCTCAATTCATAAATTTGTCTCAATTTCGTATTCTCAATCAAAAACAAAAGGCTCACCCAAAAAATCCAAGGCATTACAAGTATGGAGATGTCAGCTGATTTAAGATGGTTGATTTTTATTTTGCTTGCGTGGAATTATTTGTTAGAACCTGTTTAGTACCACTTTAGTGGTGCAGGTTGTTCGGTACATAATCGCAATGTTGCAGTTGCTATTTAATTTACCTTTAATGCAATTTTATAAAATGTCTTAACAGAAATGGAAAAGAAGCTTCAGGAAGAGAGAGCTTCAAAGCAAAAGGTTGAAAACAATTTACTGGAGGTTGAAAAACAATGTTCAATGTTAGACTGTGATAAGAAGCAGGCACAGCAGAAAATAGAAGAACTGATGAGAGAAAAGGAGAAATTGACTGAGGAGGTGAGTGCCACTTGTAACTGGAAGTGACTCAGCTTTAACTAGCTTCAGGGATATGACTAGAAATGCACTTAGTTTGAAATTGATTGTTTTGTCCGCGTATTCACTGTATATAAGAACTCTGGTAATGTCTTGATATAATTATATAAGAGAAGACAGCAATTGCACCACTTAGCAGTACTATCTTAAAAGGTTATAGTGTTTTTATTCAAAAAACATTTCTATTACAGGTGAAAAACTTGTCACTGAAGATAGAACAGGAGACACAAAAACGTAGTCTAACCCACAATGACCTGAAGATGCAGACGCAACAAGTCAACTCACTGAAAATGTCAGAGAAGCAGCTGAAGCAAGAGATAAATCACTTGCTAGAGACTAGACTCAGTCTGGAGAAACAGATAGGAGAGCTCCGGAAGTATGTCTTCTTAAAAAGGAAACTTAATTTCTCTTGGGTCTCTGTAACTTTTAGCCTTGAGGGTTCAGTTGTCCAAAAGTGTCTAATCTCTGTCCTGACCTTCAAATCTTTTGATTATCTAGTCCTTCCTTTTTCTATCTCCTCAAGTCCTAATCACCCACCTGTGGCCTCAGCTATTACTTCTCCAGTCTATAGCCCATTTCCTTTCCACTGTGTTTAAATTTTAAACCATTTTTTTCACATGACTCTTGATCCTCCTTGGGCTACAATTCCTGGTTCCAAAATGTGGTCTTGCACATCCTTGTTGCTTTCTGTCTTGGCCTAATTAGTTCATCACATTGAAATATACATTGATCTAGAACCCCCAAATTCACCTATTTTAGATTGCTGATCACTTGTGGTACATTGCTAAAAAAAAAAAAGGAACCTAGCATCTGCCCTAGATCGCCACAAGTTGTGGTTAGAAGCTGCCACTGGTTTCCTCGATTAATTTCTTTGCTTCATGAACACCATATTATGATGCTTCTCATTTGCCTACAACTTTCAAACTGCTTTCTCACTACTCGGTTTATAGTGTTTTTATTACTTAACTTATAAATTTGAGGGCAAATTTTACACATTTAAACTTGGGAGTAATGATTCACCTGGTAGTAAATTTGGCTCATTGGATAATGGAAAGTTCCATTCTAAGTGCACATCATCAAAGTGCATTAATCTTTTACCAATAGAGCTCTATTTTCTGAAATGGCAACAATATCTAGAAATACAGTTCAGTGATGTGTGTTACAGGGGTTAAAATAAGGCAATTTTGTACCTCCAAATTATAGTTGATTTATTAAAATGTATCCATTAAATATCCTGCAGGTTCATGAACACTGAAGAATCTTCACAACCAGAGTTTACTAATAGAAAAAGGACATGATTTCTAGTCTAAAGCATGATTGCTGGCCTCTGAAATCTTCCATTTGCACATGTTCTTTTTGTTGACTGTTTCAGAGAGCGCCTGGATGCTGATGGTCAGATGAAAGAACTTCAGGATCAGCTCGAAGCTGAACAGTATTTTTCAGTAAGTTCCCCACTTCTGGTATCATTCATGAAAACATAATTTTACATCCAGCTCAAGTTTGATTTTGTGAAACCGGTAATATCTTATGTTATGAATGGTCAATTGCAACAATTGTGGCAAAGTATTCATGTAACGGTTGAAACAGAAACACAAATAGATCTGTAATAAGGAAACTTTTAAAGTAATCTTCACAAGAGAGAAAAATCTAAATTCCAGAAATCCATTAATAATTTTCATACTTTTGTTAGGTAAAACTACAATTGCAAATAAGAAATATTATGGCCACAGTCATTCTACAGACAAATAATCATTACTATAACACCATTGTGAGCCTCAAAATATTAGTGACCAATAGACCCCCTAATATTGAAGTTTTAAAACTTTAAAAGATTAGTTAGTTTCTGAAAGCAAATTTAAATGCTAGATTCTGCTGACATCACATCAAAATTATCGATCCAAGTGGTGGGAAGTACCCATCATCCCATATTTCTTTGTAAACCACAATACTTAAAAGTGTAAACCACACATTTATGTTGTTCAACTTCTAAAGAATACCAAACCTACATACAAAACTATTTAATTTACTCTGACGTAGTTAATGAAATTACAGTTACATTTTTTGAGACCTCACCTCAATTAGAATAATGGAAGAAGAAAAATTAGGAGCAGGAGGATGGGTTTCTAAATTTGAGTGGAAATTAAGTCATTGAAAATTCAGAAGCACAGGTATTTCAGGTATGTGAGTATTTTCTATGTGCAAGTACCTAATTTTAATGCAGTGATTCCCAGAAAATAGGGGAGAAATTTCCCAGTGCAGCAGGATTGAGTACTGACTAAATGTATTGTGAATGAACTGTGTAATTCGAATGGTTCTAAGTAAGCTCACATACATACATGAGGGCAAAGGAATAGGGGGGTTAGAGACTTGTCTGGAGTTTAGACACCAGCATGGACTAGTTGGACTGAATGATCTGTTTTTGTGATGTAGATTCTATGCAACTTCTGTTGTAGCTGCACTATGCAACAATAGACATAATTGAACCAAAATATACATTTATTTTTGCTTGTTGAATTAAACTGCTGTGCGCAATTGGCTGCCTTGGTTTGCTCACAAAATACAGTCGCTTCACTTTACAATATATTCCGTGAAGCGCTCTGAGTCATCTTCAACTATATCAATTGCAAGTATTATTACTAATTATGGTGTTGGCTTAAGTTTTCTTTGCTGCTTTTCAATTCCACAGACTTTGTACAAGACTCAAGTACGGGAACTGAAAGAGGAATGTGAGGAGAAAAATAAGCTGTGCAAAGATTTGCAGCAAAAAATGCAGGAGCTGCAGGATGAGAGGTAAGAAATCACGGAGCCCAATCCCTGAATTATTTTGTTGATTGTATTTTGGAATATTAGCAGAAAATATACTTTAAATTAAGTTTTAATACTTGTGTGGTATTTCTCAAATTTAAACCTTTTTCATAATAGAATAAAGTAATTTCAGAATTTCCACATCATAACTGAATTATAATAGATGATTGGGGAGGGAGCCACAATGTGTAAATTGAAACACAATGTGTAAGTATGCGTAAATTGTGGGAAACGCATCTATTCCTTAAATAAGTCTGTGCATCAAGGAACTCCATCCACCAGCGCCTTTGCCTTGCTTCCTCCCTTTCCTCCTTCAAGGCCAGTCTCAAGACCTTTCTCTTTGACCGTGGCTTCAGCTCCACTCTCGACTCTACCCCCTCCTCGCTCCCTCCCTTCCCTCCCCTCATCCTGACCATTTCCCCCCTGCTCGGGTCCTGACCTAACTATCCAGCGCCTTGGGACGTCCTCCCGACGTGAAAGGCACTCTATAAATGGAATCTTGTTGTTGTTGTTATTATCTGCTAAAGTTAAATTCTGAAACTGGACATAAGCGAGAATTGTTTAAAAATAATTTTGTCTTTTGTCGTATTATGTAAAATATCTAATGAGAAGAATGAAAGTTAATGTTCGGCGTATTGATTCTGTTTATTCAGGGATTCTTTGGCAGCGCAGCTTGAAATCACGTTAACCAAGGCAGATTCCGAGCAACTTGCTCGATCTATTGCAGAGGAACAGTACTCTGACCTGGAGAAAGAAAAAATTATGAAAGAGCTAGAGATTAAGGAGATGATGGCGAGGCATAAACAGGAACTGGCTGAAAAGGATACTACAATTGCGTCTGTGAGTAATTATCAATGTTACTTTATCTTATAAGAATGAAGAACTGTGATTTAAAAGAGCTGTAAAATAAATATCACAATTGGTATTGTTGAATTATTTTCTTTGTGTTCAAAGTACTTTCCTAAAGCTTTGATTCTCCTTAAAGTAAGGCAAATGATTCTCATACATATATATATATTATGTGTGTGTGTATATATAATATATATATATATGTATATACTATTTTATATATGTTAATCCAGCCACCTCACAAATGCGGGCACATTTTCAGTTTTTTTCATGGTCTATACTAAAAGATAGGATGTCTGCTTCAGTAAACCGGCCACCTCACTATTCAGGACAACGGTCATTGATTGCAGCCGCTACAGCATCCTCCTCCGCTTCAAATGCGGTACAGACGCACCCTCTGCTACTAACCTGTACACAGTACACTAGGCCTTGGGCTTCTTGTGCTGTTTCCTCGACGCTGGTACTGTGGCCGGAGTGGGCTCCAGTCACGTGTGCTCGGGAAGTGTTGGGATCACGAATGCAGCGCAAGCGGAAAATCAACTTCGCCCAGCGCCTGCGGCCTAACCTGATTAGTGAGGTTCTACTGTATGTGTATAGATGTGTGTGTGTATGTGTGTGTATATATATAATATATATATCTTGTATATTTGCCATTTTTGTCCCCATTAACATCTATCTGGTTGAAGCAAGTCCAGATACAAGTGGGAATCTGAAATAATAGATTTCTGTGTGGGAAGTGGGAGGAAAGAATAACAAATTAAACTAAAGTTGTCTCCTACAAGATATGAAATGACTTTTTACTCAATAATAATTAAATAAAAATAGAAGCTCTTTAAGAGTACCTACCCTCAGCCTTCCTTCTCTTGACATTTGCATTCTTGGTTCTGTTTGACTATGGTTTTGAACTTGCCAGGGACAGGTAATGTAGAACTATAGAACATGAGCCAGTCAGTAGAAGAATAGAATAGAAGAAAGCCGTTTATAGAACAACAACAAAATTACCTTTGTATAGCGCCTTTCACGTCAGGAGGACGTCCCAAGGCGCTGGACAGTGTACAGCATTTCAGACCCGAGCTGGAATCAGGGAGGGGTACCAAGGAGAAGGCCATTCTGCCTATTGCGGCTCTTTTAAAGAGCAATCTATTCAGTTCCATTTACCTGCCTTTTCTCCATTTTCTAGATATCTATTTAGTTCCCTTTTGAAAGCTAATACAGATCCTTCCGTGACCACCGTTCCCGCCAGGGCATTCTGCATTGCAACAACAACTCTGTAAAAAATCCATATATACTACCTACACTACATTATCGATTCTCTTGATCATTTCATTAAAGAACTCTTATTAGATTTGTCAAGCAAGACTTGCCTTGAACAAATATTTAACCTTTCTAATCTCCTTTGCTTCATTAGTTTTAACTGTACACCTTTATTACTTTTGGGAATGGGCATAATCTTTACCTTATTCATCTCAAAATTTGAAAGCTTCCCACTGCTGTATAGCCATGTATTTAAGTTTAGCTACTGTTTGTTTGTTGTAGTGTACTTGCTCTTCAATGTGTGCATGAAAGTACAAAACAAATAATATTCAGAAGGTGTAGCAATAGGCTAATTAATGGTTGCTTAGACCTGGCAATATTCATATTAATAATTATTATTTATTCTCGTTTGCCAAGATAAAAGTGCACACAGTATGGGTATATATCTTACCCATATATATTGTTAGCATTTTAGCAAAGCTGCAATATAGAGGCAGGATATAAATATCTGTGCTATAAATATCTGGAACGCACTGCCTGCAAGGGTAGTGGAACAGACTCAATAATAACTTTAAAAAGGAAATTGGATAGGTACTTCAAAAGGAAAAAACTGCAAGGATATGGGGAAAGTGTGGGGGAGTGGGACTGATTGGATAGTTCTTCCAAAGAGCCAACATAGGCACGATGGGCCCAAAGGCCTCCTTATGTGCTGTAATACTCTATGATTCTAAGTGCAGCTCACTTGTGTGTTAACATTAAACTCAAACTGACAGACTTGAATAAATTTTGCCTGGCTTTCGTTATAACTATTATAAATATTTTCATTATCACATTCTGATCAAAGATGATTAAACAGTTGATTCCCTCCATAATCCCAAATTTAGAGAATTTGAAGTGCAAAGCAGTTTGTGTTATAGATGATCTGTGTGTCTCGGAAGTTCAATTTATGGCAGTGAAAGCTGGCATTACGATAACTAATTTTACTGAAATTTGATTGCTGCTGCTTGACATGCAGTCCATTGATTCCTTCAAAAAGAACCAGCTGGAAAGCTATTAGGCAGAGCATTTTTTCCCGAGTTCTCAGGCTGCAATATTCATCCAGAACATAGCTGTTGAGGGAGGGAGAAATTTGAAGTAGGGATTACGCAGTATATTCAGTACGCTAATGGGTGCTCAAACATCATCTGCTGACATAACAACTTGTATGAAGTGGAAGAAACTTATTGAGTGGTGCTCAGCTAAGAACATGCTCTTGTGTGTACGTACTACTGGGCCAATTTACTAGTTTGCAAACTCTTATTTACTGTTTCTGTAGTATTATCATTATAATTTTGGTTTTCTTATCAAAAAACTGAGCTAAAATTGCATAGTGGAGAGAATCTAAGGATGAATGTCTTTTTTTGGTTGTCCACGTTTAGGTCTGCGGTGCATCAGTTTGTAAAGTGAATTGTACAGTTTAGGCACTTGGCTGAACTAGCAATGGAACAGAAAATCGCTCTGACAAATCACTGGATAAATTAAATGTGCAGAAATTTAACATTACCATCGTATTTTTAAAAAAAGTTGATGTAAACAGTCCTTTTATTAGAGAGTCCTTTTGTTAGAGAGCCTTCTGGTGGTTAACAGGCACACCAGAATCTTGAATAACAATTTTTGGAACAGAATTATAATCAACATCTTTGAATATATTTGGATTGAGTCGAGCCATTTAATTCAAAATGAAATGACTGCAACTTATTTTTGTTTAGTTGGAGGAGACGAACCGAACACTAACGGCTGATGTAGCAAATCTTGCAAATGAGAAGGAGGACCTGAATAACAAAGTGAAGGAGCTTCAGGAGCGTGAGTACAACCTTTGAAGCTGTTAATTAAACTAGATCATGTCTTTACATTGATAAATTATATATTAAATGGAAGAATATGTCTAATCAGTGGTAAGCATTATGGATAAAACACGGTCCTTTGAAATGTTTGTTTCCTGTGCAAAATGAAATTCTGTTGATTCTTGACTGCCTTTGACACTGTCTCAGAATTTTTCCCAGTATCCTGGCCAACAATTTGCCAGATAAAATTGGTCATTCATTTCATGTTTGTAGGACATTGCTGAGCACAAATTGGCTGCCACATTTATGTACAAAATATACAAACTACACTTGTGTGGAGACCTGTGGCAAATTGATTAGAATACTTGCCTCGCAAGCAAGAGGACCTGGGTTTGATTCCAGGGCAAGGCAAAACCTTAGACAAGTTTCCCTATACCACATGCCTCTGTTTACGTAGCAACAAGTAGGAACATGGTTGTTAGTTGAATGACGGGTTTGCTTTGGAGAGGTAAAAATAATCCCTTAAAAAAAAGAAATACTAATAACTTGGTCACTCTATCCCCGACTGTTTGTGGGACACTGCTGCCCATTTCTCCCACAAAATATACAGTCAATTAATTTTATAGTGTATTCTGTGAAGTGCGTGAGACGTCTCAACATTGTGATAAGGTGCTATATCTAATGCAAGAATTATTATTATTATATGTACTTTATTGATAAAAGTGCTTTAATGTTTTAAAATTTGTATGATTTTTATTGTCTATTTAAAGTTTGCATTGTACCTAAATTATAGTAAAATTAAGTCATATAGTTGCACAATTGAAAACCTCGGATTTCTATATGATACTTATGGATTATGTTTCTGGAAGGGAAACACAAATATTGCTTAAGCTGCCCACCGACATTTCTCAAATCCAGCATCTGGCCCTTAACAGCGGCAAGAATGGACCATCCTGGCCTAGACGATATCTGGACATTTAGTCAAATTAAATTTTGTTGCACTTTGAAAAGTTTACACCGTCTTGGATTTTATCACAAATTTAGTCACAAGCACAACTGCAACTATTTTTAATTATTAGATTGTTATAGATTTTTGCTGGAAACTTTTAACTACTGAGGTCAAAGAGCACCTATTGACTTAACCATGAGCTTGTGGTTCAATTCTTTTCTTAAATATCAAGTTGGCACTGCTACTTTTTCTGCTTGCAGTTACTGGGACCCAAGATGTATCCCATGCTTATCAATATGATTAATTGTTCCACTATTCCTGTATTTTCAAATTGTTGTACCTGTAGGTCCCCAATGTGGCTGCATCTGAGCATGCTCCCAGCCTCCGCTGAGCAACCACACCAGTCATAGGAAATGGCAGGAGGTCTCGGCAAAGCAAGATGCTATCTTATAGGTTTTCTGATCAATTTTACACTAATCACTTAGAAGAATTTCTAGACTGCTGTGACAAGCAGAGTCCCTTATTAACGTTTACATGGGAAGTGGACGGGATATTGACGGCCTGGCAACTTAAGTGGTAGTGACAGGTTAAGCCAGAATCCGACTTATATGGAGTTTACTGTACTGTAAAGGGCAGTGACTTTGTGTTTTGTGGACAAATGTAATGCGCAAATTCAGTTTCAGAAAAAAGGCAGTAGAAGAAGTTAGTTACTGTAAACCAAGTTCTTTTGCCAAGAGAAAACTTCACAGAAAATTCCCAAGTCATTTTTTTCTTACAAGTGAAACATGTGATCCATTTTAATGCATCATGTTGCTTGTTTCTATAAACTAAGAAGAGTTTTTCCAATACTTTACCAGGTGAATAATAGTAATACAACAATCCTTTGATTTGATATAGTGTTTTATCACGTCATCCAGACATCTCAAAGGCTTCACAGGATATACTGTAAAGTGTGTATTTTGTGAGTGAAATGCAGCAGCCAGTTTTGTGCACAGCAATGCAGTGAGTGAACCAATTTTATTTGGGAGGATTTAATGGCCAGAATTCCAGGAGAAACTCCCATCTTTTTTGAATAGTGCAATGGGGTCTTTTAATGTCCACCTGAACAGGCAGACAGGATCTTGTTTTAACATATCATCTGAAGGATGGCACCTCCAACAATGAACAAACCCCCAGCACTGCATTGGAGCGACAGATTAGATTTCAAAGTCCCGACGTGGGGCTTAAACCCACAACCTTCTGACTCAGAGACAAGAGTGCTACCTCTGAGCCAGGCTGACATACTTATGAAATGATAATGACATTTTTGAAATAATGTAAAGGGCTTTTTACTGAGGGATTTGCTGGAATCTGTTTACATAGCATTTTCTGATGATGCAGTCTATTTCTATCAGCAACTTTACTGCATTGCTGTGCACCTGATTTTACAACATTATGCTGCATTTGCTACAGCTGACTAAATGAACATCAAATAAATTATGATAACCTCACTCACATAACCTCACTATGTCACAGTGACCATTCTGGTAATATTTAGAGTGGTCAGATTAATAGAGAGGATGCACTGAGGACGAATGTGATTTGCAGGGCGCAATTACGCTGACCAGATATTCAACCAGAATTTGTAGAAAGATTGCTGCTGTAACTGGAAGGCAGAGTACTGATTACATGTAAAGTGAATTGACTGTATATTTTGTGGGCAAAATGTATGTTCTGTGGCATATGAGCTTCCAAATTAAATATGAATTTAAAGCTGTTTCAGAAAGTGTTACACAATCTTAAATTTTAATACCTTGGTCCTAAACCTAAGAATATCAGGTTTGTGCCCCTATTGTACTCCGAGAGGCTCTCAACTAATACTTTTTGGAATTAGGTAAATGAGTTGCATCTTTCCAGGGAGAGGGCATGTAAAGTTCCTTACTTAACATGAAATTCTCTATTTTGTTTGGATACTCTTAAGCACGGCGATGGGTTTCTGTATTTGTCAGAAACCCAGCTGACAAAATAAAGATAGGTACACGTATTAGAATCTCAAACGGTTTTGCGTTTTGTGTTTTAGATATTCAGAAACTGAAGGAAGAAGAATTGAATACAGGAAGCATCAAAACACAATTTGAGAAGCAGCTACTGAGTGAAAGGACACTGAAAACACAGGTAAGATGCGAAAGAAAAGGTTTCCTGTTTATCTTGTATGAAATACAAACTTAATAATTAAGAATAGGTTATTTTTTTATATCTTTATTACAATCAAGAAGCTTTTAATTTGATCTTTCTCAATTTGTAGACGCATGATTTCTGAAATTACTCCAGCTTTGCTTGAATAAGCCCCTTTTCAAAATGTCATGGTGCTCTGACCTATCGTCTCAGGATTTTATAACCTTTAACTCCAGTTAGTTATGCTGTTTAATGTGTGCTGCATGCCAAGCTTGGACAATGCACTAGAAAATTTGGCCCCAAAAACTTACAGTCAATGCACATTACACTATATTCTGTGAAGGACTTTGAGACATCTTGGAGATGTAATAAGACGCTATATCAAATGCAAAGGTTACTATAGAAAGTACACAAGGAAAAGTTTCAAACCAATGCACTATTCATCGTCCTCTCGTATGGATATGATGCTAATTTGTGGAGTCCTGTAGCTCAGTGGTTAGAGCACTCACCTTTCCAGGGAGAGGGCATGATTTCCGTGTAAAGTTCCTTACTTAACATGAAATTCTCTATTTTGTTTGGATACTCTTAAGCACGGCAATGGGTTCAATTCCAGTTAGGGCGAAAGCTTGGGCAAGTTTTCTTACTCCACACGCCTAATAATATTCCCTCCAAAACAAAAACAATAATAAATTGGTCATTTTCAACCCATGACTGTTTGTGGGACACTGCTGTGTGCAATTGGCTGCCGCGTTTTGCCCACAAATATACGGTCAATTCACTTTACAGTATATTCCGTAAAGCGCTTTGAGACGTCCAGAAGACATGAAAAGCGCTATATCAATTGCAAGGTTTATTATTATTAATAAGTTGACTTTGACAGGTCAAAACTATCCTTTTGTTCAACTTGTTTTTAAATGGATTGGCCATTAGAAAGACATAGAGCAAAGATCCCCATAATAAAAACATAGCAAGACTTTGAGGGAACAAAATTAATGGTTTGTGGGAGAAATCACTTGATGCACAAATGACCTTACCTGTTTCCATGTTTTTTTTAAATATTCTTAATGCACCCTATTAAGTATTGCTGTTTATTATAGGCGGTGAATAAGCTAGCTGAGATTATGAATCGTAAGGACATGAGGAGGGACCATAGCAGACGCGGAACTGACACAGATGTTCGGAAAAAAGAGAAAGAGAACCGAAAATTGCAACTGGAACTAAAGTCCGAGCGAGAGAAGTTAACCCAAATGTTGATAAAATACCAGAGGGAACTCAACGAAATGCAGGCGGTAAGCTGATGTACAGTATTTGCTATCTTGACAAAGACCATTGGTGAAGTCATAGTAACCTCTAGTGGTGGTTAATAGTACTGGAGTTTGTTCCAGATCCAGATCAAAATTGGGAAAGGCAGGCAATAGAACAGCTGCTCCAGCTTCAACAACAGCAAACTTGCTGAGCAAGAACCCAAAACAGAAGCTTCCAAAACAGACATTATTCAGGAGTTTGGGGAAGGGGGTATTGGAATGTCAGCATCGACTATTTGGGTTCCCAATGTGAGGCTTGAACCCACAATCTTCTGATTCAGGTGCTAGAGTGCTACTGATCTACTGGAACAGTACCGAGGTGGAATATAATATAATGCAAATATAATGCGATCCTGTTATAACCTGCTTCTTTAGAGCTGATTTGGATGTAACGCAGTTGCACTTTGGGCTCCATTCATTGCACATGCACCACCTGGCCCACTCATTTCCTGCGTGTTAACCAACTAAAATTCTGACTTTAAGTCACCGATTATACCATTTATGGGGATATTGGAATAGCCTGGGAAACCCTCTCTTTTGGCGGTTGAAGCTAGGCACTTTTTAAGGTTTTGCACATGCTCAGTAAGGTGCTCCTGGCCAGAAGTAAGGTGGCAGCATCTCGTGTTTGCTTTGGCTGAGGTAAAATAAACTTTATTATTTTTAGTTGGTTGTGGATTGATTCCTTATCAATAGGTTCATTAACGAGAAGGGAGACATTACTTGAAGGAGACGTTACACACTGACATAACTTTCAGCAGGCTGCATACACGCAATGTACAGAAAATTGAGTCGGAGTTGATCTAAAGACCTAAAAATCAACCATTTTTAAGCATAGAAAACCTCCCAGCATGCAGGTAGTGAGCCCGCCAGCTACTTGCGTGTGCAGTGAAATTCCTTACCTCATTGCAGCATGGGTTGCGGTTTTATGGATTCAACCACTGCTTTATAATGAGGCTTCACTGTGATTTTCTTTTTTGTCAAATGTATATGGTGCTGGCACAGTGTTATGGTATTTGATGTGGACTTTATATAGGTGTGCTGCAGCAGAAAAACTATTCCTTCTCATTTTTATTCTTTGGAGGAAACTGCAGATAAGTGGAGCAAAACAAAGTGTGGTGCTCATAAGATCATTAATTTGTGTATTTTAAGTAAGTGCAATCACTGTGCTCAGGTGCTTTGAGATGTCCTCCTGAAATGAAAGAGACTGTATAAATGTGTATTAATGACTCTAGGTATTCTTTCACCTGTTTTTCTTCCCTCTCCATGTTCATGTTTGTGCAAGTACCTGACTTAATTTAGCACGAGACTGCTATCGTAAAGCTATATACCCGCAACTCAGACAGCCCTGGCCAAGGTGACAAATGATATTCTGTCCATCTGTGACCAGAGCCCCTTCTGTTGCCTTATTGGATTTCTGCTACTGCCTCCTTCCTCCCCCACAGTCCGGTCCCTGACCAGCACCGCTTTCTTCCACCTCCGCCACTATGCCCGTCTCCAACAATATCTCACCCCAAAATCTGCCGAAACCCTTGTCCATGCCTTTGTCACCTCTCGGCTGGATTATCCTAACGCCCTCCTCGCTGGTTTCCCCTCCTCCACTATTCACAAAATTCAGCTCATTCAAAACTCCGCCACCTGCATTCTCACCTGCACTAAACTTCATACCCCGATTACTCCAGTCCTTGCCAAACTCCACTGGCTCCCTGACACAGAGCGGATCGATTTCAAGATCCTCACTCTAGTGTTTAAATCCTTCCATTCCTTGGCACCCCCCTATCTCTCTCACCTCCTCTCTCCCCAAGGCAGTACCCGCTGCCTCCGCTCTACTGGGTACCCCAAATCCTCCACTCCACCATCGGCAGCCGTGCCTTCAGCCACTACGCCCCGAAACTTTGGAACTCCCTCCCTCAACGGAGGTTGCGCCTGAAGATCTTCCGCTTTGACCGCGCCTACAGTTAACTTCCCTCTCCCCCTGGCTCGGCCTCAGGCTCTGCCATTGTTAAGAGCTCTGCGACACCGCCCGGCGTGGAGGGCGCTGTATAAATGCTTCTTGTTGTTATCTCCATTTCCTCCTCGACCTCTCTACTGCCTTCAACACTGTGGACTGCTCTATCCTCCTCTACCGTCCCTCCTTTCACCTCAACTTTCAAGGTTCTATCCTTGAATGATTCAGATCCTATCTCACACCGGCTCCACTTTGTCTCCACAAACGGCTTCTCCTCCAGCCCCTGGACCATCTCGTGCGGTGTTCCTCAGGGCTCTGTCCTGTCCTGTCCGCTGTCTATCAGATATCAAGTCCTGGATGAGAGCTAACTTTCTACAGTTGAACGTCAGCAAGACCGAGGCTTTCCTGATTGGCCCGCACCTCAGGCACTGACTGCATCAGCATCCACGGATGTTTACCAAGCCAGTCAGGAACCTAGGCATCTTGTTCGACCCTCAACTGACCCTTTCTCCCCCACATCTGTGCCATGACCCACTCTGCCTTCCCCCACCTCCACAACATTGCCCAACTCCGTCACTGCCTCACCCCTCAGGCCACCAAAACCCTCATACGTGCCTTCATTACATCCAGGCTTGACTATGCCAACGCCGTGTTTGTCGGACTTCCCAACTCTTCCCTCCACAACTGCAGAATATCAAGAATCTGCAGCTAGTGTCCTCTCCCACACCAGGCTCCATGACCCCATCACATCCACACTCGCCTGGCTTCACTGGCTCCCCATCTCTGAGAGGATCAAGTTCAAAATCCTCGTCTTCACCTTCAAGGCCTTACCCTCTCCAACCTCTCCGACCTGTTAACCGTTATCAACCTCTCCACTCAGCAGGCTCCAGCCTGCTTCATGTCCTCCACCCTCCGTCACTCAATGATGAACCTTAACCTTACAGTATTAATCTTTCCACAGCAAATTGCAGATGAAAGCCAAGTCCGGGTTGAGCTGCAGATGGCACTCGACAGTAAAGACAGCGACATTGAACAACTTCGTTCACAACTGCAGATAATACATGCAGGACTGGACACTACCAGTATTGGCAGTGGGCCTGGTGATGCAGAAGCAGATGATGGCTTTCCTGGTTAGTGTTTTTTTTAAACTATCAACCATATTATCTTGGCAATTATTTTCAAAGTTATGGTTTTTCTTTTAAGAGTAACAATATCTTGATGAATGTCAGTTTAGCATACACCTGCAGTATTTACTAGCTGGGTAATTAAAACATGTGGGTTTTGTTGGATACAACATTATTTGAGAAAGAGCAACATAATTAATGCATTTGGATTCTATTCTTAGCAGTTTCTGGGTAAAAAGCTCACAGCTAATGTTTCAAAGATGGTGTTATATTGCCAGGAGCAAGAATACATATACAATTTCATAAACTGCTTTTAGAATGTTTTTTAAATTGTTATTTTGCCTATTTTTAATTGTATTTTAAGAAAACTACAACACAGATATTCTAAACATGCGTTTTCTCCAATGCAGTTGCATGTTATAGATTCTGGCTTCCTGCTATCTTTTCTGTTTTCATTTTCTAATTCTTTCCTGCACCAACTATCTTTTCTATCTTGTTACCTTGGTTTTCTCAGTTCGTATTACTCATTCCCACACCACGGAGTCCATGTCTTTTAGCTACAAACGTTCTTCCACCTCTATCAGCATTGCTACTAAGCCCTCTTGTTCTCACTTCCACAACTCTGATTCTGGGTCTGACTCGGGTGAAGACACTGAGACCTTTGTTCATGCCGAGCCTGACTCTGAGCCTGAACCTGAACCTGATTCCACAGGTGACGTGATGCATGTGCATCTGTGGCTGAACACTGCTATTTGTTTTTTGTCCCAATATTAATCTAATATAATCTAACAACCTCTGCAAACAAAATGACACAAATGCCAAAATCTAGCTTGAAGGAGATTTTAACCGCATGCAAGAGGATGCAGATTCAATTCAAGTGGCAATTTATTTTGTTTTCAAAAAGTGATCAGCCTTGTTTAAAAACTATCTTACCTCGTAGCAAGGTAAATCTTAATTTTTTGGCATAGATCTATTTGTACAAATCTAATCCCAAGCAAGTGAAATCTTAAAAGCCGTCCTGCTTTCTCATCTTTTATTTAGGTTCTTGGCTTGGCTAATTATGCTCACCTTTTGAAAGCTGGCTTTTGCCACGTCTTAAACATTTTTCTGATTGTATCTAATTTGTTTTGGCCTTGTTTAAACAAAGTAAGTCAAGGGGATCCAGATATTTGGACAAGTGCCATCTCAGGAATGTTATGGGCTTGTGCATTTTTAATTTTATTAGTCCTGGGTTTTCAGTAGCTGTTAGGAAATAATGGAGCACTGCCCTTGGGAATGATTTTTAGTAATCATGAAGGGAGCTAGCTTAATTTTTTTAAAAAATTAAGTTCCCAATAAGTGAAAGTGAAATGCATTAATAAGTTTCGGCCTGGCTCGACTGGTAGCACACTCGCCTTTGAGTCTGAAGAATCGGCTGATACTCCAGTACAGTCTTGGGGAGCAATGTATTGACAGAGTGCTATACTTCTAAAGCAAATTCTGACATCAACAAGTGGGAAAAAAGTTGACTTGTGGTTTATGTTCATATTGAAAACCGTGCATGATGTAGACCCAATTGCCAAACTACTGAAGAATAAACGACAGCTTCTGTTTAGCTCGGAATGCCAAATATGTCAACAGCCAGTGGTCAATATTGCTTTTCCAATTTTAGAATCTAGATTGGAGGGTTGGCTTTCCTTACCCATGAGAAACAACACAAAGAAATTCTTATGGCGAAAACAGGTACATTTTTTTCTTTCTTTCTGAAGAACTTCTGTTTTGAAATTCAATTTAACATCAAGTTCAGAAAACATGCTCCATTCTTTTGAAATATCTGTTTTTTCAATTACCATTTTAGAAATATCTTCTATAAATATCCAATAACCTTTGTGGCTGTATAGTTGAAAGTTGGTTTAATCATCAGGATGAGAAAATGCAGTGTAGCTGCCTATTAGCCTTAGAATATCCTGATATAATTGATCTTTTTTCTCAAACCTTGACTGGTTTGAAGATATCAAAACTTTAATTTGCTTACAATTATCTGTACTGAGAAAGCTTTGGATAGCATAATTTTATTATATAATCTACTTCAGAATGCAAAATTGCCGTAGTGCATTATAGAGATTATTTGTGGTTATTACTCATCCCATTCACACCTGCAAAGTCTGCTTGCTTTGAACACATGGATTGATGTATGACTTCCAAGTCTTGCAGTAAATAACAAAATATTGGTTGCATTGTTAATGAGTGTTATGCTGCAGCCATTCTGATCAGAGAAGAAAAAAGTAGCTGAGTTACCCAAAGTTTGAGGAGACTTCACTGAAGTGAAGCGTGTACACATTGGCACATTGATTCTGTATTCAACGTAAGGTTGATTTATCTTCATCTTTATTGTCTTGAGTTCCGTAATTAATGAAAAAGGAGGTTGGGAGGTACCATACTCATCAGAGTACAACAGTGAATCTAATATGGGCTTGTGGAATTGCCCTGGCTAAGTGCAGGTATATTGTGTCCATAAGATATTTCAAATTTAGATTCAGAGCAATACTTATCAAAATTTCCAAGAATTGATGTCAAGTATGTGCTAAATTAGCTGATCTTAGTCACAGGATCACAATCTGTAGGGTCGTGTATAATAATAATAATCCTTGCATTTGATATAGCGCTTTTCACGTCAGGAGGACGTCCCAAAGCGCTTCACAGAACATACTGCAAAGTGAATTGACTGCATATTTGTGGGCGAACGCGGCAGCCAATTGCGCACAGCAATGTCCCACAAACAGTCGTAGATTGAAAATGACCAATTTATTATTGTTTTTGGTTTTTGAAGGGATTATTATTAGGTGTGTGGAGTAAGGAAACTTGCCCAAGGTTTCGCCCTGACCTGCCTGGAATTGAACTCAGGTCTCTCACTTGCAAAGCAAGTGTTCTAACCACTGAGCTACAGGACTCCACAGTATGACAGATAGCGGCTTGAAGGAGTGTGGGGGAAGGCAGGGCAATGGGATTGAATGAAGGCTATCCTTGCTCTTAGAGGCAGTGCTGATTCTATGGGTCAGATGGGCATCTACTGTGCTGTAAATTTCTATTTTGGTTGAATCCTCAGTGCTTCTGAAGTAGGGAGGAAGAAATGAGTCTGGGTTCTCGCTGTCAAATAATATCATTCCTCGAAGATGCAAAATGTGTCGATGTCTACTAAAAACAGGATGGCATAGATTATAATTCCCTCAATAGTTAAAACGCCTACAAAGTAAGCATGTAAGTAAATTAAGTAAGAACAGCCAATAGAAAGGGATTGGAAATAACCAACATGCATATGCATTGATGCCCTCCCCACAGAAGACAAAAAGACAGGAAAGGAAGCAATATTTCTGTTCAAACTGAAACTATAATGACTGATATAATTGATCATGGGATGACCCCAAATAAAGAAATGGTAGTGAACTGCAAGACTTTTTTTTAAATTCTGAAGTTTATTTTAACAACATAAATTAAAACTCAATAGTTATTTGCTCTGAATCTTTTTTCTCGTTTTACAGTATGTAGTTGTGAGCAGTAAGAAGATCTTGTTTTATGACAGTGAACAGGACAAAGAGTTGTCTAACCCTTCTATGGTGTTAGATATAGAGTAAGTGATTATACTTATTTACTTGAAATCTTCATATCAACAGGTTATAAGGAATCTGTAAGTATTATGCATTTGCATTGTCCGCAGCACAATTGTTGTGACCGCACAACAGTTAACTATCTCTAATTACAAGAAGAGCTGGTGTGAGACCGATCACATTGGTGGTGTTGAGATTGCTCTGAGATTGAAGCCTGTGAGGAACAAGCTTTCTCTTATTTTTGGCTTAACTCTTTCTGACATGCTTAATGCTGTTCTTTAGTTAACAGGCATGGAATTCTCAATTTGGTTTGGATCCTCTTGAGCGTAGTGATGGGTTTCTGCATGTGTCAGACACCCAGCTAACCACTAATTTTTTTTTAAAAAATTGGTTAACAGAGGAAACAGTGCTTTGGTCTATTTTAATTTGGTCTCTTTTCACTTTCATGAGCATAAAATTAGCATGTTTGCTACTTAATCACAACATGCTTTGAGACATCCTCCCAATGTGAAAGTTGCTATATAAATGTAAATTGTGTTGTATATATTACAAAGTTATGTGAAATTATTTGGGTACTGACGCTTGTTTCAATTTGATAATGAAAGTGTGAAGGAAATGCAATGTAAACCTTTGCTTACATGATATGGAACAAAGCCTTTTGTTCCCTTTGGCAATTTCTCATTACTTCATGTCACCATATCATTGATTTTAAAATTCAGCACTGAACAATAGATGTTGATGTCATGATCAGAGTACAACTAATGAAATTGAATTCCGTTTGTTAGGGAGCCTTGTAACAATGTATTCATGTGTTATATAGTGGTCTCAAGCACAGAACAAAAGTTATATGATTTAGTTCTATTTAAATTCTACAAACCAATATCCAAACCACTGTTGGCAAAATTATTCAGACCAATCTTAACTTGTTTCTGTTTCAGACATCCTGATAATTTTTAGATTAGTTAATTAACACACTTATGGGATATTCTAAAAAAAATCTTAAAAAAAGAGTTGCACTAAATTGTGATTCATATATACATCCAGCCATTTCTCTCTGATTTGCTTTAACACTTTTTAAGCACTTTAGGGCTTAGCCAATTTTAATAAAAATCATCATGAATTCAGCCATTCACACCAGCTCTGTGTAGTTCCCCTGGATCAGATATAGTGGCAGAATTGCGGTGATAGCATCTAAACTGTTTGGATATGGTGACCTTTCAGAGAAAATTAGTCAGCATTTAGAATGGGATTATGCTCACAAGGAATTAAAAAGATGCAACCGAGTGGGTTGCATTTGAAAGGCTCAATTAAGAGATTGGAATAATGGTATTTTGTTTCCAATTTACTTTGCAAGAAGTTAATAATAGAATTGCAAACAACTCAGTTATTTTAATTTCACTGTTTTTTCCTAGCAAACTTTTCCATGTTCGGCCAGTTACACAGGGTGATGTATACAGAGCGGATGCCAAAGAGATTCCCAGGATTTTTCAGGTGAGCAGCGTTTGAAGGACTCTGGGAAGAGTTGCAGAATATCTGATGCTGGAACCACATTTCTACTGTGATCCGTTTTGTAGTTGAAAATAACTGTAATTTTAACTACTGTACAATTAAAGGTTTCTGTTGTGTGATCCACAGATCCTGTATGCTAATGAGGGGGAGAGTAGAAAGGAGCAGGAGTTTAATGTGGAACCTCCTGCCTTGGGAGAGAAATCGAGCTACATTCCTCACAAAGGCCATGAATTTATCCCAACACTGTATCACTTCCCAACCAATTGTGAGGCGTGTACCAAGCCCCTGTGGCACATGTTTAAACCCCCACCAGCACTAGAGTGTCGCCGCTGCCATATCAAATGTCACAAAGATCACATGGATAGAAAAGAGGATCTTATAGCGCCCTGTAAGGGTAAGTATCAGGGCAAATTAACATTTTACATTGTGTAAAATAAGGTAAGGTATAGGTTGTCTCGGTATTTAAAAGTTAAAATTCCAACTGTAGCAAATATAAGTTCAAAGTAATTTGCAAGTATGTTAACATTGCTTTTTATAGTTGTGAAATATTCTCCTTGATATGTTTGTGTAATGGCAATTTTTAAAATTCTATCAGGGCTCCTTCTATTTCCTTGACCCTCTTTCTCTTCTCTGCCCCCCCCATCCATTATGATTGGTTAACTTATTATATACCTATATATAAAATATATTTGATTTAAACTGAAAATACGTGCACTATTTCCTTCTCTCCCTTGTAGTGAACTACGATGTTTCATCGGCAAAAGACCTGTTGTTGTTAGCTAATTCAACAGAAGAACAGCAGAAGTGGGTGAGTCGATTGGTAAAAAAGATTCCAAAGAAACCACCAGCACATGATCCCAACTTCCACAGATCCTCTCCCAGATCTTCCATGCGAGTTCCACCTAATCAATCCATGAGGCGACCGAGCCGACAGCTTCCTTCAACCAAGCCAAGGTAAAATCTTACCGACTTTCACACTTGAAAACTACCTTTTATACCCTGTGTTAATCTTAAAAACTTTACAGTTTCTCAAAATAGTGTAACTCTGAACTAAAACAGCCCTGGCTATGAAAAGGTAAAGTTGCCATTCTAATTTTAACAGCATGATCACATTAACCTTGGAGAACTCCATATACAACAGTACAAATCTCTATATTTTCCTGTTTTAAGGTGCTTACACCCACAATTATCTAAATTAACTTCAATGTATGCATATCCTGTAAATAAGCCACAGATAAACATTAACCCCGTTTCTGTTTTTGTAACATTTTAAATGTTCATACTTTGCTGCAAATTTTTTCTTTGGTCAGGTCTTTTGAGCTAAGTCACTAAAAGCAGCTTTTATTTCACAATCTGTTTATAATGAGATTTACATTAAAGATGTTACAAAGGGATCACATTTTCTATTCCCAGCCGTCATTCCTTTTTCAAGAAAGTTTCCTAATCCTAATTTCTTTCTAGTTTACACAACTGTTATTGTATTGTATGATGCACAGTTGTGGCTTTGAGCAGCACTTGCAAAACTGAAAATGGCAAAATTGCAATTTACCAAGTTGCTCCAAAAGGTATTTGTTCTGTTGTCTTATTGAAGAAGAACAAAGAAACCATGCCCCAGATTTCAGTGCTAATCCATTGACTAAAAACTCATAGACTAAAAAATCTTTGCTTCGTCACCTTCAGGTTTCAGTGCAGATGAAAATAACATTGAATTTCTTGCTTCCAAGAAAATCTTATAGCAGCATTAGGACAGAACACATTCAGTATATCAAACTGCTCTCTTGTTAGATCATGACAGATCAGTTATCCCCATTTTCCTGCCTTTTCTCCATATTCCTAAATACATTTTAATTAAATAATACTTCCATTAGATATAATACCTTGAATATTGGAGGACATCTAAAAACGCTTCATGGGATATAATGTGAAGTGTAGTGACTTTTTAAAGCAAAATATAACTAGCAAGTATGTATCTCCCTTTCAACCTCTCTAATTGATTCTGTCTCTGCAGCCATTAGGGCAACACAGTCCACATTTTCACAAATTATTATGTGGATAATGTCTTCTGATCTTACTTGTAACTGGCTTAGCACTAATCTTAACACTATCCCCTTGTTTTGGGTCCCCAAACTACAGTGAAGAGTTATCATCTCTTTCGCTTATCACTTCTCATTATATAGGACGTTTACGGATTAATAAAAAGTACAGAATTTATGGTGTGAGGTGGCTCATCTTTATTATAGAAAAAAACTTATAACCTTTTTGTATTTTGTTTGCAATCCTTCAATGTCTTATACCAGAAAGTAATTGCCTCTGAGAACCATTAGCTTCAGACTGCAAATTTCCTACAATAGCTTTTAACAGCATTCCATAATGAGATAGTTTCAGGCACATTTGTTGCAGAGTACATGATTTACCAGCAGTCCATTCTACATTTTTCTTTCCCCATCTTGCTGTGAAACATAAGCTTTTGTGAGTTGGTTCACTTTGTGACCCGACAGCAAAGTAATTTTTTTTCCAGGTAACAGGACTTTTGAGGGCTTTAAACAAAAATACCCTTGTACTTGGGCTTGTTTGCATCTCTTGGGGTTTTATTTTTAACAGTGATTACATTTTAAAACAAGTTTTGCATAAATTTGCTACCCCAGCCATCCAAATCTGAATTGGGCCTGGCAGTTTCTGTCTAATCTTGAACAAAGAGGCTGTGTGTTGGAGTAAAGTTTTAGACGCCTTGTTGGAAAGACTTTTCTGTAATCAGCAGTTACTGCACTGCCATTCTAATCTTTCAATGAGATAGTGAAGTTTGTTTGCATGAGTTTACGAGCTTTTATTTGTCAGATTTTTTTCCCCCTGTTCCACGGCACCTCCATTTGTTTGCACAAATTGACATTATCTTTCATTACTTTGGTACATGATATAATACTCCCATAAGAGAGTGCCAACTTTTCCTCTCTCTCCCTTTCCCACAGTCGTCCTCCTCATCGCCAATTCATTTAGCGGTGTGAACCCGTATTGCTTTCTTACAATAATGTGTGCTTAATACTTCTCTAACATGTAAATATTTGCCTCCATTTCCATGTTTGTTGCTACTTTTATAGCTCTGACACTGGTCCCCTTCTTCGAATCATCCTACACTGACATTTTAATAGCTCCAGTAAGTGGTAGAGGGTCGCTTTCACTTTGCTTAGCATGTGATTATTGCTCTTCAGTTTTACAGTTTAAACTGAACTCCTTTATCCTGCATGTTAATTCTGAAAGAATTTGCATCTGCACAACATTTTTACCCTGCATGCAATCAGGATATTTTGTTGGTGCCCATGTCATCATGACTTGAAATACACCATCTGTATAGTGTAAGGTTCATCAGCTACTAAATGTGTAGGACATGTTTATTATACAGGCGGCAAGGCTTGAATGAACACATGATGCTGCAAATCAACTGCTTCTGGTGGAGAAAAATGTTTTTAGTTCAAATCTCCCAATTCTTTTAAAATCTTAAAAATGTAACTTTTTGGAGATTGTTATGAACCAGGTTTTCATGATGGATTTTCATGGTGAATTTTGTTGGTTTTCTTCCCAAATTCCCGCTGTGAAGTCATTGACTCATACCAGGTTACAGTTTCCTTGTACGATCGGCTTTCTCCCCCCCACCCTTTGTTAAGATCAACGGTAAACAATAGCAACTTTGTTCAGCTGTTGGGGTTCAATCTAACCCTCACTCAACTTCTAAGAACATGATTCTTCAATCACGTTTTTGGATAGAAACTGGAACGAGGATCCCGGTTGATTCATTGTCTCTCTTTATAGGCTAGAAACAGTTTTAATGTCACCATCAATTTAATACAAAACATGGTCAACCTGGCACCTTCCTTGTCTGTTGTTCAGTATATATAAAAGTAAAGTATATATAAAGTAAAAGTATGGGGAATATAAAACATAGTTTGTAATCTACATTTAATTTGAAAATGCTTTGAGAAATGCAATCAAATGGTATTGATTTTGAGAATTGTTAAAGGGACAGAGGCTGCAATTTCTGTATCATAGTTGTGTTATAGCATTCTGCAAGATGCATCCATTTGACACGGGAATAAAATGAGATTCTTTAAAAACTCATGAAAAATTATAATTGCTTTTGAAGATTAGATTTTAAAATAAAAAGTGCTACCATTTTATTTATGGATCGTGCTTCTGATGAATGCAAAAAATCTGAAATTTGGATTAGGATATCTAGAACAAGATCTCATGAGTTTGTGTTAAAAGGTATATTTCAGCATAAATACTTTTTCTGTTAGCTCCTAATCGGTACTGCAAATTTGGTGAAGTTCACCAGCAAAAGAAACATTTTATATTTTTATCTTCAGAACTAAATTTTGCAAAAGTTTATAATTCCTTTGAGAGTGCATACGTGTAACTTCTCCAAGTAAATAAATAATTCTAGAGTTGCACAGACTATTTTTTTAAAAAATAATGTGGTTTGTAACAAGGGTCTATTTAAAGAAATGTGAAGTGTTTACAAGAGTTGTATAACTGCAGACATTCTGAATTGATACTGTACATTCCTTCCCTGAATTGTTTCAGATTGCTTGATATGACCTTTAAAGACTGGGACTGGTCATTTGATGATGATGATGATGATGTTTTTGATTTTTGAAGAACTTGATTTACATGAATGGGTAATTTGTCAGAATGTATTGGGTTTCTTTTCTGCAGTGTGGTTAACGGAAGCATGTTTTTTTTTGCTTGTGCTTCCATTGAAAGCATCATTACTAGAGCATAAGAGGCACATACAACAATACAACTGTGTGCATGATTGACTGTTCCAAAATGTCATAGTGCATTGCCTATAGGTGCTACAGACCATTGCAGTGTGACATTTTAACACATGGTTTCATTTAATTACCAGTAATGAAATTGATGTGTGTTAGGATAAAATAGTGTGATGCAAAACACAAACTATCTTTTAGGTTGTTTGTAATGTCTGTTGTTCACAATTTTTGTTTGTCAAAATGTTAGGGAAGTTGCTTAGTTTGATAGAAAATATGTTTGGGAACTGACAATCCACGGGATTTGGAGTTTGCACATAGGGATGACGAATGAGATATGTAATCTGTCAATGAATATCATAGCATTATGATAGCATTAAAGACATTCTGCTCCTTTTGAGCGTCCCAGTGGATAACTGCCGCAAGGGAACCTCAAAATAGTTTTGCCCAAATACCAGTTGCTGCAGCCATTCTGTCAACCTCTGATTCTGCCACCACTCAACATTCTCAGGGATGGTTTGGGGAATACCAACCGGGTAAACTCAGCAGAAATGTGAGGTCAGTGGCAGTAGGATCAAGTAATTTCAGTCTTTGAAATTGTCATATTATGTATCACGTTTTTATACCAATGTGTTTAGCATTTGGTGATGATGACCTGTGGCAAAAAGTACTGGTTAATGTTTAACCACATTATTTCTTAGCTAGTAATTCAATTTAACTCCATTTCTGAAAAGTAGTAACAACCCATAACTTGTGGGGCTTGAGGTGGTTTCTGCCATATTACATCCGAATCTATGCAGTGCCTTATTAATGTTCTCTGAACATCTGAAAATTGTAGCAAATTACAAACTTGCCACATTTCCACTACTAGAGGAGCAAGAGATGAACCCTTTCCTGGCTTTGTCTGCAAAATCCTAGAATTTTAGAAACCCAAGTTGAGAACTTCAGTAATTTAAAGTATTGAGTGTGTTGTAAGATCTTATGACCATTACACTAATTACCTTGAACTTTGTGATATCATGAATTTATTGTGACAATCTGCAGCACTGTTAAAATCTCATGTTATGAGACATTTGGAGATTTTGAAGAAAAATTGATGTGATGTAGGTCAAAATGCTCAATATAAGAATGCAAGAGAGATGAGGAGGAAGAGTGCCCTGTGGTCAATTTGATTTCACCATTGCAGAATACTTGCCCTGCCTTCTTATTATAGTTTCAAGCTGTTTCTTGAATGGGTTCAGCAATCTGGCCTGGACCAATGTTCCTGGTTACCCACTTCAGCTGTTGATGGCCCTCAGTAAAGAAATACTTCTGTTGTCTGTGCTGCAGTTGTTTTCACAGTAATATTTATCGCCAAATAAACGATTGGTGTAATAACTTGCAGAGCAACTACAGCACAAATCCTCAAGGCTCTTTTAAATTGATCTTGGTTAAAAACAGCACTTTCCCCATTTCTCTGATTTTCATCTTTCTGGGAGAAACTTCTAGGTCAGTAACTTAATCCAATCAGTAGAATTTAATAGATCTTTAAATAAAGGCACTGTTATATTCCAGACTTCATGATGTTGCATTTTTTGCAGGATATTTTATAGAAATACTTTACTTCATGCATTTATAACAACATTTTGAGAGATTTATTTGCCAACCTGGATGTGTACTTTGTTGAATGTTGATGTTAATAGCTTTGAGGATTTGGCTTTTAGACTAGTTATGTATCTGATTCTGATCCATAAAATGTAGGCTATTTACATCTTCTTTCCTGCAAGCATGCAAATCTTGGGAGTGTTTTGTATTTTTCAAGCCTGCATGCACTTTTAATTGCTGTGACTGTTTGCAGTGATGTTGATGATACAGAGAGTAATTATTCAGCTTTTATGAAGCCACAATCTCTTGCCAACTTCAAAGAACAACATCTTGCCTTCTGGCAATTATTCAGTGAGTTAAATAAAAATGATGAAATTGTGCATATAGCTGATGTTTATCACAAAGGTTAATTAAAGGATATTAAATTGTGCATTTTTCACAACAGTGTCTGCTAAATAATTCAAAATGTTAGTATCAATATGCCACAGTCATTGGAAGGACCTTGATGGAAGACTTTCATGCTGTATGCTGACAAGTCTGTGGACTGGTGACAGGCAGTTCGATTTCCTTTCATTTTCTGTGAGGAATGCCTGGACTCAACTCCTATCCACAGTGGTAGTGTAATCAGGGAAATCGCTGTGTAAGAGGTTGCAGTGTGCCACAATTAATTCTCAGTCCCAGTCTGGATTAATGAACTGGTGAATTAATCTATACAGTACACGGTTGAACCTATTATTGAACCTATTGCCAGCAGTCAATAGGACAAGATTTCCATCTACTCTAATTGCTCTTGATTAGATCACAGTAGGAAATGGGCAAACTCTTAATGTAACTTTTACCTTAAAACCGATAACTGAAGTAAATTTTCAACTGAATTATATTAAAAGATGTATAACGCAACAGATTCTTGTAACATTGATCCCTGTTAATAGCACTGTCACCTTACTTTACAATCCAGATGGCCATGCTTCACAGCCTTTGTTACTACATTCTGTGGTTTTAATGAGCTGCCTGTTAGAATAAACTGGTTCTGTTTAGCACAGCAAATACATTGAAAATTTGCTCACATCCAAACATTTGAAATTTTTCTTACTAACATTCATAAAATAACACTGTGGGCCAAATAGCAATCAGTGATTCTGGGTGAATATTTCAGTTATTGGAGCCTTTTAATGTTCTAAATACCGAGTTGAAGTGTGTTTTAAACCTATTTATCTTTTTTTCTTTCTCAGCTAACCGTCTCCAGAGGAATGCAGTCACGTTGTTCAAGGTGAAGAGTTTCCTTCCTAAACAAAAAAACTGTAAAATACTTTTGGCATATCCAAACGAAGATGCACAAAGCGCTACAATTTATTTTACATAAGAAAGAGCTAAACATGACTGTCTACATATCAAATTATCACAATGGTTTACAGCACTTTGCAACAATGTAGAATACTAAGCCTGGGAGCGATATTGCTTTATACTGTATGCCTGAACTACACAAAGCTCTCTTGGATCATGATATTACTTGGCAACCAAGTGAAATAAACACTAGAAGGAAGGGTTGGGAACCGATGATGGGGAAAACACGCCATTCAACACTGCATTGTTGCAAAGAAGAATGAAGAATTTTTTGCAGTGGTTTCATCAGTTCTATGAAAATAAATAACCAAAAGTAGCAGATAGTTGCGTAAAATTCTGCTATGTTTTTAAAGCCCAAGAGAGCTTTGACATTTCAGTGCATCTATCATACTCTCAATTTTATGCAGAATAGTGATTAGTCTGAAGAAGCTTTCAGGTGTTTTGGCACAAAATGCATCATATGGTATGTTTAAAGAACACGCCTTTGCTATCACAGTTGCATCTATGCACTTGTATAAAGCCATAGAGTTTAACAGATTTGCTTATGAGTGTATTATAGGAAGCTGCATCTGAAAGGAATGTGGGAATCTGCAGCCCTTCAGATTGAGGAGATTTTGGAGAATGTTATCAGTCACAAGTACACACTTTATAATGGGCAATATTTGATCTTCATGTCATATAAATACCGCCTTAATTTAACACTTTTCCTGAATGTTTGCCCATTCTGTTAAATTTAAGTTTACTGATGACTGTTGTAATGAAAATTAAATGAAAGTTTATTGTTAAGAAAAATAGTGCACTATTTTTACACATAACCATTTGCATCTGCATTGGCCAATTTTGAATGTGTTTCTTTGAAATTATTGAAGAAAATATCGCAAGTGCGGAGACTTTAAAAAATCTAGATAATGTACAACTGTTGTTACCCAATACAAACTGAAAAATATATTAAGCAATGACAGTATTGGCCCCCATTCAATTATATTTAATACTGTAATGGCAAATTTATTGAATTTGTAATCCTTTAGCCTCACTAAGTGCTATGAACCTTATTTGCCTTGGTTTGTGTACCAATCTAGATGTTTTATTTTCATTATTTCTAAAAGAGCATCTGTGTCTGTTATTTTTACTACATTCTCACAGCACATATATAAAGATTTTCACAAACTCTAAGATGATTTAACTAAAGTCATACTGTAGATGTATTTTAAAGTTTGTTGTAAGAGTTCTCTAACACTGTAGCTGTAGTGTAGACTCTAGAGCAATTGCAATAGTGTGTCATGGGGACTCTGATGTGTAGCTGGAAAGCTGAGGCCTTGCATATGGGGGGACTCATACAGATATATTATTTTACATGCCATCTTACAAAAATACATAATTTATATTGGCTTGGCCATTTTGTATTTATAAAGGCTATCATCTTGAAATGCATGTTTTATACAACTACAGTATGCTAAAGATAATGTAAAACATATTTGACAATAAAACCATTATGTAGCCTTCCAATTTTCTTGTTGTTTTTCACACTATCGATATGAACCTTACTTTTGACATTTTAATTTGTACATTTTGGCATCCTGAAGCACAAACCCTTTAATGCTTTTACTGTTGTTTTATTTCTGTTCACCAAAATGACAACACCTTTTGTTTTAACTCTTTCTGCTATCAAGATTTTCCAATATGCTTGTCACTTTAAAAGAAGTGCTGTACATCCCAACATGTAATCTTCCTCTGCATTAAATAGCTATTATTTCATGCTGATAGTCTTTGCTTCTTTCCCACTCTGCCCTCAGTTAAATCATCCTGACTGCTTGGTTCCACGGTGCTGACCAGGATAAACTTCACTTAAGTTTCCATTCCTAATGTCTGAGCCAAAATGAATGTTAGAGCATGGGGACATATCAGCCAACCCCAATTCTGTCTTCACTGACCTCCATATACATGCATTTAAGTGGGGGGGTCACTGGCTACACAACCCTATATCTATGTTTCATAGAAACTGAAAGCTTTGGTATCAGTTGACATTGAGTTCATGAATGTGATTGTGGTCTGCAGCCTGGGAGATTGTGCTTTATAGGCATGTTTTAAATAGAATTTTAGGATAATAACTTCCGTTTTATGATACCTTTCAAAAGGAAACCTCAAAGGAATAAATTAAATACTAAAAGCAGCAAAGCAGCAAAGGAATTGCAGAAGTGGTTTGTATTGCCAGTTCCCTAACACTGACTCTGAGCGCTGCATCGCAAGAGAGCCAATATGCTGCAAAGCTGTGTTAAATCAATGCCTGTGTGAGGGCTACTTCCCACATTTCTGAGTTCAGGAGATCAAGCAACTTACGCCCACAAAATATACAGACAATTCACTTTACATTCTGTGAAGCACTTTGAGATGTCTCAAAAAGACATGGTAAGGCTCTAGATCAAATGCAAGGATTATATTACTTATCTCCCTAGAGATGTAGAACATTTGCCTTCATAGACCAGAGAGAAAGCTGAAGGTCTCACCTGTCTTTACTGTGTATAGCACAATGTGTTCTTTCCATAATTTGTAAATTCAAACCATATTGTTGAAATGCAACTGCTGCGTTTCTTTGTTTTCTTTCTTCCCTCAACTCGTTAGGAAAATGGATCAGTGGTAGCCTAGGAGCTGGGAGTATAAATAGGATGGAGGCAGTTGCATGCAGGGCGAAGTGGGGGGGTGGAGGGGATCAGTCGTGTCACCTTTACGTTGCTCTTTGTGCTGCCTCATACCTCCCACTCCAGCTCTCTGGACTTGTGTTGTACATGACACAAGGCAGCATGGATACTCTTAAGCATGGTGATGCGTTTCCGCATGTGTCAGGTACCCAGCTGATCAAAGCAACGTGGCAGGTATCAGGCAGCAGACAGCGATGGGAAGAGAGGTGGAGCAGTAGGTAAAGGCTCCATACAAATACTTAAAGGCTGAGGGAGGTAGTTCCCCCTATTATTGGCTCCACTATTTGATGGAGGATCCACCTCAAGATTGAAAAAGTACATTTTGAAAAAACAGCCACATAAATGGCACCTTATGCTGGGAAAAAAATGCTCCTCAGTGTAAAGTGCGTCGCTTCCAGGGAACCCCCGTGTACATGGTTTCGACTCAAATCACTCCAACTCGCAAGAAGGAAGAGAAAGTAAGGCATATTGGTAGATTGCACTCTGATCATATAGTGTGAAAGCATTCACTTATATGAAAAATATGTAATATTTTGTATACATTATACAAATGTTTAAACTATTTATTTGTTATTACATTTCCTTTCTTTACATAGAAAATTGCTTATAAAGACAAGGGAGAAGAATACAAAATCAATCTTTATCACCATCTGTGATAAGCAAACCCTGCGTTTTCATAATATGTTGTCACTGTTAAAATTACAGCCATTTTTCACGCAGAGATGCAACATATAACCTGTAACTGCATAAAAATGACTTGATTTCTCCTTTCGTGACATTTTAGATTTCTCATGAAATTGTTAACTTATCCTAGGTCTAGTTGCAGTTGCACAGGTGCCTGACACCCTCTAGGATTTTTTTCATCTGGACACTGGGTCCCAAAATCACGGTATTAGAGACCGTTATCTTTCACCAATTACAGCATAAAGTAACATATGCAACACCACCCATCCATATACAATGTATACTGTGCTGAACACTACTTAAACAGACTCGCTATCCAAACTGCCAGAACTCTCCAGACTGCCCTGGGTCTATATTTATTTCGTTACGCTATGTAACTGTCTTAATTCAATCAAGCATAACATTCAAATACATACTTGATTACAAAGGACAGTAAAATAACATTGTAATCTAGTCAGTACCAGTCCTATTTTTTTTACAAAAATACTTTCTTAGCAAACTGTCCAATTCCTTCTTGAATGTGTTCACATAAGCCTGGCTGGTAATTTGATTTCAAAATAGTTTATTTATCCAAATGACTCTGGGATTAGTACCCAATAATTTCTCCACACTACAATTCCTCAGACTGTTAGTGTGGGTTTGAGCCCTCTCTAGGTGGATGGCAAGTATCAGGAATTCCCTGTGAGCTTCCTGGTTCTAAAATAACAGATTTTAATAGGGGGAAAAAAATTCTAAAACTAGAAACACAATCACATTAGAAATGTAAAACTACAAAATTCTGTTTCGGAGGTAATGTCTATTTGGAAAAAAATGAAGCTGCTTCTAACCTTTAAAAATCCACAAAAATAAATTTACCATTAAATATCTCTTAGGTTAAAACCAGGTCATTTAAAAAGTGAAGCAATAGCCACAAAGCCACTATATTATAAATTCTAAATATTTCCTTTTTTAGAAGAGTCTGGCTTGTCCTAAACCAGAGGTCTCCAACCGGTCACATGCTCAATAAAAACAAGGGGAAGGAACAATATTTACCAGTTTAAACATTAACATTTTTATTTCACGTTGCATGAAATACTTTGTATCTGGCTTTGTTTTCAATTGGAGTCAATAACTACAGTTCTATTGCTCCTTTCTCTTGCCTTTTTGATCATATGCGGGAGCACTACCTACTGGCAATCAATCGGTTAGTGATCCCTGTATTAAACACTTGACTGTATACCTTTGACCTGGCACCTTCTCTACCATTGCAAACCCTAGAGGCAGAGCTGGGAAAATGTAAGCAGTGCAATTTCAGGGCAAGCATTGTGGCAGCATGTTTAAGGCATGGGAGAGGATTGGTTCCACTTCCCAGTTGAAATGTCAAATGAAATAAAAATTGACCTTTGTGTGTTTCTTGTAATAATGTTATACAATATCTAAGAGTAGATGCAAGGTGAGGTGATGAGAGGATCTGATTTGGTCATCACATTTTCTTAGATCTGCTCAGTGGATTTGTGTGAGGGTTTGCTGTCTTGATGTAGCAAACAATTATGCTTCACTGCATTTTCACTCCTATAGATATTTTTTCTGACAAACAACTATTAACAAATGTCATTACTATTTTCACTTTGGTCCAAAAGTTGTTAATATTGCAACTTGTTAAAGACTGGGCAGTTAAAGTTGTTAATAGAATTTGCCAAGAAGCGATCGTTTTCTTATCAGAATGTGCATACAAACGCTCTTGAGTTACTACTCCAACCATAATGGATATGATATAGTGAACACTGGCAAATCAAGTTCACAGAAAAGTTACTTAGCTGGATTTTGTAAGCTGCCAAAATTCATAATTACTTAAGAGAATCAGTTTACTGCAGTACAATGAGATTTAAGACTCCAGCAGAGATCGGGACTAGAGTCTCCTGCTCTCAATAGCAGTGTTGCACTTGGCTGTCAGGAAGTGCTGATTTTCTGATTTGCAAATAAACGCTTCCTGTTTTTATGGTGCATTCCTAAGGTCGCCAGCCCCTCACCAAATAAAAACAAGAAAGGTTTGACCTAGAGGTAAGAGTGGTTTCCTCTCACCCACTTACTATTAGTTAGAGGGAATGAATGAATAGAATCCACTGTGGACATAGGAACTTTGATCTGAACAAAACAAATACAATTGTGTACCTTAACACCAACCATCTATTCCAGCAAGGACTCTACTTAATCATACAGTGATAATAATAGAAGGCTCTGCCTATGTCACATCATTTATATACTGTATTTAGAAAGGAACTCAATGTACCCACACACACAGGCTGATAAGTATCTCAATTGTATCTTAAGAGGAGAATCTAAAAGTTCTCAGACTATTTGTAATGCAAGTCTATGTACCACATTAGCAATAAAACACAGACTATAACGTTGCTGAGTGATTGTCTTCAATGCAGAATCCAATGAAGCTGTTGTTTTATTCAGCCTTCGGGTGTTGCTTCTTACTTTGTTGCTCCTTTTGATCCTTTTTCTCCTCTTTGCCCTTCCGGTAGTACAGGATGTAGATCAAAACCCACAAGTTCAGCGCACATATAACTACAAACCGCGTGACCACTAGGGGAAAAGGAAAATGTTTTTAGAACATGCCAACATTTTCTGCAAATCTTTGTGCGTTTTATTAGTCCCACAATACAAGCTTAAAATCAGTGTCTAGGAAATATTACATTTTATCATCTTAATTCTTAACTATCAAATACATCATCACGTCATATACTTTAGACGCTGGCCAGTATAAAAGCTGACACAAATCAATTGTCTCGTCCAAGGCATTTACTTACAAGCACTACTTAAAATGCTTATTTTACGACTTTTGGGTTAACACATCAGAAATGAAAAATCTCGAGTCACCTAAATAGCTTTTATTTCCTCACCCATCTTACTTCCTCCTTCCCCTTAAAAGTGCTTTTGGCTCATTTTTCCTTTGATTGATTCCAGAGATTTCAGCCCCTGCTCACTTGAGTGGGGTCATTATATTTAGTGTGAGTCTGCTAGGAACACCACCAAGCTTTTGACCAAATCACAACCAGAATCAATTTTGTTCTCAATTGATATCCACACAGGCCCTCAGGAGCAGGAACCTTGTCAGATTTTCCCCTAGGCAATGAGACCAATTGTAATAATAATAATCCTTGCATTTGATATAGCGCCTTGTCACGTCATTGAGATGGCTCAAAGCACTTCACAGGATATACTGTAAAGTAAATTGACTGTATTTTAATAATCCTTGAATTTGATATAGCGCTTTTCACGTCGGGAGGACGTCCCAAAGCGCTTCACAGAATATACTGTAAAGTGAATTGACTGTATATTTGTGGGCAAACGCGGCAGCCAATTGCGCACAGCAGATTGAAAATGACCAATTTATTATTGTTTTGGGTTTTGGAGGGATTATTATTATTATATCTCCACATTGCTGCTAGGATAGGATTTTCCAGCCTTTCTGTCTAATTTAGTTGGGGATTGAACCTCCTCTCCAGCTACCGCTCCATCTCTAACCTCCCATTCCTCTCCAAGATCCTGAAATGAGTCGTCGCGTCCCAGCTCCGCTCCTTTCTCTCTCGCCATTCCCTCCAATCCGGCTTCCACAGCCCTGGTCAAAGTCACTAATGACATTCTGAACATCTGTGATCAGGGCTCCCTCTGCCTCCTTGTCCTCCTCGATATCTCTGCCACCTTCGACCACTCCATCCTCATACACCGCCTCTCCGCTTCACTCAATCTTCACAGACCTGCCATTGCCTGGTTCAATTCCTATCTCTCTCACCGTCTCCACTTTGTTGCCTTTAACGGTTTCTCCTCCAGCCCCCGCACTGTCATGTCTGGCGTCCCCCAGGGCTGTGTCCTTGGCCCTCTCCTCTTTAATATCTACATACTCCCCCTTGGTGACATCATCCAGACATGGGGTCAACTTCCACATGTATGCGGATGACACCAACTCTATCTTTGTGCCTCCACCTCAACTCCAGGACCACTGCTGTCCTGACAGACTGCCTGTCGGACATCAAGTCCTGGATGAGGGCAAATTTCCTACAGTTGAATGTGATCCAGACTGAGGCCCTCCTGATTGGCTCACGCCAGTGCCTCAGCACCTCAGGCTCCGGCAGCATCAACCTCCATGGTTGCACACTTCAACTCACCAACCCAGTCAGGAACCTGGGTGTCTTGTTCAATCCTCAACTGTCTTTTCTTCCCCACATCCAAGCCATGACCCACTCTGCCTTCCCTCACCTCCGTAACATTGCCCGACTCCACCACTACTTCGCCCCTCAGGCCGCTGAAACTCTTGTTCATGCCTTCATCACCTTCCAGGCTCGACTATGCAAACGCCCTGCTTGTCGGCCTTCCCAACTCCTCCCTCCACAGGCTGCAGATAATCCAGAACTCTGCAGCCCGTGTCCTCTCCCGCACCAAACTCCGTGAACCCATCTCCCTCACTCTCGCCCGACTCCATTGGCTCTCTATCCTTCAGAAGATCCAGTTCAAGATCCTGGTCCTCACCTACAGCCCTCCTTGGCCTCGCCCCACCCTACCTCTGCGACCTCCTAACCTTCTACCAATCCGCCTGTTCCCTCCACTCAGCCGACTCTGGCCTACTCCACATCCCCCGACCCACCCGCCCCACCATTGGCGGGAGAGCCTTCAGCCACTCTGCCCCCAACCTCTGGAATTCCATCCACCAGTCATTCCGCCTCACCCCCTCCTTAGCCTTCTTCAAGTCCCGTCTCAAGACCCTCCTCTTCGACCATGCCATCAGCCACCCCCCTTCCTCTCCCCTCCCTTCTCCCCCTGACCCAGCTCAGGTCTGAAATGCTGTACACTGTCCAGCACCTTGGGACGTCCTCCTGACGTAAAAGGCGCAATACAAACGTAATCTTCTTGCTGTTGAACCACATGTGCACTGAGCGTGAAAAATAAAAAAAACAGCTTGCACTTGAATGGCACCTTTCATGTAGGATGAAGATCTCAATGTTTAACAGCTATAACAGCGCGCACCAAACAGGAAAAAGGGGAAGCAGCAAATATATCAAACTGCTTAAGGGACTTGTTACAGGAAGTGAAACTAAATTTGGAAAAGGCATTGATCTAGTGTTGGCTGGCTCAGTTGGTTAGCCTCTGGATTAGAAGATTGTGAAACCATGTCAGGACTTTATCGCATAGTTCAGGCTGATATCCCAATGTAATGCTGGCAGTCATTGCACTTTGCAGAAAATTTGTGAAACTCCTTAAAAAGATCAACATAAAAGGCACAAGATCAAATGCAAGGTTCATTATCATCCAGTCCCAACTAGAGTTCTGCATGAAAGTCTGCTTACTACATTAAGGACATTCTGGCAATTCAAAGGGCAATTAGAATGGTTGCACCTGAGTTATGAGGAGGTTACAGAAGCTGGAAATGTTCATATTTGAGAATACATAAGCGATCTCATTAAAGTATTCAATATCCTAACAGGTATAGATAAACTAAACCCCAATAAGATGTTTAACTTGGTGAAAAATCTAAAACAAGGCAACATACTCTCGAGCTCAGAAGAGGGAAGGTGAACAGATATTTCAGGTTAATTATAATAATAATCTTTACATTTGGTATAGCCTTGCCCCCTCTCCCCTGTTTTAAGTCCAGTCTAAAAGGCTTCCTCTTTGACTATGCTCACAGCCACCTCCGACCACCCCCACCGGCTCAGAGTCAGGCTCCGCTACTGTTAAGCGCTCTGAGATGCCACACTGTGTGGAAGACGCTATATAAGTGAAGTTGGTGGTGGTGTTGCAGTGCCTTTCATATCAGAACATCTCAAAGTGCTTCACACAATGTACTGTAAAGTGTATGAACTCTGTATTTTGTAGGCAAATGCAACAATCGATTTGCAATACCCTACAAACATGATTCATTTATTTGGGGGATTGTTGACCAGTAACACGGGGAAAAACTCCCTTCTTTCGGTTTAATGTCTTATCTGAAGGAAGGCGCTTCTATCAAAACAGCATTCCCCCAGCACTGCATTCGAGTGTCAGCCTACACTATCTGACTCAGGGGCGAGAGTACTACCAACTGAGGGCAAGGTGGCAGGTGGAATATAAAGTGGGAAGTTATTCACCTAGGTAGTAAAAACAGAAAAGCAGATTATTTTCTTGAGGGGGAGTGACTAGGTAGTGTTAGTGTTCAGAGGGATTTGGGTGTCGTTGTAGACCTGTCACAAAAAGTTAGTATGCAGGTACAGCAAGCAACTAGGAAGGCTGATGGCATGTTTGCATTTATTGCAAAAGGGTTAGAGTACAAGAAGAGGGAAGTCTTGCTGTAACTGAGACCGCACCTAGAATATTGTGTGCAGTTTTGGTCTCCTTATTTAAGGAAGAACATACTCGCCTTAAGAGGGGGTATAACATAACATGTAGGAGCAGGACTAGGCCATTCGGCCCTTCGAGCCTGCCCCGCCATTCAATCATGGCTGATCTTCTAATCTAACTCCAGCTAATAACCTGACCCTGCCTTATCCCCATATCCCTTAATCCCTTTTGCAATAAGAAATCTATCTATCTCAGTCTTGAATATATTCAAGGACTGAGCGTCAAAAGCCCTTTGGGGTAGTGAGTTCCATACATTCACCACCCTTTGAGTGAAGAAGTTCTTCCTCAACTCAGTGCGAAAGGGCTGGCCTCTAATTTTAAGGTTGTGACACCCTGGTTTTAGTTTCTCCAACCAGGAGAAACAATCTCCCACTATCTACTCTGTCATAACCTTTGATGATCTTATAAGTTTCTATAAGATCCCCTCTAATTCTTCTATATTCTAGAGAATATAGGCCCAAATATAGGCCTATCCCTGGTACTAACCTCGTAAATCTACACTGCACCCCCTCCAAGGCAAGTACATCCTTCCTTAAATGAGGAGACCAAAACTGGACACAGTATTCCAGGTGTGGTCTCACCAGGGCCCTATACAGTTGCAGCAAGACTTCCCTACTCCTATACTCTAATCCTTTCATAATGAATGCTAACATACTGTTCGCCTTCCTAATTACTGCTGCACCTGCAGACTAACTTTCTGTGATTGGTGTACAAGGACACCCAAGTCCCTCTGGACGCTAACACATTCCAATCTCTCCCCTTCTAAAAAATAACCCACTCTCCTGTTTTTGCTTCCTAGGTGGATGACTTCACACTTCCCTACATTATACTTCATCTGCCACCTACCTGCCCAATCACCTGACCTATCCATGTCTCGCTGCATTTTTTTAATGTCGTCCTCTGTGTTGACACTTCCTCCTAGTTCTTCCTTCTAGTTTTGTGTCATCCGTGAATTTAGATATATTAACTTTGATGTCCTCATCTAGATCGTTGATGTAGATGGTAAATAGCTGAGGCCCAAGGACTGATCCTTGTGGCACTCCACTAGTCACATCCCGCCAATCTGAAAAGAACCCGTTTATCCCTATTCTGTTTCCTACCCGTTAACCATTCCCCAATCCACGTTAATATGCTCCCCCCAATTCCATGAGCCTTTATCTTTTGGACTAACTTTTTATGCGGCACTTTATTGAATGCCTTCTGGAAGTCCAAATTGACCACATCCACTGGTTCACCCTTATCTGCACTGCACTACCACACCCTTAATCAACGATTCTAAAATTTTTCCTATCACTGATGTGAGACTAACTCGCCGATAGTTCCCATCTTTTCCTTTCCACCTTTTTTAAATAGTGGTGTGACATTTGCGATCTTCCAATCCATGGGGACTGTTCCAGAATCCAACGAATTGTGGAAGATCAGACACAAGGCCTCCGCTATCTCATAAGCTACCTCTTTTAAAACCCTGGGATGCAAACCATCCGGACCAGGGGATTTGTCACTTTTTAGTGCTAACAGTTTCCCTAGCACCAATTCTCTACTAATGAAAATTTCCCTAAGTTGCTCCCTGTCCTTATCCCTTTGGTGCATCTCTATTGTTGGTAGACTTGTTGTGTCTTCTAGGGTGAAGACAGATGCAAAGTACCCATTTAGGGACTCTGCCATGTCCTTATCCCCCATTACAACTTCTCCCGTCTCTGACTGGTGGACCTACATTTACCCTCACCAGCCTATTCCTCTTAATGTATTTGTAAAAGCTTTTACAATCTGACTTAATGTTCCTAGCTAGCTTATCCTCATACTCCTTTTTCTCGCTCTTAATGAGTTTTTTAGTTTTATTTTGCTGGTTTCTAAAACTCTCCCAATCTTCAGATTTGCCGCTTTTCTTGGCAGTTTTATAAGCCTTTTCTTTTAATTTGATGCTTTCCCTAACTGCTCTAGTTAGCCACGGATGACTTGCTTTCCCTGTGGTACTCTTATTCCGCAAGGGAATATGTGACCGCTGAGAATTATGCACTACATCCTTAAATATATGCCACTGTTGGGTCTACATTTTTACCTCTTAATCTTATTCTCCAGTCTATTTTACCTAAATCTTTCCTCATACCTACAAAACTAGCCCTATTTAAATTCAGAATACTTAATAATAATAATAATAATAATAATCCTTGCATTTGATATAGCGCTTTTCACGTCGATAGGACGTCCCAAAGCGCTTCACAGAATATACTGTAAAGTGAATTGACTGTATATTTGAGGGCGAACGCGGCAGCCAATTGCGCACAGCAATGTCCCACAAACAGTCGTAGATTGAAAATGACCAATTTATTATTGTTTTTGTTTTTGGAGGGATTATTATTAGGCGTGTGGAGTAAGGAAACTTGCCCAAGGTTTCGCCCTGCCTGGAATTGAACTCAGGTCTCTCGCTTGCAAAGCGAGTGCTCTAACCACTGAGCTACAGGACTCCATTTAACTATATCTCTCTCTAACTTAATGCAGAATTCGATCATATTGTGATCACTCTGCCCTAGAGGCTAATACCTACACTGCCAACTTGTCCTGTTTCGTTACACAAAACAAGGTCTAGGATGGCCCTTGCCCTAGTTGGTTCCTCGGCATGCTGCTCGAGAAAGTTATCTCTCATACACTCAATGAACTCTTCTTCTGACCTACTTTTGCTGATTTGGAGATTGAAATCACCCACTATTATCGCTTTACCTTTCCTACATGCTCCACTGATTTCTTGATTGATACCCTGTGCTATATTGTGATCGCTGTTTGGGGTCTATAAACCACTCCCATTAATATTTTCTGCCCTTTATTATTTTTTATTTCCACCCATATTGTCTCGACGTCCTGGTCATCGGATTTCAGATCCTTCCTCTCCGCTGCTTTTATTTCATCCCTAATTAACAAGGCTACCCCCCACCTCTTTTCCCACAGTGCCTATCTTTCCTGTAAACTGAGAACCCTGGAATATTTACTCCCACCTTAGATCTCCTTGTAATCTTGTTTCAGTGATGGTTACTAGATCGTACCCATATGTTTCTATCTGTGCAGTGTATATTCACAAGGTTAGTTCCTGGGATGAGGGGGGTTGACCTATGAGGATAGGTTGAGGAAACTTGGCCTATATTCTCTAGAATATAGAAGAATTAGGGGTGATCTTATAGAATGGGGCTTGACAGAGTAGACAGTGTGAGACTGTTTCTCCTGATAGGAGAATCTAGAACTAGGCGTCACAGTCTTAAGATTAAGGGACAGCCCTTTCGAACAGAGTTGAGGAAACACTTCTTCACTCAGAGGGCAGTGAATTTATGGAATTCTCTACCCCAGAAGGCTGTAGATGCTCAGTCCTTGAACATATTCAAGTCTGAGATTGATAGATTTCTAAAGGATAGAGGGATTAAGGGATATGGGGATATGACGGGCAGTTAGAAGATCAGCCATGATCTTATTGAATGGCGGGGCAGGCTCGAGGGGCTGAATGGCCTACTCCTGCTCCTAATTCCTATGTTCCTATGAGCCAGACTGATGCCAGTTATTCTGCACAGAGCTCGGACCCATACACAACCATGCGGTGGATGAGGGAGGGATTAATCTGGAGGATACCAGGTCAAACTCTTTGTGTAGAAACTATTCACCTGCAGGGTCCTCAGTGGTCATCATTGTAGTGCAAATTCTTGCTGTATATAAAAAAACAGTGATCAGTGGAATAATTCAAGGCTCACCAAGCAATATTGTTAAACAGTGTAAATATTACCTAATATTGAGAACTGACTAATGTTGTTAGTATTAATATTGAATTAATAATTTTAATAATAATAAACCTCCTAACCCCCTACCAACCCGCCCATTCTTTCCACTCAGCCGGCTCTGGCCTGCTCCACGTCCCCTGACCCACCCGCCCCACCATTGGCGGGAGAGCCTTTAGCTACTCTGCCCCCAACCTCTGGTGTACATCCCCCAATCACTCCGCTTGCCTCCTCCTTAGCCTCCTTCAAATCCCACCTCAAGACCCTCCTCTTTGACCATGTCATCGGCTGCCCCGATCCCCTCCCCTCCCTTGGGACGTGAAAGGAGCTATACAAATGTAATCTTGTTATTGTTGCTCATCTTCTCCCCCTTCCCCAGACGATAATCACTAGTCAGTCATCTGAGCCGTCACTAGGTGGATGGCTGGTACCAGGGAAAAGCGAGCTTCCTGGTGAGCATTACAGCTCAGCATGAAATGCGTGAGAGCATTGCCCACAGCTCGGACACACATCATGTCCCATTGAACGATGGTGCCACTAGTTGGAGGGCAGAGCTTGAGCAGCAGCTAATTAACAATTTACAAGCCAGTCGAGGTGGATTCCAAGCCCCGGATATATGAACATCTGTTCACAAACCTGTACTTCAGGTAACACCTTCCAGCAGCTGTCACCCCCAACCTCAGAGCTTCCTCATCTGCTATCTGATGGACATCTGCACAATCTCTAATGTCAGGAGGCTGAAGGCTAAGATCACGCAGTATTTCTGGGACCGTGATGAGCAGTCGCAAGGATTTTTCCAGTGGCTATCTTTAAGTAAGTTACAAGTTTTCTTTTAAAAAAAGTAGATTTTTCAGGATTAGAAATAATTGCTACAGGAACATATAGCTTCCCAATAAAAATGCTACAAATTGGTGAATTAAGTCTGGGACGCTAACTGTGTGACGGGCGCTAGATAAATGCAGGTTGTTATTGCTGTTGTTGAATACAGTTTACAGTCCCACTTACCTGCTGAAGTGTAGACAGCAAAACCCCAGGTCAGGGCACTCACTTGACCAGAGTCTCGGGTCTCCCGCAGAGATTTAAGTTGAGCGTATTTACTTGATGCACTGATGAAAGTGGACATATTCTACAGTAGAAAGGAGAAATGTGATCACCGCCAAAGTGGGGGGAAAAATGATCAAAAATAACCTTTTCCCAGTCACAGCAAGTCAAATACAGCCAGCCTCTTTTGCCCAAAGCAATCAAAGATGAATTTCAGAGTCAAACAAATTATCTTTGAAAAAAAATGTAAGAAATGTTATTTTCCCTTAGGCCATCGTCATGTCCGCTATTCCCATTCCCACCTAAGAGAGCAGACAAAATGACCCTCCACGGGTTCCCTGGCAATGCAGCTGAAGCCAAACACTAAAGTGCACAAGTGTGGTCGGAGCTGGCAGGACCCAGTGATTTCCCGTCCCTCCAACCAATTCAATATCATTATCTTTGGCATTCGGTGAAAACGTCACTCAACACTGAGCTGAATCCAATGTGCATTCTCGGAATGAGGAAAATCATTCGGAAAGGGAGGAGGAGAAGAAGGGAAATCACTTTTCTGAGCTTAGTTGTATTCAAGCCAGCAGTGAGGATTACCTGGGCAAACTGAAAACACAACCGTTCAGCATGAACTTGGTTTAAAACTCAAGCCTGTTTTGTAAACATCTACAGTTGATCTCACTCTACATCCCCAACTTTGCCCAGTGTTGACACCATGTGGCTAAGGATGGAGCCTGAAACGTCACTTGTACTCCACTTCAGCACTTCCACTGTTCACAGCGGCCCCTCAAGACTTCTTGTTATGCACAAAATTGGGCAAAAATACAAGAGAAAGATTATGACAAAGAGGATCAAACAAATGGAAAGATAGAGACAGAAAAAAAATGATTTCACAAATCCTGTATTTGTGATCTCGAAGGCCTGATTTTCCAATTACCCATGCAAAAAAAAAATCTAATCAGTACTCAAAAGTACTGCTGTACAAAGTCAATTTTGCTTCTATCACAGAGGGATTGGTTATCTTCCTCTATCACAGAGGGATTGGTTATCTTCCTTTGTCACAGAGGGATTGGTTATCTTCCTCTATCCCTCCGCCTTGCCCCTTCCTTCCCCATCTTCAGGTCGTGCCTGAAGACCTTCCTCTCCGATCGTGCCTGCGGTTACCTCCCCCTCCCCCCGGCTCCGCGTCATGCTCCACCACTGTCAAGCGCTCTGCGACCCGCCCTGCGTGAGGAGTGCTATATAAATGCAAGTTGTTGTTGTGAGGGTAGTTTATATGGACCAGAATTACATTTATAGAGCGCCTTTCACGGCAGGAGGACATCCCAAGGTGCTGGACAGTCAGGTTTCGGGGCCTGAGCATGGGGGAGGGGTGGGGTAGGGGTGGGGGAAGGCAAAGAGGTGAGACGGCGACTGAAGGCGCGATCGAAGAGGAGGGTCTTGAGACCGGCCTTGAAGGAGGCAAGGGAGGAAGCGAGGCGAAGGGACCGTGGGATGGAGTTCCAGACTGTGGGGACAGAGAGGCTGAAAGCCCGGCCACTGATGGTAGGGCGGGTCGGGCGGTAGACATGGAGCAGACCGGAGCCCGCTGAACGGAGGAAGCGGGCAGGTTGGTAGGGAGTCAGCAGGTCACAGAGATAAGAGGGGACAAGGCCATGGATGGCCTTGAAAGTGAAGATGAGGAACTTGAATTCGATCCTCTGGGGGATGGGGAGACAGTGGAGTCGGACGAGGATGGGAGTGATGGGGTCACGAGCCTGGTCCTGAGAGTACACGAGCTGCAGAGATTTGGATGAGCTGCAGCTTGTGAAGGGAAGAGTTGGGAAAGCTGATGAGGAGGGAGTTTACATAATCGAGCCTTGATGTGACGAATGCGTGGGTGAGGGTTTCGGCAGCCTGAGGGGTGAGGCAGTGGCAGAGTTTGGCAATGTTGCAAAGGTGGTGGTAGGCAGTGCAGCTCCTGGCGCAGATGTGGGAGAGAAAGGACAGTTCAGGGTCAAACAAGACACCCAGGGTCCTGACTGGCTTAGTGAGGTTGTGTGCAGCCGTGGAGGCTGATGCTGCCAGCGCCTGAGGTGCGGAGGAGCTGGCACGAGCCAATCGGGAGGGCCTCGGTCTTGCTGACGTTGAGTTGGAGAAAGTTGTCCCTCGTCCAGGACTTGGATGTCAGACAGGCAGTCGGTCAGGACAGCAGTGGTCCTGGAGTTGAGGGTGAAGGCAGAGAGATAGAGTTGGGTGTCATCCGCATACATGTGGAAATTTACCCCATGTCTGCGGATGATGTCACCAAGGGGGAGCATGTAGAGGGTGAAGAGAAGGGGACTGAGGACAGAGCCCCAAGGAACACCGCACAAGACGGTGCGGGGGCTGGAGGAGAAGCCGTTTGCTGCGATAAAGTGGAGGCGGTGTGAAAGGTAGGATCTGAACCAGTCAAGGACAGAACCTTGAAGATTGAAGTGGGAGGAGAGGTGGTGGAGGAAGATTGAATGGTCCACAGTATCAAAGGCGGCGGAGAGGTCAAGGAGGACGAGGAGGCAGAGGAAGCCCTGGTCACACATAATCAGGATGTCATTTGTGACTTTGACCAGAGCAACCCGATTGGAGGGGCTTGTTGAGGGAGTGGGAGGAGAGGAAAGAGCAAAGCTGGGAGGCGACAGCTCTTTCAAGGACCTTAGACAGAAAAGGGAGGTTGGAGATGGGCTGGTAGCTGGATAGATGTGATGGGTCAAGGGAAGGTTTCTTCAAGGTGGGGGTGATAGTGGCTGTTTTGAGGGGGGTAGGAACAGTGCCAGATGTCAGGGAGAGGTTGATGATGTCGGCGAGTAATGGGACAAGGAGGTGGAGCTGGGATTTAAGGAAAGTGGTGGGGATGGGATCCCGGGATCAGCTGGTGGGCTTCATGGAGGATATGGTTGTGATGACAGAGGAGGGGGTGACAGGTTCAAAGGTGAGGAGGGAGGGGTGGATTGTGGTCGGAGCGTGGGGGGAAGGTAGGGAGGGGTTGGCAGCTGAACGGATTCCCTCGATTTTGGAGTCAAGGAAGTACAGCATTTCCTCGCATTGTCGGAGGGAAGAATCTGCGAGGCGTGGTGGGGAGGGCGGAGGAGCCGGTTGGTGGTGAACAACAGGAGCCTGGGGTTGCCCTCCGCCTCCAGGATTAACCTGGATTAGAAGAACGGTTTGGCCGAGGTGAGAACGGAGCGGTAGGTTTTGATGTGGTCCAGCCAGATGTGCCGGTGGAACGTTAGGCCGGATTTGAGGCAAGTGCGTTCGGCAGCCTGCACCTGGCCCTTGAGCGAGCAGAGGTGGCTGGTGAACCAGGGAGAGGATCGGAAATAGGAGGCAGCCATGATCCAATAAAATGGTGGGGTAGGCTTGATGGCCTCCTGGTCTATTCTTGTTCCTATCTTCTGGATGGGGATCAAAGAGATAATAAAGCAGAGTGTGTAGAAGGATTAATGTCAGGGACCAAATGGTGATGCCAGTCATATTCTGACATTTTGATTTTACCAGTATTCTTTGTGAAAAGAAAGTTGAATTAGAACAGTTGCCATCTCAAAACTGCGATCATATTGCTCTTGAGGTACAGCGGGGGTTCTGGGAAGGGGGCGAGCGAGCAGGGTTTCATTTCACTGTTTGAAGTTTTACCTGTTGAAATGCACTCGAATAAAACTGGGGAACTCCCATTATTTTGCTGAATAGGGAGAGATTTGCATGTAGCATCTGACTGTTATCTTTAAATCATAAAAACACATTGCAATCGTGAGCCTGGCATTTTCACGCAGACAGGGAGGGGATAATCAACAGGGCGTTGGTCAACTTCAGATACCATTCACAACTCGGAGGCCTGTAAAGGCTGGAGTTGCTTACCATGGTCACAGGCACCGGCAAGGTTCAAACGGAGGCAAATGTAGCTCTGCACATCAACACTTTGTAACACTTATCTAATATAAAATAATAATAATCCTTGCATTTGATATAGTGCTTTTCATGTCTTCTCGACGTCTCAAAGCACTTCGCAGGATATACTGTAAAGTGAATTGGCTGTATATTGGTGGGCGAAACGCGGCAGCCAATTGCGCACAGCAGTGTCCCACAAACAGGTTATGGATTGAGTGACCAAATTATTTTTGTTTTGGAGGGATTATTATCAGGCGTGTGAAGTAAGGAAACTTGCCCAAGGTTTCACCCTACCGGGACTCCACTATTTTTATTAGCAAATCATTTCTGTCCACCTTTACTGTAGACATGCAACAAGATTTATATTAAACCCTTTATGGTGCACAAAGATTGACGCGCCAAACTTTTCTCTCTATGTACCGTGTCAGATTCACATTGAAATCCAATGTTGTGGGACTTGCTAGATTCAAGCAATTGCCCACTTATAGTGCATCAAAACATGGCTGTCACCTCCTTTGGCCGCTAGATCCCCACAACAGCTTAAACTCATTCGGTGTCCGTCACATAAAATAATGCCTCAGAGCGCTTCACAGGGGAGGAGTGAGCACTGAGTGAGGGGGAGAGGAGCGGGAGGTAGAAAAGAGGGGGAGAGGGAAGGTGACCATAGGTGTGGATGAAGGGGGGAGTCGGGGTGAGGAGACATGATGACTGACTTTTTTTAAAAAAAAATAGAAACTAATCACGGTGCAAGTACGGGCTCTGTAAGGGACACAGGTAGAATCTGATGCGAGAGCAATGATTGTTTCATACATTACTATTAGCATAGAAAAGGGCATGATCATCAGTCCGTGCTGCCACATTCACCGAGTACATGCAAAGAAAGCCAGCCCCCTTCCAGCTTTCCTAAAAATGACTATTCCTGGGTTAGCCGGTCATCCAGACATCACTTCATGTGCAAGAACTGACACAGGTGACCACCCGATGACCTGGAGATCGGCCAATTGTTAGCAAGCAGAAAGCAGCCGGATTTTGAAGCTTTCTGTCTGTATTTGGTATTTTTGGTAAGTAAATGTTGGTGTCCACACTCTACTCGAACTATAAGCGAATGCCTGTTATAACAAAGAACAATTATAATGGCCACAAAGTAAATCTTCTTCACAAGTACCCCATCCAATCACATTCTCCTGCTTACTATTTTTCACACATTGATCTAATTCTCTTTTAGAATAATTCATGGACTTTACTATAGTTTTTTGAGAGAGAATTCCACATTTCCCACATAGTGAACTCAATAACGTCAGCAGATGCCGACAGTGCTATCACACACATCATGGTGTACTGCTATAAACCTGTACGTTTCATGGAAGCATTTGAGGAAACATGTCTAAAGGCAGCTAACGGTATTCAAAAACACCCAAATATACTCCAAATAGTCAAGCAAAGCATTTTGTTAGGAATAGATTTCTTCACCTGCAGAAACAACTCACCTCTATGGCAGCCACATGTTTCAAGTGGCAACCAACAGGTCACAGGCTTGAGTGCCAGAGCTATGTTTATATATACACATACGCACACATGTAAAATAATCCTTCAATTTGATGGGAGCACCTCACCACAAATATACGGTCAATTCACTTTACAGTCTATTCTGCGAAGCACTTTGAGACATCGAGAAGACATGAAAAGCGCTATATCAATTGCAAGGATTATTATTATTATTATTATCATCATGTCAGAACATCTCCAAGCACTTCACTTAGGTTTTCTGTAAAGTGTAGCGGCTGTGTATCTTATAGACAAATCCAGCAGCCAATTTGCACAGCAATGTTCCACAGCCATGAGGGGTAAATGACCAACTTTATCTGGTGGATTGTTGGTCAGGACGCTGGGAGAATCTCCATTCTCTTTTTTGAATAGTACCACGGGATCTTTTATATCCCCCTGACGACTTGAGGACTTGGTTTAATGTCTCATCTGAAGGACGACACCTCTGAAATTGCAGCGCTGACCCAGCATTGTTTGTGGAGTCCTGTAGCTCAGTGGTTAGAGCACTTGCCTCACAAGAGACCTGGCTTCGATTCCCAGCAGAGCGAAATGTTGGGCAAGTTTCCTTACTCCACACGCCTCTGTTTACCTAGCAGTAAGTAGGAACCCAGTTGTTAGTCGACTGCCGGATCGCTTTTCCGGAGGTAATAATTCCTTCAAAGTAAAAATAATTTTGTCACTGAATCCACGACTGTTTGTGTGGACACTGCTGTGTGCAATTGGCTTCCACGTTTCGCCCCAAAAATAAACAGTCAATTCACTTTACAGTATATTCTGTCAAGCGATTTGAGTCGTCTCAAAGATGTGATAAGGCGCTATATCAAAAGCAAGGATTATTATTAATAGTGGATTGTCAATATAGACGAGAGTGCAAAGTCCCATTGTAGAGCTGAAACCCACAAGGTTCTGACTCAGAGATGAGAACACTGAGCTTTTTACAAGGCTATGAATCTCCCACCTCATTTTTTTCTGAATGTAGCATCATTTGCTGAGTTGTAGCTTCAGAACTTCATCCAAGAGACAACTGAACATCTCTCACCAGTCACTCACTATTGCATCTCAATCCCACTTCAAACCTTGCCCCCAGTCTGACAGGCAGTATTATAGCAGCATAAAGTGGACTTGTATATGCTTCTCGCTGAGGGAAACCTTGCAATGGCAAATAACCTTCCAGGGGAAACAAAAAGACCTTCAGTCCTCAGAAGAAGTCAATCAAACCAAAAAGGGAGTTGGGGCTGACCAGTCCTGTATGGTAACACACTATTGTTGATCTGTATTGCTGGACACCAGCAGTTCCCTACAAGTCAAGTTATTTCGAAATACATCTTTGTTTAAACAGAAGACTCACCATTGCCACGTCTATAATAACCTTGTGGACTGTTAGCAGACGCCAACCAATGATTAAGCTGAATGCCTGAGAATTAAGGTAGAAACTGTAACCTGCCAAACATACCAGATTCAAGACAATAACAGTAACAATATCTAAAGCTCCTACCTAATTGCCCTCGACATGTATGTTGTTATTCACAATACACCGAGTGCACCCGCAATATTACACAATTTGTTACAGAAAATAAACCAGACCATGTACATTATCAATAATGGTACAGGTCTGTAGTGATGTTAAGGATTTGCTTCAGCCTCAGATTTGCTACCCACAGATTGGATTACTATTGCCGTAGCTCACTGACAACATCTATTAGTGTTACTGGCCGTGTACAAATATTAAAAGGGATAGATTTTAATGTTAAGAATCTGTGAGATCTTTCAAGGTTTACTCATGCAATTTATGGCAACCTTTTAAGTCACTGAGTGTGACTTAACATTCTATGTGGAGTCCTGTAGCTCACTGAATAGAGCATTCGCCTCGCAAGCAAGAGACCTGGGTTTGATTCCCAGCAAGGCGAAATGTTGTGTAAGTTTCCTTACTCCACATGCCTCTGTATACCTGGCAGACATTCCTATTGTATTACAATTTCACAAGTGAGATAATGGTGGCAGAGCATTGAGTGGAGGATGGGTGGATTGTGAGGCAACTTCTTATGTCAACATCCTCTTCCTTCTCAGATAACTCGATTGAAAGAACAAGTGAGGTCACGATTTCCCGTAAAAGGTTGCAAAGCCACAGTAGATTGACAGCTGGGGAGAAGAGGTTCACATATTCCAAAGTAGTACAAGGAGTTCTTTATGATATGATCAGCTTCTCTTTCAACAATGCAACGTTGGCTCTCATTGAATTTCTAGCTTCTACATATGGGAGGGCTTGGGGGAGAAGGGATTGAGGGGGAAAGGGATGGGTGAGTGGGGGGGTTCTCACGAGGGCACATGTACTCGTGCCAGGGTTCAAATTTGTTTGTGGGGTACTTGTGTGTGTGTGTGTGTGTGTGTGTGTGTGTGTGTGTGTCTATGTCTGGGGAAGAGGGAAACCACACATTAGTTCATGTTCACAGCTCCCAGTTCCAACCCAACACTGAAAGATTGAGTTGGAGGTTGGTAGCCTTTCTGAAAATCTATTTTAAAATAAGGTGCTCCCACCTTCCACACAGTGAAAGAAGAACAGCACATAAAAGTTTTTAAAAAGCAATAGATCAGAAAATAATAAAGTTAACATCAAAAGCGTCGAGAGAAATAGGGAAAAAAAGAGAAAGGTAGGGAGGGGTACATTTATTTTAGTTAATGCTACATTTAATAACTCTGATCTGTTTAGTGTAATTAAATTGTATACTGTATTGTAACACTAATCTGACTTTAATCTATACACTATTTATTTGTCTCTGTAAATCATACAGTGACATTTGGGTTAAATTGGTTTACAAATAAATGTGAATGCGAAGGTTATTAAAATGGCAGGACATTGAGAGCTTGTCAGAATTAGAATCTTGAGATTGCAGGTCAATGTGCATCGGAAAAGGAACTTGCTGGGATTTTCCCAAATCTGAGGATACATGTGCCACGTTACTATGTAGCAGAACTGCAGCCAACCAGAAAGATCAAAACTAATCATTACTTGTTCAGCACCACACTTAAAGAACGACTTGCCAAGGATACAGTATTGCATACGGTAAAGCTGTTCCAATGTTCCCATTGAAGAAAAGAACGAACATTAAGAGAATAGCATCTGCAAAAAGAAAGCACAGCAACACTAGTAACAAAAACAGTGTAAGTTTGGTCTCCTTCCCAGAATCTAATAGGATCTCTAATTCGTCGTTGTTTAAAATGTTGATTCCCATGAAATCTTACATACCAGAGGACCTACAAAATCTTACACCACAGAAAACAATTTGTTTTGTTTATTTAATTAGAGTATTGTTTTTCTGCCACTAAACCTTCAGAATGTATTGACAAAACTCCTAAACTGATCACACAATTGATACAATTACATAGAATCTACTGCATCAATACAGACTATTTGGCCTAACAAGTCCATGCCAGTGATTATAATCCATGTGAGCCCCCATCCATCCTAATCCTCCCTCAATAGCCCTCTTTCTCCCTCATGTATGTATCAAGTTTTGCCTTAAATGTACAGATGCTTTCTGCTTCACAGCTTTTGGCAGTGAGTTCCACTTCTCACCACTCTCTAAGTAAAGAATAACAAATATATCTTTTAATCTGATCACTGTCAGTTATAATGTTATCAGTCATTTAAATTTTCATGCGTAGAGATCAATATACAATAGCGTCTTTCACTTGTCAGTCACTCTGATACTTTGCTGAATGATTGATTACCTTGTGCAATTAGGATCGGGTACTCCAAGTATGTTACAGGTGGATATTCGTAGTATGTCTGGTAAGTCAGGAACACAAGAAACCTGAAATTACAGTAAAACAATTGCTTATAACTAAATCAATATGGGCCACTGAAATATTACATTTAAAGTCTCATCAGTACAGAGGTAGACCAAAAGCTTGCTGTAATATTTCAATGTAGGGTAATGTCTCGGAGTGCTTTACAGGACAGGGTTAGATCCTGAGCAAGCAAGAGGGGTGATGGTCAGAGGGCAATTTGAAGAGGTAGCTTTGAGGCAGAAATTAAAGACAAAGAGAGGGGGTGAGATAGAGTGAAACACACATACTCTGTTTAATGATTTAAACATATCGAGCACCGTCTCCAATAAATTTGCCTGCAAACTTGTTAAGTCCTGGTTCAAAGACAGCAAAGTATGGATCCACAGACCCAAATTGTATTTTTGAAAGAAAATTAATGAGTTCCCGAACATGATTTTCAAAAATATATATTCTGTGTGGGACAAAAATATTGTATTCCTAGTCAATTAGAAAGAAAAAAAATCATCTCTTCCCCCAACATTGTTAACTAGCACACTTGCGACTTAAACATTGACAGAAAAGAAATTTGATGTTTCTATTTCACTAAAGTCTCTTCACAAGATCACAAGAGAGATTGAGATGAAGGAGGCCTTCGGCTTATCTGATCTGTTCCTTCCACAATACTATCGTTCACCCATCAATAATAATAATAATCTTTGCATTTGATATAGCGCTTTTCACGTCGGGAGGACGTCCCACAGCGCTTCACAGAATATACTGTAAAGTGAATTGACTGTATATTTGTGGGCGAACGCGGCAGCCAATTGCGCACAGCAATGTCCCACAAACAGTCGTAGATTGAAAATGACCAATTTATTATTGTTTTTGGGTTTTGGAGGGATTATTATTAGGCTCTGTGTGGAGTAAGGAAACTTGCCCAAGGTTTCGCGCTGCCTGGAATTGAACTCAGGTCTCTCGCTTGCAAAGCGAGTGCTCTAACCACTGAGCTACAGGACTCCACAAACAGGAAGCTACTTTTTAAATGAGTCCAGTGGCTTGACCTCAAATAAAACTCCACCTCGGTCAATCAGTTGGGCCACACCACAAGTGTCATATCTGGTTTCAAATCCAACCCAAAGTGTGGAATTTAGTTTGATCATTTTCAACCCAGTCCCTAATCAGCAGAAACTGCCCATAATTGACTACAGCTTCTCGGACGCTTAAATTGTCACAAATAACTGTTGTTTTGTCACTTGTTTATATAATTATTCATTATAAGCAATGGAAAGAACACCATTTACAGTGAACCGCATGTGACAGACCCTTCCCAAGTGCAATTTCAGGCTGGCAATAAAAAAATAAGAAAAGGGTGGTAGTGAAAACTACGCACTGGTGCAGTAAAACGATGCGCTAACTTAATTTGTGCTTAAATGAATTAGTAAGTTATACTCGGCATCTTACTACATAACATCTGACCATTTCCACACTGACATCCTCACCTCTATGAACACATTTTCCTTTCACAACAACAACAAAATTACATTTGTATAGCGCCTTTCAGGTCGAGAGGACGTCCCAAGGAGCTGGACAGAGTGAACGGGAAGGTAGGGGGTTAGGAGGTCGGAGAGGGAGGGGAGAGCAAGACCATAGAGGGCTTTGAAGGTGACGATTAGGATCTTGAACGGTATCCTCTGTGATGGAAAACCAGTGGAGTTGGGCAAGGATGGGGGTGATAGGGTCACGGAGCCCAGTGCGGGAGAGGACACGGGCTGCAGAGTTCTGGATGATCTGCAGCCTGTGGAGGGAGGAGTTGGGGAGGCCGACAAGCAATGAGTTTGCATAGTCGAGCCTCGATGTAATGAAGGCGTGTATGAAGGTTTTGGCGGCCTGCGGTGTGAGACAGTGGCGGAGCCGGTCAATGTTGCGGAGGTGGGGGAAGGCAGAGTGGGTCATGATGCAGATGTGGGATAGAAAGGATAGTTGAGAGTCAAACAAGACCCCAAGGTTCGGGACTGGCTTAGTAAGGTGGGGTGTGCAACCATGGATGGTGATACTGTCAGCGCCTGAGGTGAGGAGGCGCTGACGGGAGCCAATCAGGAGAGCCTCGGACTTGTTGACGTGACACAAAACGCAATGCCTGTTCAACCCCATGATTGGATGTTTTCAGGTCCCTGTTATATCTGGGTAAGGGTTCAGTCCCTAATTCTACAGGGTGTCCACAAAGTCATGTTACCCCCATGTCTTTTTTTCTACAGTCCAATAATACAATAGAATACAAAATTACATTTGTATAGTGCCTTTCACGTCAGGAGGACGTCCCAAGGCGCTGGACAGTCAGGGATTTGGGCCTGAACTGGGGGTTGGGATCGGGGTGGGAGGAGGGTAGGCGACGGCTCGGTCGAAGAGGAGGGCTTTGAAACATGTGGAAGAATTATGATAATTGTATTATCATAATGGAAGAATTATGATAATTGTAGAAGTACTTAATTGTTATTCAGTACAAGTTTTTAACTGTATTCAGACATCCAGAGGATCAGTGTGAACACCAACGTTTTCATGGCAGATAATAATCCGTCATCATGTTCAGTGTGATATTTCTGTAACTTGATGGAGTGACAAGGCAAAATGTGTCCCTGACAGCTTGTTCCAGCAACTCCCTAGTCTCAGATCGCTGTTTGTAACAGGACATAAGAGGACTTTGTAGACACCTGTACAATGGACACCTTCTCTCAGCTCCACTTTGATTAGGTCAATGCTGTGGGCAAACCCGATTCCTGAAATTTATTGTAGGAAATGATTAATGTAGGAACTGAATTAATATTTTAGGACTATGGATCAAATCTTAAGCATATAAAAATAGTCAATGAAGCTTACTGAATAGTGAATGGAGTTATTCATAACCCTCGGCTGGTTGAAGATGGATATTGTTAGGGAGTCAAATAAATTACTGGACTTGAATAAATTGCAGACCAACAAAACAAAAAACCTGCATTAATTCACTAGCTGTGATTTCTGACTAACCTAAAGAGATCAATTATTAACTTATTAACTGAAGAATCTGTCTAAATCAAATCATTACTCGATTGATTACTGTCAAGAGCAATGACTGAATTAAGGACTAATAGATATTTTGTCAACTAATGTAGTGGGGACAGAGTGATGGATTCGATTGTCTGAGCTAGTTGTAGCGGCACGAGGACTGTCCAAAATATATCACAGACTAGGGCAAGCTAGAGGTCAATTACTGGTTGACCTAAATACTGTAGAAAGACATTAATTCAGCAACGCCCAGATGATTAAGTATGTTGGTCTATGAATAAAATCTCTGTAACAAATTGCTATTGAACCAGACACTAAAACTATTAAATCCTGAATAATTTGGCTCCATGAATGAATCATCTAATCCATTTAGTCAATCGTTATCTGGATTAGGAATTACTGATTGGAACTTCCTCTCATCAGGCAGAAGCTTCACTGTTACTCTGTTGTCCTGGCTCAACATATACCTCTCAATGCCTTGTCCTCCACCATCCTTCCCAGACTCTTTATCCTCCTTGGGGTGGGGGGGGGGAGGTAAGCGGGGTTTCCTTGGAACTGAATTGGCTTCAGGGTGACATGCCTGGCGGTCTCCGTCGTCCGGTTCCTGAGCCAGGCAGGTCCGCAGTATTCCAGGGCGCTGCTGATGTCAGCACAGCCAGCCTGGCTCATCAGCAGAACCTGGAAGGGCAGACCAGTCACTGGGGTCAGGGAGTCATCCCACTCAACTCCCATTAACCCTGCAAGTTAAAGCCCTAACGGCTAGGGTGGTCCTAGCTGGACAAGCAGCAGGAAAGCTTCCCGGATAGCAATATCAATGGCAAACAATGCGGTTTTAGCTGGTTAGACTCCAGCAGTATACCCCGTCACATACTCTAGGGTCCCCAAGCCTTTGCTATTGCCAAACTGCGTCTAATATTTTCCGGAATTAGATAAGCAGGATGCGTCCCTCCAGGGAGAGAGTGCGCAGTCCATTCTAACAATCTACCTCTGGGATTTCCATGCGTAGGTGGGATACATGGAATTCCCAACCTGGTTTTGATACTCTGAAGCATGGTGATGGGTTTCCGCATGTGTCAGACACCCGGCTGACCAAAAATAAGCCTGCATTTTGAATGCTGCAGTATTTTCTTTATTTGGGGCCCAACTTCATTTCCCTAAAGTTTCTCTAAAAAGCAATACGTCTTTATACGAAGGATATCTTAGCTTCTTCCGTGGCTTATTCCCTAGTGATGCAACAATGCATTTGTTCTTCATCTTATTTTAAATATGCCTTGTTAAAATTAGAATTAGTGCAACAAAACACGACGGAGAATGAGACTGTAGTTCAGATATAAAAGAGCCTGAGCTCAAATTCCAGGCTCTCATCTTAATTGCATATCCCACTCCCCTCTGTTCCACCATCGGCAGCCGCTCTTTCAGACACTGCGCCCTGAAGCTTTGGAATTCTCTCCCCCAATCCCTCTGCTTTGCCCCCTCCTTTCTCTCTTCTAGATCATGACTGAACACCTTTCTCTTCGACCGTGCTTACGGTCACCTCCTCCCTCCCCCCCACTCGGTGTCAGGCTCCTCCACTGTCAAGCGCTCTGAGAAGCTGCCCTGCGTTAAGGTGCACTATATAAATGCAAGGTGGCGTTGTTGTTGTAATTGGGCACACTCTCAGTGGGGATAATTTGCCAGGTTCAGCTAGACCAGCGTATCCCATTTCCCTGGTCGAACAAGAGAATTGCACTCTTTCTTCCCCCCCTCACCCTCCCTGCCTCCCCTTTCTATAAAACAGTCACAGAACGACATTGAAAGCAACAAAACTACATGGAATTTCTTGCCCTCCCCTCCTTACAGTTTGTCATTTGCAGGAGTTGGGTGCTGTTCTATCTTAAATTTCTGACTGAGCATCTGTCCTTCACTAGGCAAAGCCGCAGCTTCGTGTGGATAGCTATCATATACACTTCTAAATTATTCATGAATTCATGGAAACTGTAAACCGGGTCCATATCAGTATAACATGCACTTTTTATAATACTTCGCCCACACAATACACAGTCAATTCACATTACAGGATATCCTCTGAAGCGCTTTGAGATATCTCGACAACAAATTACGCTTGTATAGCGTCTGCGGCCTTCACATCAGAAAGACGTTAGAAAAGACTCTATGCAAGGATTATTATTAGTATTATTAATAATTCCCACTGGTCCAAATATTGCATGTCCAGTTGGAAAAGTATCAGGCTGCAATGAGGCCTATCTATCTGTGCTATATTAAAATTTTCACATACACTTACTCATATTGCAGATAATCACTTTCCTAAAGTTTATTTCTCTGTAACATATCTAAGTCAGATTTGTTTTAATTGTGGGAAAAGCATTTAACACATATTCAGCAGGTATCTTCTCACGTACATTTAGTACTTCAACTTTTTATTGTGCATTTTATCCAGTGAAGCTTGTAGCAAACCTACCCCTCATACCATTACATTGATCAGCCAGTGTCACAAAGATAGGACACATAACTACTGAATTTCTCACAGGGTAAAGCGACATTTAGCAAAACGGTAGGTCCTGTGTACGTTTATAACCAGTTATTCAAGAGCTGGTCAATATACTATCAACTGATCCAGATTAGCACACAATTCTCTTAATTTGATATTTCCCAGTGAATGAGATAAATGTTAACTTATCAGCTGTAGTAATGTGACATGAGATGTTTGCTTTTCTGTGTGGTGGCGAGGAAGAGCATTATTATAATAATCCACTGTCATCAATAACTAGATTCCAACTAAATTCCAGCTAAACATGTATATTCCTAGTCAGAATATGGTGCTTGGTGCAACAATTAGGAGCCTTTAAAATGAAAACCTTCATATTTGCAAACACGAAGGCCGAGTTCTGTCTGGTAGGAAGATGTATTCACTTCCAGTGAAGACTGACTCCAGAACTAGTGACTGTATATTGGTAGTTGCACCCACAAAATATAGTCAATTCACGTTACAGTATATTTTGTGACATGATAAGGCAAGGATCAAATGCAAGGATTATTATTATTATTATCCCAGCTGACATTTGTGCTTCAGATAAGCTCCCTGGGTTTGAGAATGATAGATTTTAAAGTTGGGGAGGAGGGAAATTACAATAAGCAGAAAAAGATAAAGGAAAGATTAAAGTATACAGAACCAGTCTCCACAGACCAATGTGGTGTAACATTAAAAGATTAAAAAGCTCTAGAATTTCTTTACAAACACAACTACAGGAGTCCTGTAGCTCAGTGGTTAGAGCACTCGCTTTGCAAGCGAGAGACCTGAGTTCAATTCAATTCCAGGCCGGGCGAAACCTTGGGCAAGTTTCCTTACTCCACACCCCTAATAATAATCCCTCCAAAACTAAAAACAATAATAAATTGGTCATTTTCAATCTACGACTGTTTGTGGGACATTGCTGTGCGCAATTGGCTGATTGCGCACAGCAATGTCAAAAATGCAAGGATTATTATTATTATTATTTTCAGATATTATTTTAGTATTTTTTTGCTTTAAAGTACTTATTTTTGCTTAAAATTGGTCTGAGCTGTGCCTTGCTTCCCCATCAATGCCATATTGTTTTTGTGATTTTCCTTCTTAAAGCAAGTTCATAAAAAAAGCATCTCAAAGCCCAACTCAACACTTAGTCCACTGTTCATTCTGATCAAATAGAGCACTGGGTTCAGCATTGATACACCAACTCTCACGATGCCAAGACTGGAAATTGGTGCAAATTATGTACGACTCTGGTCAGGCGCAATTCAATTTTAAGACACATTTTTGAATGGAAAACAACACTTATTTTTAAAGTGACTGGTGTGTTCACCTACCACTGTACAGTCACTAACCACATTTTACCACAATAAGTCTCTGTAAAGCGCTTTGAAACATTTTAAAGTGCAAGGTTAAATTAAGGTGTAATATCAACACAAGGATTATTGTTAAAGATGCCAAACGGCATTTCTGTATCGTGAACTCTGGGCTTTGGCTTTCAAAGAGCTTCTCCCACAATGATCCTTTAATCTACCAAATATAAGTTTTAATTCTATTACATCATTAGAACCCACTAACATTTGCCATTACATTTAGAGCTTTTAGATTAAGTTATGATTGTGTTTTTTTTAAATATTTGCTTGCTGCAAATCTGTGGAAACCTTTCTCTCCCCAACTATTATTCTAACTGAAAGGTTCAGAAGGTATGGACACACTGTAAGATAAAAGGAACATGTTCATACAAGGAAATAAAGGAAAAGGAAATTGTCCAGAAACCTAACTGATAACCTGAGGTTTAACTTTCAGGCAAAAACATTTTGCATATTCGCTACCCTGCACAGTAAATACGGAAACTTTTATGGGGTTCAGCCAGGTTATCTGACATTCGTGGAAACCCATCAATCACCATGCTTATAATAATAATAAACCTTGCATTTGATACAGCGCCTTTAACCCTAACCCTAAATGCTTAAGAGTTGTCCAAACCAGGCTGGGAATTCCTTTCGTGAATCAGGAGTATTGGAATAATAATAATAATCCTTGCATTAAATATAGCGCTTTATCAGTCTTCGAGACGTCTCAAAACACTTCACAGAACATACTGTAAAGTAAATTAACTGTATATTTTGTGGGCGAAACGTACATAATGCAATGTACTTTTCCCTTCCAGTAATGATAGCATTCAGTGTTTTTTTTTAATATATTAAAAAAGTTGCCCAGTTGGCCCGTGCCCTGACTGGGCGAGTGCGACAGTTGTGGAAGGTTTATGTGCGGTCGGCCGGGCGGGCGGCTGACACACGAGGAAACCCGTCACCATTAGCTTAATAGCATCCAAACCTGACTGAGATTTCCATACATCCCACCTACGCGTGGGAATCCCAGAAATACCGCAGTCACTTCAAGCCACGGCGGTTTACGGGGTGTGGCTGTGCGCGATCGGCTGCCAGCGTTTCACCCACAAAATATACGGTCCCAGCACGTGACGGTAAATCCTGCAAAGCGCTTTGAGACGTCTCGAAGACGCAATAAGGCGCTCTATCAGATGTAAAGGATTACTATTATTATGATAGAGGTAAAGACGCTGCTGAGTTGAGCTGGGATCGACTGGGCTGGGAGCTGGGCTGGGAGTTGTTGGGAGCTGGGAGCTGGGAGTTGGGAGTTGTTGGGAGCTGGGAGTTGTTGGGAGCTGGGAGCTGGGAGTTGGGAGCTGGGAGTTGTTGGGAGCTGGGAGTTGGGAGTTGTTGGGAGCTGGGAGTTGGGAGCTGGGAGTTGTTGGGAGCTGGGAGTTGGGAGCTGGGACTTGTTGGGAGCTGGGAGTTGGGAGCTGGGAGTTGGGAGCTGGGAGTTGTTGGGAGTTGGGAGCTGGGAGTTGGGAGCTGGGAGTTGTTGGGAGCTGGGAGTTGGGAGCTGGGAGTTGGGAGCTGGGAGTTGTTGGGAGTTGGGAGTTGGGAGTTGTTGGGAGCTGGGAGTTGGGAGCTGGGAGTTGGGAGCTGGGAGTTGGGAGTTGTTGGGAGCTGGGAGTTGGGAGCTGGGAGTTGGGAGCTGGGAGTTGTTGGGAGCTGGGAGTTGGGAGCTGGGACTTGTTGGGAGCTGGGAGTTGGGAGCTGGGAGTTGGGAGCTGGGAGTTGGGAGCTGGGAGTTGTTGGGAGTTGGGAGCTGGGAGTTGGGAGCTGGGAGTTGGGAGCTGGGAGTTGGGAGCTGGGAGTTGTTGGGAGCTGGGAGTTGGGATCTGGGATCTGGGAGTTGGGAGTTGTTGGGAGTTGTTGGGAGTTGTTGGGAGTTGTTGGGAGTTGTTGGGAGTTGGGAGCTGGGAGTTGGGAGTTGTTGGGAGCTGGGAGTTGGGAGCTGGGAGTTGTTGGGAGCTGGGAGTTGGGAGCTGGGAGTTGGGAGCTGTTGGGAGTTGGGAGCTGGGAGTTGGGAGCTGCTGGGAGTTGGGAGTTGTTGGGAGTTGGGAGCTGGGAGTTGGGAGCTGGGAGTTGGGAGTTGTTGGGAGTTGGGAGCTGGGAGTTGGGAGCTGGGAGTTGTTGGGAGCTGGGAGTTGGGAGCTGGGAGTTGGGAGTTGTTGGGAGCTGGGAGTTGGGAGCTGGGAGTTGGGAGCTGGGAGTTGGGAGTTGTTGGGAGCTGCTGGGATCTGGGATCTGGGAGTCGGCTGCTGTCACTCACCCGATCAGCTCCAGTAAGAGGCTGCGGACGCTGACGCCGCGGGCGTTTTTGGCGGCGATGACGGTGAAAATCTGAGGGAATTTGAGGATCATAGAAACCACGAAAATACTGGAATTCAGGAAAACCAAAGCCGACTCCCGCTCCATAGCGGCCCTCAGCGCCCCCCCTCCCCCCGTGTGTGTGTGTGTGTGTGGCCTCTCCTCTCCTCTCCTCTCACTGTGTCACTGGGTTTCCGGGTCCGCCTTTTGCCATCAATATGGGCCGCTCTCGGCTCCCGTCCGGTCCCGCCCCGCGCCCCGCCCCCCGCCTCCCGCCCCCCCGCCCCGCGCCCCGCCTCCCGCGCCGCCCCCCCGCCCCCCGCCCCCCGCCCCCCCGCCCCCGCGCCCCGCCTCCCGCCTCCCGCCCCCCGCCCCGCCTCCCGCGCCGTTAGGGGAGGGGGAGTGTGTGGGGGGGGGAGGGGGAGTGTGTGTGTGGGGGGGAGGGGGAGTGTGTGGGGGGAGGGGAGTGTGTGGGGGGGGGGAGGGGGAGTGTGTGGGGGGGAGGGGGAGTGTGTGTGTGGGGGGGAGGGGGAGTGTGTGGGGGGAGGGGGAGTGTGGGGTGGGGGAGTGTGGGGTGGGGGGGAGTGTGTGGGTGGGGGAGTGTGGGTGGGGGGGGGGAGTGTATGGAGAGGGGGAGTGTGTGTGGGGGGAGGGGGAGTGTGGGGGGAGGGGGAGTGTGTGGGTGGGGGAGTGTGGGTGGGGGGGGAGTGGTGGGAGGGGGAGTGTGTGGGTGGGGGAGTGTGGTGGGGGGGAGTGGTGGAGGGGGAGTGTGTGGGTGGGGGTGTGTGGGTGGGGGGGAGTGGGGGAGGGGGAGTGTGTGTGGGTGGGGGGGGAGTGTATGGAGAGGGGGAGTGTGTGTGGGGGGAGGGGGAGTGTGTGTTAGGGGAGTGTGTGTGTGTGTGGGGGGAGGGGGAGTGTGTGTGGGGAGGGGGAGTGTGTGTGTGTGGGGGGGGGGAGTGTGTATTAGGGGAGGGGGAGTGTGTGTGTGTGTGGGGGGGGGAGTGTATGTGGTGGGAGGGGGAGTGTGTGGGGGGAGGGGGAGTGTGTGTTAGGGGAGGGGGAGTGTGTGTGGGGGGGGGAGTGTATGTGGTGGGAGGGGGAGTGTGTGGGGGGAGGGGGAGTGTGTGTTAGGGGGGGGGGAGTGTGTGGGGGAGGGGAGTGTGTGTTAGGGGAGGGGGAGTGTGTGGGGGGAGGGGGAGTGTGTGTGTGTGTGGGGGGAGGGGGAGTGTATGTGGAGGGGAAGGGGAAGGGGGAGGTGATATTTATTACTGTGTCCCAACATGTGACTTTCTTTTAATTAAAAAAAATCCTTGAAAAACCCGCCATATTTAAACCGGCGCAACTTGCGCGTCGGCCGTCGCCAGTTTACAGTCGTCACAATGTCAAACGCCGGTGACCCCCGATCCCCCTCCTCCCCCCCCCCACCACCCCGGCCCCACTTTGTGGTGCTGACGGGCTACCGGGGGAACCAGCGCTGCTGGTGGGGGCTCTGCAGACCTTTTTTCGCGCGCTCCCTCCCGCCCGCAGACGATTTGCACACTTGCTGAACGCAATCCGAAAATACGACGGTTTCTTTTCTCCCCGCTGGAATCTCCGCTCCCGAGTATAAATTGCGAGGACTCCCCCAAGTTATTCATTTTGGTTTAAAATTCTGGTTTATTTTGCTGTATAATAATAATAATAATAATAATCCTTGCATTTGATATAGCGCCTCATCACGTCTTCGAGGCGTTCTCAAAGCGCTTCACAGAATATACTGTAAAGTGAATTGACTGTATATTGTGTGAGCGAAACGTGTGTATAATACAGCACCATAGGTATAAGTGGGTTTTGTAACCTGTGTGACTAACTGAATGCTCGCCTTTCCCGAGTGTTGACAGGTGTGTTTAACAGGTTTTGGTAGAATGACACTTGCTACTTTACCAGGATCTTGATCTTTAGAGATCCTTAAAGTCAGTTCTTATCAATCTTCACGATAAACACCTGGATTGTTTGTGTGAAAGTCAGTTAGTATGCTGTGGTGGGCATAAATGCTTTTTATTTGAACTGCAACTTCTGCAACTGCACTCCCCACATCTGCAGTGTTTCTATACTACCAAATGCTCTTCCCCTCAACAGCCCAGCGAGTCCACTTAACTGAGTGCTTCTACGTAGAGCTCTGCAGAGTTTGAAGGTGTTGTGGGCTGGGTCTGTGGTGCTGAAGGGGAAAGCAACAACAACAACTCACATTTATACAGCACTCTTCTCATGGGGCAGTGTCTCGGAGCGCTTAAAGCACTGAAGGTGAAGCAGGTTCCAGGAGGACTCGATATGTTCATAATCCTGGAGCTCTGATTGCCTGGTGGCAGGAAGAGATTCCTTACCTCTGCCAATGTCTCGAGTAGACTTTGATGGCTCAGCAAAGGAAAATGGCGGTAGTGGTGGTGGAATCATCCTCAGTCTCTGAGCTGCCCTTGACCCTCTCTGTTGGAGGAGCGGTGAATGGGTGGTGCTATCTGGGTGGAACCTAGTAGTGACTATGAAACGGTCGCTAAAGAACAAACAAGTTTAGTGTCATTGCTGCAGATATCATTAGTAATGCCTACTGTATCACAGTGTGAGACAAAACCTTAATGGACAATGCACATGCGAGTCCTTTGTGTGTATTGATGAATCAATTATTACTGCACCCAGACTGAGACATACCCACTTTATATCATACCCTTCATGTGGGATAATATCCTGGAGCGCTTTAAAGAGATGGGGTCAGGCATCAAGCAGGGGACAGGTGGGGAGGGGGAGGTGACAAAGTGTTTTTTTTAAATCTGGCATCTGAGGTGTGGGCCAGAGACCGGGCATTACTGAGGTAAGTAAATTAAGTAGTTAATGCTAATTAGTCAAGGAGCAAATAAGAAATGCCATAAATTTTGGCTCCATGTTTTATAGCTGGGTGAGCTTGCCAGCAAATGGAGATAAGCTCCATCCACGTTGCTTATCAATCTGCCTGGTCAAATAATATTGTAATAGTCTTGGCAGAATGACAATAAAATCCTGCAAAACTCTCCAGTCATTGGTGCTGCTGCAGACATCACATCTGCTGCTGAGGAAACATCCAGAACAATGGTTGTAATCCTGTAAACTGGAATTCTGACAGAACAGACTTTACCAAGAACTGAGACTGGATAGAAACCACCAAAAAAATAGGATTATAATCTTTTTAAAATGACAAAAATAGCAATTTACATTTACACAGTGCCTTTCAAGTTGGGAGTGGCATCTCAAAACGCTTGATGCAGTTGACTATGCTCAGCTGCCTCTGGTCTCCTGTTATTCCCTCGTTTCAACTCGCCAAGCCAGTCAGGAACCCAGGTGTCTTGTTCGACCCTCAACTGTTTTTTCTTCCCCACATCCAAGCCATGACCCGCTCTGCCTTCCCTCACCTCCGTAACATCGCCCGACTCCACCACAATCTCACCCTTCAAGCTGCTGAAAGTCTTGTTCATACCTTCATGATCTCCAGGCTCAACTATGCAAACGCTCTGCTTGTCGGCCTTCCCAACTCCTCCCTCCACAGGCTGCACATAATCCAAAACTCTGCAGTCCATGTCCTCTCCCGCACCAAACTCTGTGACCCCATCTCCCTCATTCTCGCCCGACTCTACTGGCTCCCTATCCTTCAGAGGATCCAGTTCAAAATCCTGGTCCTCACCTCCAAAGCCCTCAATGGTCTCGCCCCACCCTATCTCTGTGACCTCCTAACCCCCTACCAACCCGCCCGCTCCCTCCGCTCTGCCAGCTCTGGCCTGCTCCACGTCCCCCGACCCACCCGCCCCACCATTGGCGGGAGAGCCTTCAGCCACTCTGCCCCCAATCTTTGGAACTCCATCCCGCAATCACTCCGCCTCGCCCCCTCCTTAGCCTCCTTCAAGTCCTGCCTCAAGACCCTCCTCTTCGACCATGCAATTCATCACACACCCCTCCCCCCTCCCTTCTCCCCACTGACCCCAGCTCAGGTCTGAAATGCTGTACAGCGCCTTGGGACATCCTCCCGACGTGACAGGCGCTATACAAATAGAATCTTGTTGTTGTTGTTGTTCATCCTCTCCACTATCGGTGGCTGTGCTTCAGCCTCTACATCCCAAGACTCTGTAACGCTGCCTCGATCCCTCTGCCTTGCTTCCTCCTTCTCTAACATAGAGTCCTGTAGCAAAGTGGTTAGTGTGCTCGCCTCGCAAACGAGAGGACCCAGGTTTGAATCCTGGGCAGGGCAAAACCGTACTCCACACGCCTTTGTTTACTTATCAGTAAGTAGGAACCCGGCTGTTAGCTGATTGGCTATCTGCTTTTACCCAGCTTTTCCGGGGTAATACTCCCTTCAAAAATAAAAAATAATTAATAATTTGGTCACTCAAACCTCTACTGTTTGTGGGACACATTTCACGCACAAAATACACAGTCAATTCACTTTACAGTATATTCTGTGCAGTGCTTTGAGACGTCTCGAAGATATAAGACGCTATATCAAATGCAAGGATTATTAGTATTATTATTTTCAGATCGCACCTGAAAGACCTTCCTCTTCTACCATGTCTACAGTCACCTCCCTCTTCTCCCTGGCTTGACGTCATGCTCCACCACTGTTAAGCGTTCCTGGACACTACACGTGAGTATGAGTTGTTGTTGTTGACTAGAAGCATGAACTGGGGTGGGGCAGGGTGGGGGGAGAGTTCAGCTACAACACCCCTAACCTCTGGAACTCCCTCTACCCCTCCATTTCGCCTCATCACTATCTGTCTTTAAATCCCACTTTAAACTCTACCTCTTGAACTGTGCCTTTGGTCACCTCCCCCATCCCTTTGCTCAGCATACAAGCTCTTTTTTGTAAAGCACTCCAATATGTTATCCTATACAAAGGGTACTGTGTAAACATATGTTGTTGTAGGGAGGGCACGGGAGGAAAGGTGGCTGAAAGTGCAGTCAAAAATACAGGTAGATGCCCCTTGTAGTAAACATTTCCTTTTAAATACTTTTGTATTCGTGAGATTTTTTTTGATAAGATGTTTCATTTAAAAAGTCATCATATGAAGCTGTTAGAAACTGAACTCCATAAAATGCTCTTTATATTTGTATATTTGAAACAACAGCAAATTACATTTGCATAGAGGCTTTCACGTCGGGTGGACCTCCCAAGGCGCTGGGAAAATAAAATAACAACTTGTGTCTCAGAGTGTCAGACTGGTGTTCAGCCAGTTCATCAGTCACTATAAATCAAAATACCACATATATTTTCAATTTGTTCTTATGGTATACAGGATTTACAGCACAATAATGCCAACAACAATATTGAATGACCTGAAATAATCTACCTAGCATTAGTGGACCAGTAGTTCAATGTCAACGAAAGCTGTTCTTTCACCTGTGGAGTCTGGCACAGACAGATCGAGGTTAATGACTCCTTTCTCTCTCAGATAACTGCTGCTCTGAAATGAAATTAATTTGGCAGTCTGAATGCAGGTCTAAGAGTAAGGGAATCCTGAGCAGAAGCAATGCCCATTAGAATAGTATAATAGAATAATGATTGAATGTGAAGTAGTGGTCATTAATACTGGTGTAGTGAAACTGATATTTGGATAGATCGCTAATGTAAGCGAACACTGCATTGTGTTTGATCAGTTCTATATCCAAGTGTTGAATGCTGTTTTAGGGTGCAATAAAAACACTCTCCCTAACCCATTCACTCAGTACACAAAAGAGAAGCCATTTTGTGAAGATACTTTTTTCTTGACCATTCAATATGTGGGAACATGATATTTACTCAATTGCAGTTCTCGACCGTGCCAGCTCATTGTTTTCCGTCTCTCTTTCAGGTGAAATGTTAGCCTAGCTGTGTTGGTAGCAACTTTGATTCAGAAGGTTATGGGTGCAAGCCCTCAAGTTTTAATGTCATAGACTGCCATTCCAGTGTTAGGGGAGCACTGCAATGTTGGAGTATTGTCCTTTATATGATATGTTAAACTGAAGTTTTGTTCAGCCTGTTCAGATGAACATTAAAAACCCTATGCCATTATTCAAAAGAGAAGGGAGTTTCTCTTGGGTGTCATGCCTAACAATCCGCAGGATAAAATATATTGGTCATTCACTTCATGACGTTATTGTGTCCCACTACCAATAGGCTGCCATGTTTGCTTAGAAATGGCAGTCACTACACTGCGGAAAAACTCTGTGAAGCTCTTTGAGACATTTCAACATGTTAAACAGCTATACCAAATGCAAGGATTGTTATATTCTAACATGCACTTCCATTTTACATTCTGAAAACATTGCAAATTAAGTCGACCTGAAATGCATTTTATAATTTCATAACTGTTAGTCAATGAAGCTTTTGTGTCTAAATTATATTCCATTTTTTTCTTCTTTTCACTATCATAGCCCCTATATGATTGCCACCAACAACAATTATGTGTAGAACTGAGTGAGTACTTTAAAACCTGCTTGGAGGTAGTGGAAGAGAGGTTAAGTTGTATACAAATGGTGCTCATAATACAACAACAACAATCCTTGCATTTGATATAGCGCTTTTCACATCTTCTAGACATCTCAAAGTGCTTCACAAAATATGCTGTAAAGTGAATTGACCATATATTTGTGGGCGAACACGGCAGCCAATTGCGCACAACAGTGTCCCACAAACAGTCGTGGATTGAAAATTACCAATTTATTATTGTTTTGTTTTTGGAGGGATTATTATTAGGAGTGTGGAGTAAGGAAACTTGCCCAAGGTTTCGCCCTGACCTGCCTGGAATTGAACCCAGGTCTCTCGCTTGCAAGGCGAGTGCTCTAACCACTGAGCTACAGGACTCCACAATAATCCTTGCATTTGATATTAGTACCTTATCACATCATTGAGACATCTCAAAGTGCTTCACAGGATGTACTGTAAAGTTGTGTGATTATGTGTATTTTATGGGCGAACAAGGCAGCAAATTTGCACACAACAATGTCTCACAAACAGCCTTGGAGTAAGTGACCAATTTTATTTGGGGGATACTTCAAAAAGCTTCAAATAGTGCCATTGGATTTCTAACATCCACATGGACAGGCAAAAAGTCCTGGTTTAACATCTTATCTGAAGGATGCATTTTGATAATGCGGCACAAACTCTACACTGCATTGGTGTGTCAGCATAGAATACACTGACATTCTCACATTACTGTATTTCTCCATCACAAATAAATCCCAACATGGGGTTGGAACCACAAACTTCTGACTTACAGGTGAGCATGCTATCAACTGAGCCAGGCTGACATATATGCTACCTGTCCATATCCACATCACCTGATACACAATCATGTCTAGGTCTTAGAGAGGGAAATGGTTGCTTCATTACAGTAGAGAAAACCTATTGGATATTCCTCCAGGTTTGTGATCTTCTTTGTGAACTTCTGGCCCCCATTCTCCATGCTCCTAGCAAGGAGAAATATTTTAGAACTTGTAGCAACAACAACAACAAATTACACTTGTACAGCGCCTTTCACATCGGAAAGACGTCCCAGGGCGCAAAATTTGGAGATCCCTTCCCCAAGTAATTGAAATTATCTTCCTCTAGGTCCCTCAACCACCCTCATTTTTGTTGAATTAATCTTTTTAAAAATTGCATGGTTGTCACTGGCGTGGCTTTTAATAGATTTTTTGTTTAATGTGTAATCTGTCCTTGATCAGCTGAAGAGGGTGAAACTGCACTTTTTCCAATCAGAATAACGTTTAAATTGATTGTGACGATTAGGTCTGGCCAAGGCTTTGGGATCAACTGAGTCAACATGAAATGTGTCAATGATTGTTGGTTGTAATTATTAGCTGACTGATTGAATATGCTTACAAAGATACCACTTCCACGAGGTTGTGTTGAAAATATTTGTATTTTTATACATGAGAATACTTTCATTTCAGACCAAATACCAGTCAATCAATTTGGCATCAATTTTATCCTGCAATACCTTTGCATAATCACTTGCAGACATAAGTTAGTGGTTCACGATATCATCACCATACTTGGTAGTAAGCCCTCACAATTTACACACAAAGTGTTTGTGTAAAAATACATCTCTCCTGTACATGCGATCTACCAATGGAGATAAAAAGGTAAAAGGCAAATGTGACAGAGAAATGTGTTTTTCGCTTTCAGACTTTGATTGATCAGTTCTAAATCTGTTTTTACTTCATATAATCAATCTGTTACTGCTGTTTCATGACAAAATATCTTATCAACATACTTTCTGATCGGACCATTCATCAGGGACTGTAAAAAAGATAAATTGTTCAATTAGAGGCAAAACAGCTTTCAATTGCTGGCGTTTCAGATTTCTTCGTGATAGTCAGTTGTAGCTGGTTCAGTATCTTGAATGTGAATCTGTTTCATCCCAGTGTGAATCAGGAAAGTATCCACATGCTAATATGGGGGCTCTGGCTCTACAACTAAGTTCCTACCTATTTGTTCATGTTCAATGCAATCAACACAAGTACATCCCTGAACATGCTCCAATCGGGGTTATTTAATACATAACAAGCTCACTGTCGAGCCTTTTTTTTCGATTTCCACTTTGAAACTTGAAATCCATCCGTATAAGTGCTTGCCCAAGATGAGTGTCTATCCTGCTGCCAAATGTCTGGTTCGTGCTGTTTGGAACTTTGTCAGAGAATACCGGGACATACTCGGGAAGTGGCTTCTGTACTTTAGGTCTTCCCTGGAAAACACAATGCTTAAATCCTTAAACACAATACTGATCATATAGGCAAAAATAAATAACTGTGTGTGTAGAAGTCACATTAATAAAGAAAACGTGAAATTTACTTCAATGTTTTATTTTTTAAAAGGGTTTATTTGTCAGAGTATTCCAGATAAAAAGGTTTATTTCTCACATTACTGTATTTCTCCATCACAAATAAAGGACATGAGAATCAATAAGACTGGCATATCCTGCTATTCTGAAAGTAAACAAAGCACTCAGCTTCTTGTACTATTCAATGATAATTTGCACTTATACATTACCTTTTGCAAAGGGAGAACGTCTCAAAGCACTTTACAAAGTCTGAGTGGGAGCCCGAGCTGGGATAGAGATAGGAGAGGTGCGTGGAAGTGGTTGAAGGCACAGACAAAGAGAGAGATTCAGTAGCTCAGTGGTTAGAGCACTCGCCTCGCAAGCGAGAGACCTAAGTTCAATTCCCAGCAGGGCAAAACCTTGGGCAAGTTTGCTCACTCCACACGCCCGATAATAATCCCTCAAGAAAAAAAATCAATACTAAATTGGTCACTTCAATCCATGACTGTTTGTGGGACATTTCTGTGCGCAATTGGCTGCCACGTTTCACCCACGAGTATACAGTCAATTCACTTTACAGTATATTCTGTGACGCTCTTTGAGATGTCTAGAAGATATGAAAAGTGCTATATCAAATGCAAGGATTATTATTATAGATTAGATGTGTTTTGAAAGTTGAGAGTTGGAGGGGATCTGTGAAGAGAGATGCAGAGGGTTGAGCAAAGTGGCTGAAAGCTTGCTCGCCAACAGTAGGGAAGACTGGGTGGGAGTCATGAAGCAGACCAGAGTTAAGGAAGTAGAGGAAATGGCAGATAGAGTAGTCACACAGGATTGCAAAAGTAGACTGATGAAGCCCTTTGAGGCATTTGAAGGTAAGGAATGAGGATCTTTGCTGAGGAATAGGGAGCCAGTGGAGCAGGTGAGGACGAGGGTGATGGGCTCACAGAGCCTGGTGAGGGAGAGGATGAGGTCCGTGGAGTTCCAGGTGGTCTGCAGTTTGTGGAAAGTGCAGCTGGGGAGCTTCACCGAAACCTAATTCTCACTTAAATTTGCTGAGATAGTTTGATGGAAGAAATACTTGTTCTTTTTACAATTTTAAATCTTGCATTGAATCAGAGAGTACCGAGTATTAATGAACACTAAGCATTCCAATTTTAACAAGGAAATGAGCTCCACCGTTTTCTCCTTCTTCCTGTGCAGATGTCCACAGGCCACACATCTCCTGCAGAGCAGATCAGCCAGTGGCTCTCAAGCCTCTGTTGATGCTGCACTTTAGCTGTCTACTAGGAAGATGATAACAACTGCCCCTCTGACTTGCATTACTTCGTATTGCAGCTGTGATCAGCATAGTTTGTGCTGAATGTAACTTACAAGAGGACTTATTTGGAACTTTTCTTTTATAACCCAGTCCCCAACTAATTCTTCAATGTGATCTTTACCTAATAGCATTCTTTAAAACGTTAATTTATATTTATAAGAAAAATAATCTTTTTCTGCTTTGGATTGGCATTCAGTGAGCACTCCAGTTAGCTGGTCATATTCAGTAAAACTCACACAAGTTTTATCTTTATAAATCATATAATTACCTAAGTCGAACATTCACCCGAGTCCCATTCCAATTCAATGTGATTCTAATGCTTGCCAGTAAGTGCGTAGTAAGTTGTGTTGCGCATGTAACAATGGGTCAAAATGCATTGAATCACGGGAAAAGTTGTCTTGACCCGCACTTACCAGCTGCAGTGACACGCAGCTTATCGGCTGCATTGAATTACGCATGCAAAGTGCAGATTATTGATTAACTTGAATGTAATACGATTTATACAGTTTACTTGCAATTCGGACGAGTCATATTAAAATATTAAGTCATATTAAAATATTAAGTCATATTAAATATTATTGTCCCGATTGAATTCACTTATGCGAGTTTTACTGTATTCATTACAAGGAAACACATCTTACCTTGTCATCATACTCTTTAAGAAAGCTCCAATTATTTTCCCTGTGAGACAAGAATCACGTCAGTTCAGCAAGCAGCTCATTAGATAACTAGTCATTACTGTATAATAATTAACTTCACAAGGTTTCTTGAATAATCAATTCTTCATGGCTTCAGAAAATATAGATTAATTGTTATTTGTACTAGCATAATCCATAAATGACGTAGAATACTTCACTTTAACATAGAAGTTTTATACATATTCCTTTAACAATTTAATTATCAAGCCATAAAACCTACTTCAGCATCACAATTACAGGAACATGTTTTCAGTCATTAGAAACACCAATGATATATGAATGTACTATACACTGTATCATATATCAACATTGCAAATGAAACAGGGATAGTGGTTACCAGAGTGAATTAATCTCTTGTAAAAATGCTAATAATGTATGCATGTTATACAATGAAAATAATCAAGATTTAGTGGAGCACGATGGAATTGCTGTGGTAGAAATATACCCCAGTACAGACATAGTTAAAGGATTGAAAGTATGAATGGAAGAATACAATATCTCTGGTTTAACAACCATCAATTCTACTTGTTGCCGTTCTATTTCTATGACACAAACTGCTGTGTTTGTTATCATATACAGTATATCTATGCTTAAAGCAGAGGCTACTTGTAAATATACAATAATAAACTATGGTTAAAATGCCCTTTCTTCTTTAGTTTCTCCAATCATGACCTATGATAGAGTACATTTTTTCTAATTCATTTTAAAATTAATTTGCAGAGGATTCATCTACTAACTTATTTAAAATTTTTAATACCAACAATAATTCATTGACCAAATGCATATGTTATATGTTACTAAGCCTGATGTAATGCAATGCAAATCAGGAAGGTCTAAATTTGATCTTGAGAAGACAAACTAGATCTTTCAATCAGACAATCTGGGGCTCTTCGTTTTTGAAAAGTGATGTCTCCCTCAGGGAACCCCTGTCCTGTGTGAAGGGCACGATATAAATCCAACTTCTTGTTGTCTCAGCAGGACTTTATGGATATTTCCTACAAATACACAGTTTTTACACTTTACAGTAAAATCCTGTGAAGCACTCAGACATTTCAAATGACATTTTAAATGACAAAACGAGATGCTATATCAAATGCAAGGATTAATATAATTATAAAAGATTTTAAATAAGATAGAGAAAATAAACTCAGAACAATAGTTTTGGAGATGGCAGAACAAGAGGACATAGGTTTATAACTGCAATGGGCAATATCAGGACACACTGCTCGACGTTTATCTTTAGGTAATGAACAACTGAATCAGGTGACACGGGGAAGGGTGTTTGAGGCCAGGACTGTTTTATTTAAATAAAAACAGCTTGATGCTATGATGGGCAGACACATTGGTGTCTGGAAGGATGAGATACAATTGGCTGAAAGACCCTTTTCATCCAAATCCCTGTGATCTTGCGATTCAGCTGTTCTCAGCCAGGGTAGAAGGAGGTTCCTACAACTACTTTCAGTGCTCTGGACAATGAAGAAGGAAATGGGAGTTGCTGTAACAGGAAATTTATTTGCAGGGCAGAATATTACATCTGATTGTTGCATTGTTAAGAACAAGTTGCTAATTTGGCAACAGCTCTGTTTAATTCCCAGGCAGGTTAACATCAAAGTGTAAGAATCTGGCATTTGGGGGATTAACTGGAGGAGAAGATTGCACAAGGTGTGGAGGGAAGAGCCTGCCGGTTAGACTATAGGCCTTTTATACTGTGTTTTCCAATGTTCCTTCACCCTGTTCAGAGCTGCAATATCGAATATACAACCTGCTTTCTTTGTAGCTCAGCTTCCAGTGAAGCAACCAATTTATGTCCAATTATTGGGTCTAATTTGTGACATTGTTTACATGTTCAAATTGTCATCATCTGGTAGAAACTCCACAAGATAACAAATCTTCTGTTACCCCATTTGAGTGACTGATTAAGTAGTTCAATTTTTCATAATTAGCCCTTTGTGTGACATATGTGGGTTTGAGCCCATCACCATACTTGAGAGTGTGGAGTTCTGTAGCTCATTGGTTAGAGCACTCGCCTCGCAAATGAGAGGACGTGGGTTCGATTCCCGGAAGGGCGAAACGTTGGGCAAGTTTCCTTACTCCACAAGCCTCTGTTTACCTAGCAGTAAGAAGGAACCCGGTTGTTAGTCGATTGGCAGATCGCTTTTCCGGGGGTAATATTTCCTTCAAAATAAAAAATAATTTGGTCACTCAATCCACTACTGTTCATGGGACACTGCTGTGTGCAACTGGCTGCTACGTTTCGCCCACAAAATAAACAGTCAATTCACTTTACAGTATATTCTGTGAAGCGCTTTGAGATGTCTCAAAGATATGATAAGGTGCCATATCAAATGCAAGGATTATTATTATTATTATCCACACCAGAATGAGAATTCCACATTTGCACGGCATCTTATGTGAACTCCACAGGGTGATATCCCTCCTGCTACCAAGAGGAGTTCCCATTTAGTGACTCTGAGTCTGTTAAGGAATTTCATAATTTAAAGCAATACCAGAAATTAGATCTCTGAGTGACGCAGAAATGATTTGCTAAAAATCTCTATTTTCTATTCTCACAGAAAATCATATTTACGTCTTAAATTGGTGCACAATATTTGTATTACTGAACTGATGTAATTTCAGAGTCAAGGAATGACGCACATCCCATTACTCTTTCAATGCTAATACCACTAGTTAACAAAACTTACAACTCACCATCGTTTGACTCCTCTCCACTCTGCATGCATAAACTCTCTCCACACTTGATCTTGTTTGACTGCATCAAAGTACTCAAGTTCCCTGGCCTTCCCGGGAGATGATCTGCTTGCCACTTTGCTGAAAGAGGTGAGAGACACAGCGCCAGGTCTATCCGGTAAACGGTAGCCAGCAGAGGTAGTCCTGAAAGCATTCCCCGAGCTCCCCATCTGAAGTGGTTTGGGTACAGATCTGCAACGTCAATAAGTGACTCAGGCTCCACAGCATGAACCACTTAGCTCACTGCCTGTTAAATAATACATAAGATGGGAATCTCAGAGGGACAATCAGCAGAGTGCTGTGATTTTACAGGGATTTGACAATATCCTGGTTCAAAACTTAGCCCAAGTGTTTGATCTTGATAAAGTTCAAAGCAGCCAGAGCCAAAGAATGAATGGCTTTTTGTTTGAGTGTTTTAGTCTTTCCACTCTGCTGCTCTCCTCTCTGCTCTGTTTCCTCCAGTGAGCTTGCCATCAGAGCCTCCTGTCCTGAATATTGTTTTCTGTCGCTATTGGAAACCTGAGAAATGCCCCTCATTTGCATAGGGAGAGAAAGAGAAACCTCCAGACTGACTCAGCGTTTGGATAGAAAAGGGGGAGACATGCAAGATCCAGATCAGTGTATCTGGCCTCTCAACCTCTGATCCAATTAACAGGGCAAAGTGTTTCGCCCACAAAATACACAGTCAATCCACTTTACAGTATATTCTGTGAAACACTTTGAGACATCTCAACGACGTGATAAGATGCTATATCAAATGCAAGGATTATTATGATTAACAACCAAGAATCAAACAATATTTATAACACTAATCCTTGCATTTGTCTCATCCCCTTATAAATTGGGTGGATGTCAGTCGGATGTCTCAAAGCTCTTCACGTGGTTTACTGTGACTGTGTATTTTGTAGGCGAATGTGGCAGTCAATTGCGCACCCAAACTTGCTATATTTAAAATTGGGAATATGTAGAGAAACACAAATAGAAAGGCTCCACAATGTTGAGATTATTAGTAAATCATTTCAAACAAATTATTGAAATAACCGTCTTTAAGCACTTCAAAGGTCTTTTTAAAAAATCAAATCATAGAGCATAAAATATTTGATTATTTGTTTAATCATTCATGGGATAATGAAAATGACCTGGACTAATTAAACTTGCTGCTGTGATATACGATTACCAGGAACTTAAAAATGGAAATGCCGCAGAGGACAATTCTGCTGTAACTGACATTTTAAGTAAATACTGGTAAACACCGGGGGCAAAGAATGGGGACTTCTTAGGTCATGTATGTCAGTTAATAATAATAATAATAATAACAATAATAATAATTCTTGCATTTGATATAGCACCTTTCACGTCTTCTAGATATCTCAAAGCACTTCACAGAATATACCTTAAAGTGAATTGACCGTATATTTGTGGGCGAAACGCGGCAGCCAATTGTGCACAGCAGTGTCCCACAAACAGTCGTGGATTGAAATGACCAATTTATTATTGTTTTGTTTTGGAGGGATTATTATTAGATGTGTGGAGTAAGGAAACTTGCCCAAGGTTTCGCCCTGCCTGGAATTGAACCCAGGTCTCTCGCTTGGAAGGCGAGTGCTCTAACCACTGAGCTACAGGATTTCAGAACTATAGCTGCAGTTCTACGGGAACTCAACACAAACTGCTTTCCTTAATTAAGGAATTCTATTAGAAATCACCACAAAGTATACACTAATATGTGTGCTTTGTCATGTTGGAATGTTTCCAAGGGTTTTGCACGCTGAGTTGCTTTGAAGTACTGTTGTTATGTATTCAAACAAACTGTATCAACAATGTTCCACAAACAACAATGAGCATAAACCTGCTCTGTTCGGTGAGTTTGGATGTTGGAGGAATATTGTGCAGAACACAGGGAGAAAAAACTCCCACCTGTTCTTTACAATAGTGATGTGCAATCGTTTACATTGACCTGAATCACCAGAACAAACAGATGGGACTGGGATTTAACATCTCATCTGAAGGTCAAAACATTCTGGGGATGGCGTCCATGGAACAATCCCATCTCCCATTGCTATGATCAGTTTGGGCATCTCATTCTCAAGTCTTAGCTTCTTAAATCCAGGACTAAATATTCTGCAAACAAGAGAGGGGAAATATCCGTGCAGTGTGCGATGTTGCAATATCATGGGAGAGATTACGATCACTCTCCCATTTACAACTCCCCAGGGAAGTACAGTACACATGAGAAAAGAAATGAATGCAAAAGTAAACAAAGATGTACAAATTGAGACAGTGATACTGTGAAGCGCCTTGGGACATTCTCCTGACGTGAAAGGCGCTAAACAAATGTAATTTGTTGTTGTTGTGAATACACAAGATGTCTCTTTGAGAGAAAAAAACTCAACCTGAGAAATGATTTCATTCTTTTAATTATTCTTTTTTTCCTCATTTGTTGACTGACTGCATCTGGTCAAGTTAAGCACATGAAATTACAATCCTGATAATAATTGCTTGAAAAATACATTGTGGGGTATATCATTGCTTCCTTGCGATTCATTGCTCCAATATATGCTCATTTGTCCCAACACACACTTAACAAGGCTGCTTGTATTATTTGCACATAATTGCTCTGTCAAGCAGTGATCTTTTGAGCCAAATAATCCTTTCTAAGAAGGATAATAGTTTTTAACTGATACTTATAACTGGTTTAAAGAGAACTGATTTCCCCAGCAGTGAAGTAATTCCTTTCAGTGCACTACTCATTCTTCTTTAGTTTCATTACCATACTGTAAATTAATCTGAACCCTGCTTCTTAACATCCTGTGTGGCTCAGTCAGTTGAATACCAGAAGATCAAGTGCTCTGGGACGCTACTCAGCGTGAAGGGCGCAATATAAATGTAAATTGTTGTTGTTGTTTGGGATTTGAATACAAATGATCCACTCTGACCTTCATCCTTTGAGGTACGTAAAATGACTGTGGCTTAAAAGTACACATTGTACTTGGAAGGCAAGTAAGCAGGTTCTCCCTTGAGAGTCAAATTTGCTCTGGGAGACAACCCTGGTGAAAAAACCTAAGGACGTTTGCAGAAATTCAGGGCACTGCAGTTAGTTCACCAACCTGCCTGGCTCATCCCTGGGACAGGGTGTAGACATGTCCTTAACGCTAGGAGTCAGTGTCTCAATGAGCAGGGTGGTCCTGAATTAGTACTGCAATGCACCATGTTCGTTCTTACTATTCTTACTATTCTAATATGTACATGAAAATGAGCATCAATTTCAAACATATGTATTTTCCTTTAAAATGCTGCATCGTCTGCCACTTCTTCCAAAAGTGTACAAATATATAACATTTGTCAAATGCAGGATTGATTTATATCCTCATTTGGCGTGTGATGTGAACGACAAAGTCTGTACTAATCAATCGGCCCTGGCATTAAGCTTAATCATTACTGAATGCTACAATTTGCCATTATCATTCAGGTACAATATTATAGTAACAAGACTGAGATCCAGCAGCATCTCTTTAAACATGTTTGGATTTTGTTCAGAAACAGACTGGTTAACATCAGTTGCATTGTATGATACACTCTTTGCTTGTTGAAATGGGAACGCAACCATTATGACAAAATATACTAAAATACACTAGTATTCCTGTAGCAAAAGCTTCTCAGCTGAGTATGTTTCAGTGAATGTGAAATAATATTTGAAGACAAGCCATGATAATGTGTTGCATTATTTTAGAATGGAAATATACACCTGGTTGGATCCTCACGTACAAGGCCATTCACGGCCTTGCTCCCTCCTACCTCTCCAACCTACTATCCCCCTACCTACCTGCCCGTACCCTCCGTTCCTCTGGCTCCGGTCTGCTCCACGTCCCCCCCCCCGCCCTACTATCGGTGGTCGGGCCTTCAGCCTCTCAGCCCCGAGGCTCTGGAACTCCATCCCCCAGTGCCTTCGCCTTGCTTCCTCCCTTTCCTCCTTCAAGGCCGGTCTCAAAACCTTTCTCTTTGACCGTGCCTTCAGCTCCCCTCTCGACTCTCTTCCTCCTCCTCGCTCCCTCCTTCCCTCCCTCACCCTGACCATTTCCCCTCCTCTCTCCCTCCCTTCCCTCCCCTCACCCTGACCATTTCCCCCCTGCTCGGGTCATGACCCAACTGTGCAGCGCCTTGGGACGTCCTCCTGACGTGAAAGGCGCTCTATAAATGGAATCTTGTTGTTGTTGTTGTTGTTGGTTTGCAGGATTGGTTATGTTGAAGTAAAAGTATTGCAAAGTCATGCAAGTTGCAGAGACTGCCTGGGTTGGTCACAAATCTCAGTGGTTACATGTCAGGCTTTAGAAATAATTGTTTGTTCAAGTTACTCTTATCAAAAGTTGCCACCATAGCAACACCGACTGTTGTTTGCAGTTTAAGCAGAAGCAATCCATCCAGGTTAAGGCTAATGTGGATCACAATGTTTAACTGAAATCTGTGAGGAATCACATTCAGCTTCAATCAGGGTGATTGAAATTCAATATGATGTTTGTGCCTTCAGAGCCACCCAGATTTATGGTGCAGGCAGGGTGTGAAGAGAAGTGTGGTGTTTTAGATTTAGGTCTGAAGGGACATAATCCAGGTATTCAACTAAATGGATTGATTTCAATCCATCCGTTTGCTCTGCCTGTATTACCAGTTATCAATGTGCAGTGGAATGGAACAAATTAACTAATTAATTAACTCACTAACTAACTAATTAGTTAATCCTACACATTTCAAAGTGCTTCCCCAGTAATTGCATCACAATATCGTACTGTTTCTTAAATGAGGCCAGTGTCCCGTTCTCATTTTTTCTCAGAGTCCAGTGTCTCTGGCTTTCCCAGTAACATGTTCCAGCTGTTGATTGTGTTGAATATTTAAGATATTCTGCATGATGTCTGCTCTAAAATTGCCCTTTGTACCCCTGGACCTGTACCCTCATGTTCTGCTGCCGTGTTTGTCTACAAAATACAGTCACTCCACTGTATCTAAAATTATTATTATGGTTTAATATTCAGCACACCATCACTGATTCATGAATGGCAATGATATTAATGACCAATTGGCTGCTTTAGTGATTTGAACATTAAATACAAATGATTTTTGTTGTTGTTGTTTACTGTTTGCAGCTTATTACAAAGGGCACATTACCAGACAAGTTGATTCATGCCCAAATATCACGTCCTTAACAGGGGGGGGGGTATGCTACTTGATCATAAAGTTCATTTATAATTAAATTCAACAGGTTTCAATAGGAACCGGGTTGTTGGTCAATTGGCGGATCGCTTTTCTGGGGGGAATAATTCCTTAAAAAAAATGATAAATCGGTCACTTCAAACCGTGACTGTTTGTGGGACACTGCTGGGCACAATTGGCTCCTGCATTTCGCCCACAATATATACAGTCAATATTCACTTTACAGTATATTCTGTGAAATGCTTTGAGACGTGCCA